CCGCCTCATCGATCGGCGCTGGGGTCATCGGGGGGCGTTCACGGGAGATTGGCCACAAGCTGAGCCAGCATCGTGGTTTCTGTCCCAGTTCTTCGTCAATTGGGTTGCTCGCTTCCCAAAGAGAGGCTGGGGGGGAGTCTGTCAGGCTCGTGAACCCCCGTGTCGTGACACATGCATGTTCTCGTCGACTCATCAAGGATCGGTGGACCAGACGGTGTGGGCGTGGCCAGCCGCTATGGATGAGAATCGCCAAAGACTTGGCAGCAGGGAGCAGGCAGAGTCTAGGCCTGACATCTGGCTGCGCTCTCGAAGAATGGGCAGCGCATGGGACAGACGGCTGAGCACCTGGGCCAGAGTCGATGGGTTGTGGCCAGAGCCTGTCTGGAGTGCACCCGGGCAACCAAGTACCGGCAGCGGCTGAGTGGCAGCTGGGCCCTCGTCATCGCGATCCACTGTTGGCCGTTGACCACCTACCCATGTGAAGACGCACCAGAATGGCACAGACATGATCCAGTGGGGTTGTTCCGTCTCATGAGAAACCAGTCAACTCCAGCGGCGGGGACTTGACTGGCTGTTGCTCCCAGGAAGGCATGCGAGTGTGAAGTATCGCCTCTCCCAAGGACAAGAACAGGTGATGCCGAACGAGCGCCAGTTCGAAGCCGCAGGAGGCTCTCTCTCTCTCCCTGCACCTGGGGGAGACTGTCCGTTTCGGGAAGGGGCATTGGGAGATCTCATTCGGAGGTGGGCAAGCACATGGGGAATCGGACTGCAACCGCCTCCCTGTCAACCGCTTTCCCCCCACCGCTCCTCCCCCCCCCAACCCTGATGCCTTCGCCGCCGGGTCAGCAACGATGGAGGGGGGTCCAGACATGAGCTGGGGTGAAAAGCAGTGATCCAACTGAGACCCCCTTCGCCGATGGAATGAAGAGCCTTTGAATTCAGAACCAGTGTCAGACAAAGATGGACAGCGAACCTCCCATTTCCATGGCAGGGGCGAGAGTGTGCCGTCGTGCGCATGGCTGGCCAGGGGTTGCAGGGATCGCAGGGGGTCGCACCAGCTGGCAAGCAGAAACCCTCAAGCCAATGAGGGTCCGACCTGGTGCTTCAGTCCCGGATCAGAGGCTCCACAGGAGCTACCGCAAACGATGACGTCCTTCACACGAAGCTCCTTCCAAGCTTCACAGTAACGTCACTGCTTCTGTAGTGCTCGTGCCCGTCTCCGTCTCCGTCTCCCCAGCGTGCCGTCCTGCCTACCCTTTCCACGGTAGGTACCTTGGGCACCCTGTCAATCAATGGTGCAGTGCGAGCTAACGTGTCGGCCATTCCCCAGTGAGGTCTCGCTGAGTGCATCCGCCCGTCATCATCCTTCTTGGAAGCCCAGATTCAGCCAAGGTCCAGGGCAAGCTTTTCCTCTGGTGCCGTCTCACCTGAAGTGCCCGAGCTGGGGCCGTCAGTCGGTGCCCTCTCTGCACCCCCCCCCCCTTCCTTCCTTGGGTCCCTCCCAGATCTCGCCAGGTATAAACTCGTCGTAGCTGCCCCCCCTCGCGGCGTGTCTGCTGCCTCCTCCTTCTGCTTTCCTCTCATACCCAATCAACAATAATCAGGCCTTGGATTTCCCACTCCCATTATACCCCTTTCCTCAGTGATACCCAACCCAACCCGCACTTAATAACGAAGCAACCTCCATTGTTGGCCTGATACCAACTCCACCTCAAGCGAAGAACACCATCTTATTGCCCCAATCCTCCTCCTACGACAGCACCACCCCCTTGAGCGACTACCAAGCTCAATTCGGGACGCCGCAGTACAAAAGTTCAACCCATTCCTTCTCAACAGTCTCAGCGAACACATCACGTCGCCCATCATGTCTGTCAACGTCAACAAGCCTACCGACATCAAGAAGAAGGAGGCCGATGTCAACCGCAAGCTCCAGCTCTACGGAATCATCTCCGCATTCCAGTCCGGCAAAGTTCCTTCCGTAAGCCGGTCCTCCACGCAGCGACCTTTTCCTGCATCTGCGACCCTCCAGCTAACGTGGGTAACCAGAACGATCAAATTGATGTCGCGCTGAACAGCTTCCTCAACTCCAAGGGAATCGCGAACCCGCCTGAGAAGCTCTCTCCCGAGGGTCGTGCGCTGGTAGCCGACGCGCGCAACGTGGTCAAGAATGCCCAGCACCTGCTTCTGTCAAAGAACCAAGGAAACCTTCTCCAGGACTTCATTTGGCAGACGGAACAGTGGGACGCCAAGTCCGTCAATGTTCCTGGCGCCCCCGTTAACAAGGAGACCGCCCAGCAGCATGGCGACCAGGCCCTGCAGGGTCTGAGAACCCTCGGCACTCTTCTCATCACCAACGGCCAGTTCCGCAAGCTCCTCAAGGATGCTTCCGTTCTGCTGCGTGACATTGCGGGAGACGCAGCCACCAATGCCGCCTCTCATGTTCGGCCCTCGGAGGAGCAGCTCAATGACATTGACCGCCCCGCCGAGGACAACACGTGGCACGACGCGCCCGACTTTTCCAAGGACAACATGCGCAAACAAGCCCAGGGCCTGTACAAGGGTGATGCCAAGAAGGACCTGCAGGATGTTACCACTGCCGGCACCCAGGCCGCTCACCCCACTGGATCGAGCGACCCTAACGACCTCGCCCAGGCCGCTGCTCGCGACCAACAGCAGGGCACCAACTCTGGTGTGAACGCGCAGGCTGGCGTGTCCAATGCGAAGCAGACCCTCCAGGAGAAGGTTGATAAGAACGTCAACCCGGAGACCCAGGAGCAGATCAAGAAGTCCAAGGAGGAGTACCGCCGCAAGGCTCGTGATTACCTCAGCAAGAAGGTGCCTGAGAACCGCCGTGATCAGACCATCTGGCGCCTCAAGAAGATGGTTCTTGAGTGCCAGCAGCACCCGGATTACTCTCAGGCCATCGAGACTCTTCTCGATCTCGCTGAGGAGTATGGTAGCCACTCCAGGGCCATGGCCCAGGGCGGCTCTGGTACTGTCAGGGAGGCCCGCGGTGGTCTGGCCCAGGCCGAGTCCGACCTCAGGACTCTGATTGAGCGCTTCGCCAACAGCACTTCGACCGAAGATCTTTGGAACTCCATTGGCCAGATCTACCAGGACGCTGACCGCGACCCTGAGCTCAAGGGCTGGTTCAAGTCTATGAACCAGTACATCCGCCGCTGCCTGCTGAAGCAGGGTTACATCCTCGAAGACGCTTCCAACGAGGAGTGGCGCCGCCTGTATGACCAGGGTCGCTACCTCCTGCGCGAGAAGTATCGCTCGCACACTGACCGCGTCGTCGACGAGATGCGCTTCATCATCAACGAGTTTGACAATGACCCTCAGAACAAGGCCTTCGGTCAGTCCATTCAGAAATTGTTCCAGGACCTTGGCAACGATGAGAACGGCAAGCCCACCTTCAAGCCCCACCTCATCAAGGACCTTACAGAGGTCATCGTTCCCGCTATCTTTGAGAACGCGGCCTACATCCCCGTCCCACGCATCGAGTACTCCGACCCCCAGTTCGATGCCGTCATCGAGAACCTGGTTCTCGAGTCGGACAACTTCATGCCCAATGTCATGGAGATCAACACCGAGCACCACTTCCGCTGGGGCCGCAAGAAGATTGCCAACAAGAACAAGCAAGTGTTCGACATCAAGGTTTCCGGTATTCAGATGGATCTCCGTGATGTGAGCTACCACATTGCTCGCAAGCAGGGATTCCCTTCGATCACCGACACTGGCGTTGCCGACTTCATTCTTGCTGGCGACGGTTTCTCCTTCAAGGCCAAATGCGCCACGGCCGACAAGTCTGATCGCCAAAACTTCTTCAAGATCGAGAAGGTCGATGTCGACATCAAGAACATGAGCATCAAGCTGAAGCAGTCCAACCACAAGCTTCTGTTCAACCTCTTCAAACCCATCATGATGAAGGTCATCAAGCCCGCCCTGCAGAAGGCTGTTGAGAAGAGCCTCAAGGATCAGGCCAACCAGCTCGACCAGCTGCTCTACCAGATCAAGCAGGAGGCTGACCGTGCTCTTGACGAGGCTCGCTCCGATCCCGAGCGTACACCCAACATCTACAACCGCTACTACACGGCCGCCCAGAAGCGCGCCCTGCAGCAGAAGCAGAAGGCAAAGGACATTGTTCAGGACAAGAAGGTCAACGTCGCCATGACCAAGGAGGACAGCATCTTCCCCAACATCAACCTTCCTGGAGGCATCAGCACCAAGGCCACCGAATACAAGGAGCTCGCTCGCAAGGGAGACCGCTGGGAGAGCCCTGTGTTCTCCATTGGCAAGGCCAGCAAGTCGAACGACATCCCCGTCGCTCCTAAGATTCAGCGCAAGTCCCATGGCCCCATGAGTTCTCCCAAGACGACCGCCCAGCCTACTTCGGGTCAGGGATACTCCAACGGACAGGCCCACGGCAGCCAGGGTTACGCCAACAACCAGACTTACGCCACGGGTCAGGGTCTCGGCGGTCAGACCTATGGCACACAAGGCCAGGGTCTTGACGGCCAGGGCTACGGAGGTCAAGGCCTCAGCGGCTCTGCCCTTGCCGGCCAGGGCATCTCTGCCCAGGCACTCGGCGGACAGGGCCTCACTGGCCAGGGCATCATCGGCGGCCAGAGCCTCACCGGCGATGGCCTGACCAGCCAGAACCCCAACTCTCAGACTGTTCCTCTTGGCCATGCCGGCCAGGAATCTCCTTTGTTCACCCGCTAAGAAATGAAAATAATTCCCTTTGTCTTTTGTCATGAAGTTTTCAGATCCTACGCTATACCCGGATGAAGAAGGGCTTTGGTAATAAGCAGCCGCAGATAATATAATTACATGAGTTCGATATAAACCTTGTTCGCTGGTGGTTGTGATGTGACTCGTACAACATTTGCACGTTTTTCCCATTCCGAAGCAAGCCACAAATAGCCACGATTTAAGATAAATTGTATCTTGCTAGGGACTGTTTCTCAAACTTACTTTTATCGAAATTCTCTTCTCTAGAGGCTTTCCACCATGTCAGGCCGCACGATCCACCACTCCATCTTAATATTGCGTCCCTTTTCTCCCCTGCTAGCAGCAAACCCGCGAGCTGCAGCACAGGGCATAACTCCCAGCACCTCGACCCGATCCCCCATGCCGTAGTCCCGAATACTCGTCCCGAGCAAGTCCGCGATGTCCTCCGTGCCGATGGCGAAAGCGGCCTCGGCGCGCGCGACGACGGCACACGTCCCCGTCGCGACGAGCGGCGTCCAGCCCACGCCCGCCCCTGCCGCGGAGAGCAGCCAGTGGCCGCTCGACTCGGCCGCCCACGTCTCGAGGAGGGCGCAGTCTGCTGTTTCCGGGGCCGAGGGGTCCGTCGACTTGCCCGAGAAGATTGCCGAGTCGGCGTCGCAGAGGAGGGTGGGGCATGGGGTTGCCATGGTGCTATTCCGTGCGTGTTGGCCTGCGGGGCCGGTGTTGACGGTCTTCTCAAAGAGTGTGGAGAGGTAGAGGGCTTTTGGGTCGCCGGAGGACGTTTCCAGGGCTTCGCAGGTTGTGTTTGGGAAGGGGGGTTTGCAGGCTGGGAGGGCGGCTGAGAGGACGGGGCTGCACGCCGTGAGAAGGAGGAGGGCGATGAGCGCGAGGACGTCGACGGTGCGGCGGGCCATTTTCGGGTTCTCTTTGGCTTCGGGTATGCGGGTGGTAGCTCGACAGGTCTGTAAGATAGAGATGGGTGGTTTGCCCAGTGAGGCGATGGAAGGTGTAGTTGGAGGTTCCGCAGTAGCGGGCTGTCAGCCTCATGTAGTGAATGCCACAAAGGCCAGTGAGTCCAGGCAACAATCAGCCCATCGAAGACTGCGGGACCGATGAGGAGGCATTCGGTCGTCGGTGATGTATGGCCCAGTGCTCACACTCCCCCCGCGGGAGCCGTGGTGTTTTGTCTCCAAACAGACGTCGTCCAATGTGGGGCAGAGGTGACGTGAGGTTCATCTCTCGAGGCTCGTGGGTGGTCCGAGACCCCTGTGTCACGTTGATTAATGTCTTTCATGCGCGACGATCCTCCTCTGTTCGGGGATCTCGCGCATGCCATTGCGCAAGGCATCATCTTGTTGCGGTCGCACCGTATGTCTTTGGTCGGTGGTGAGCCATGCCACCAGTTCAAGTGAATTGCGGCTCTGGTTGGTCTGATGGAGTACCTACCCAAGGTGCCTGAGTAAGTACCTATCCAGGCTGTTGGCTCGTCTTCGTGATGTTTGCATATGGTCGAAGAGCTTGAACGATAAGGTCTAGCTCACACTTTAGTAGTCTGTCTGCCGTCCCATGGCCGCCGCTGATCTCTGCTCGAAGGACCCATATCTGCTCCTTGTGGCAGAAACAGTGGTGTTTTTGAAGCCAGCCTGATCAGATGAGAGCACGAGTCTTCAATATTGAATGCGAAGGACTAAATCAGAGGCTTTCTTCATTCCATCCTGGGCTCAATCTTCTGAGCATGCCCATGAAACCCGTCATCCCTCGACCCAGGCTCCTGGCATCGTTTGCGTGCCTTCACTTCTCTTTGACCTTGGGCTCGCCCTTTTCTTAGCCAATTTCTTCCGTCGACGCCGTTCAAATCGCTCCTTCCTTAGCTGGAAAAGATGATGCCAAGCAACGACGACATTCGACCAATCGTCCACTGGGGTAACATATCCATGGAGTCTTAGATATCGCAATAATTCATGATACTCGCCAACAAGAGGCCAATGCTGGCGAGCCATCAACTCATACACTTCTTTGATTCGGCTGTGAGAATCCTGAGCCCCGTTCAAATTTTCTCTTAGTAAGGCCAAGGCCCTTTCGGGAATCTTTTGTGGATAGCGAGTGAAACAGCCAAGCTCTTTGAACATTTGTCGTAGCTCGAAAGCTGTTTGCTTGTCTTCGACCTCCATCAAACGAGAACAAGTTGGCACCCAAGATCCGGCTCCCAGTGTGATCGTTATATGATAACTCCACGAGTGCCATGACCCTGAGTGTACAATGCTGTATGTTGCTTCCTGATGGCTTTCGACTTCTGTTGACTCGCCTCGCAAGTATTCATGGACATTAACGCCGGCCATTTGAAGCAAGTGCAGCCATCTGCCGAGTACTGTCTCGATGTCTGAAGAGTATTTTGCCCATCCACAGGCAATACGAACGGTATGAATGAATGGAACTAAGCACATTGGCTTTTGTGTGCCAGTCGCATCTTCTGCTAACATCTTCAGAAGTGATTGTAGCGCTTGGAAGTTTGGACTGCCCTTCGGAGCGTCGACATTCATTGTGCATTTGAACGCCCAAAACCAGCTGAGGCGGCGAAGATGTTGGTACTCATCGAACATGTAGCATTGGCATCTTTCAAAGCAATACTGAAGATAAGATGGACTCGGACAGCGCACAATAACAGACCGGAAAAGTGGCTCGATGGACTTTTGCTTCCAATACGGAAGTACCATGTCCAAGATTTCGGCAGCGTGATGTCTGCACATCAATTTGCACCCATCTTTTCCAACCAAGCTAGTATTATATAGAAAGTCATTTCCGAGGCTTTGGTGCGTTGTCAGTGTCAGAAGTTGGATGAGCAGGTAGCATGTACTAGTGCTCACATATTGTATGCTTTGTCTCGCAGCTCTAGAGGGTTTTGGTGCCCAAGAAATCGGACAAGACGTGTGCCGCCAGTATAGGCTGCAGCCTATTTGCATGTTAACCTTCATGAAGCGAACCAAGCACCTGTATGTTTGCAAAGACAAATCCCGAAAGATACGCGTGGAACCTACTTCGAAAAGCGTACAAGGTCTTGCACTAAAAAGATCATGTCCAACGACTTGGGCATTCAACGAAAGACTGCGTTTTCTTAAAAGCTCTTGCAGGGCCCCTACGTCATCGTTATGAAGTGCTGACTTAATCTTTTCTGCAATCACATCAGATCTCTGCCCAAGTCTCCCAAGCTTGACAACATAAGGCATGCTCAGCGCAAAAGATGGCGCGGCGATAAACCCTGGTCGCCAGGTAAACTGAAACCGGTATGATGAGATGTAATGGGAGAAGATCAGACTATTTTCATAATCCACACGGTCGGGCTGGCACTCGTCCTTGTCGCGAACTTTAGTGGTTCTCTTCATCTGTTGATGATCGACCCTGAGTGAGAAGAGCCAGCGTGAAACTGCAATTGGCGCTTCCGTCTTCTCCCAAATGATGACAGACTTGCTAGTTTCGACCCCTGTGGACGGCAGGAGCTTCCTGGAAGTTGGCGTCATTGCTGGTGTCACTGCTGGCGCACAGATGTTGAGCATGTCGACCGTCTTCTGAGGCTGTGGCGATATGACAAGAGTTCGGTGTAGAACCTCAACTTTCGAGCTGCAAATACTGTTAAAATAAAAGCTCACAAATTGGAGGCATGGGTTCCTAATGCAACACACTAAATATCAGGCGTCAGTGCTCGGTCAAGCATGGCGAGGTCACTATCCAGCTCGGCGACCAGCTTCTGAATGGAATCCTTCTGCTTGACGAAAAGCGTTCCTGGCCCGCCGATCAGTCCCTTCTTTGGAGCCCTCTTCTGCAATTCAGTGAGAATTTGTTCGAGCTTTTTGATGGTACCATCAATGTCGCGCAGTAGCTTCTCGCTCATGGCCTCGCTGATGAGACGTTGACATTGGTCGACGTTCTCATTCCGGAAGATGTCTTTGATGCGAGCGCATTGGCCTTCGACAAACTCGAGCTTCGTTTCGAGTCGCTGGATTTCTCGTGGTGCGGAGTGGTAGTCTTTGATCACAGACTTGACTCTCTGCGACGTGTCGATGGCCTGGATGGCGAGCCCGACGACACCGATGACGAGTTCCACGGGCATTGTGGGGGCCTCCTGGTAAATACAGAGTACAAGAACAGAGCTGCAATGCAGACGAGACGTCAACTTGGCGAAACCGATGAGTGAAAGCAGATTGAAGAAGAGCGAGAGACGCCGCGAGCTTCGCCGATACGCCAAGGATAGCGGGGGCGAGATGGATGAAGAGAGAGAAACGGCGAGGTGCCTGGCAGTCTGCCTCATCATTTTCGAAGGGCCGAGGGCGCCGCATTGCACCTGCTGACTTCAGACAAGGCAAACGGTTCGCAGCCATGATGTGCATGCCCCGTGGTCACGGATGATTCGCCAGCCTGATGACCATTGCAAGAAACCAAGCGTATTCGCGAGAACAGCAACGGGGCCTCAAACATGAACGACGAGGCCATAATGTTGCTGGCAGTCATGGTGCTGGAGGGATTGCTCCCTCCCTCGCCACTGTTTCGGCTTCACAGATGCTCCCCACGAGAAGGGATGCCTCGGTACCAGGTCGACAACAAGTCCACGGGGAATCATCCAGAGCGCCGTCGGACCTAAGCTTGGCACGACCCATTCACTGACAGGGTTGTATTCTGGCTGAGGTACGTAAGTAGCCAGCAACGGCATTTGATTCACATGCTTCCAGCCCTCAAGGCGACTACGCCCGTAGCTCCACAGCCTTCTCCTGAAGACCCTTCTTGCACATCCCCAAATGCAGAGATGGTCTCCCGTAAAGTCGGCTATGGAGCAGGTCTACAGTATATATTCTGGAAGTAGAAGCTAGGGAAGCCAGGACATTCGCTTCCTAGATAGATAGGTCCCGCAGCGTAAACTATAATCATCATCAACCTTCTTCGCCGTACCCAAGCATGCGTAAACTGACTTGTGAATATTATTCATATCTACAGAAAACCCCCGAGAGTAAAAAGACGAAGCATCCCCACACCCTTAGGTCCCTCGTCTGCTCCCCCCCGGCAGCGGTCTGGGCCCCACGATCTGCCGCCGGCCGGCGCCGATGCCCTGACCGCCCTTGTTCTGGCTGTCGCCGCCCGTGAAGCCGGACCACTGGCCGACGTCCCAGCGGCCGCCGACACCGCCTCCGATACCGTCAACGCCGTCGCCGGACCGCACGGCCTTGGCCGTCTCCTCCTGCGCCTCCTCCCACTCGCGCTGCCGCTGCCTCTCCATCTCCATCTCGCGCTCGAGGAGTGACTTGGACGCCCAGCCGCCAGCCTTGGTCTTGGCCTGGCTCTGCGCACGCCGTCGGTCCTCGCCGTCCTGCTCGGCCGTGGCGCCGAGCTCGCGCGAGTATGTCTGTATCGGGGCCGCCTGCTCCGGGGCTGGGTTACTGCCGAGGAACTTATCCGTGCGATTTTGCTGTGGCGGCGGAGGTTGGGATGAGGAGGAAGGTGAAGTGTATGCCGCGGGGTCGGGAAGCGGCCGTGAGCTGCCCGTATGGTTTTTCTTGACAACCAGGGGCGGCGCAATGGCTGCGTGTTCCTGCTTCGGACTCTTAGCCTTGGCGGGTGCTGCGAATGCCGCGGGATCGGGCAGGGGACGGGGTGAGAGCGTAGGTGGCGGGGGCGAGACGGCGCCTCGCTGGTTGTTCATGGCTGAGCCAATATCAGGCAGCGGGCGAGGCGACTTGGCCAAGGGCGTAGGCGAGGCTGCCATGGGCCGCGCCGCCGGTACCGGCCTGGGCCCCGGTTCTTGCGACTGGTTCCACGCCGTCCTTAGGACCTCGCGCTCGCCGCGAGACCACGAGTCCTGGCGCATGGGCGGGCTCCCCTCTGCAGGCCGACTCCTCGACCGGGCCCTTGACTTGGGATCCTCGACGACGCGCGGCTGCTGCCCAGTGCGGCCCTGCCGCTCCTGCTCATACTGCCTCTCGCGCTCGCGGGCCTTTTCAAGCTCACGCTCGAGCTCGGCAATGCGCTCGTTGCCTGTCTTCTGCGGCTTGAGCGCCTGCTCCTCGTTGTATTGGCTGAGGAACTGGCCGCGCAGCCGCGCGTCGCTGTTGCTCCGCGAGGTGTTCTTCTCCGTCGCCAGTCGCGCCTCGGCCTCCTCCTCCTCCCTGCGGCGCTTCTCCTCGGTCATCTTCCACTGCCGCTCCTCCTCCTCCCACTTGCGCTTCTCTTCCTCGGCCTTGCGCCGCGACACCTCCCGCTGCAGCTGCGTCTGCTCCTCCCACCTGCGCTCCTCGTCGAGGCGCGCTTGCTCCTCCTCAGCCTCGCGCTCGGCCTGGCGCCGCCTGTGCTCCTCCTCGGCCTGCAGCCGCTGCTGCTCCTCCTCAGCCTCGCGCTCCCGTCGCAGACGCTGCTTCTCGGCAAAGCTGGGCACGGAGGGGCCGGCGGTCGTGATCTGTCTGCGTCCACCGAACGAGATGCCGAGGTTGCCCTGGCTGGCGCCGCCGAGATAGCCGTACTGCGCAATGTTCCATGCCGGCGAGGTCGCACCCTCGTGCTCCTTGCGGCTCCAGCTGCTAACGGGAGATGTGGGCTTCGTGGGGCTGCTCTTGGTGGGGCTCCAGCGGCCAGAGCCCGAATCACCCGTCTTGTGCGACGACAGGGCGGGCCGCTGCTGCTGGCCGGCGCCAAAGGCGGACGAGCCATTGCTCGCCGTCGAGAGGCCTCTGTTGCGGGCCGGCAGCGCTGGCGAGTTCGGACCTGTGCTCTGGGGGCTCAGAACGCTACTGCGCTTGGGGCCACCGACGGCCGAGGGGAACCTGGCGGGGTTGGCGCCGTGGGCGGCACGGCTGAAGGCGCTGATGCACTGCAGGACCTGGGCGGGGTCCTTTTGTTCGTAGAGGTCGACGGTCAGGAAGACGTCGTGTTCCTGAAGGTTGAGTGGCGGAGACTTGCAGGCGCGCAGAAAGTGGGAGATGTTCTCCATTTGGACGAACGGCATGGCGGACTGCTTGAACTTGATGCCTGGCGGGGGCAATGCGAGATTGACGAGCCTATTTTGGGAGGAAGTTTTGATTAGTATGAGGGTTTAGCTCTCGATGCAGAGTAACATGGAGGGGCATTCGTACTTGCAGAGAGCCACACCATCCTTGAGGCTCTCGAGGAGGTCCCCGGGTGCGAGCCTCTCGCCGAGCGTAGATTCAATCCATGACTTGACTTCATTGGCGGCAGCTGGTGTGTATCTGTCGAGGCGCAATTTGCGCAGGTCCTTGTCCAACGACGATACAGATGCCATTTCGTGGGCTGCACTGATTCCCTTTTTTCGCTTCTTGTCTGGGCTTGCGTTGGAAGTGTCGTTGAAAGTGTGTGGTCGTAGAATTGATCGATAGATGGCGCGTCTCGCAGAAGATTCGTCGGGTTTCGACAGGCAAAAAAAAAAAAAAGGACAATGTTGGACGTCGAAGGCGGGGGCCTCAGGGAGGATCGGAATGTGAGGGAGAGCAATTGCCGTCACTGATGATGCGACAGGCTGACGGCTTGTTGGGTATCAATAGTGTCGATAGGGCGAATGATGCCAGTGATGAATGTGTGGCGCGATGAGACTGCCGGCGTCGTGGCAAGCCTTGGCGAGATCAACGGACCTCGTAGGATGGGGTTGTGGGTGGGAGATTTGATGTTTATGCCCAGGGTTTCTGGAAGGTGAGTGATGAGGCCGCAGCGAAGAAACCTGGACCATGACGAGAGGACAGCCGGCTGGGCCGCGTTTCCTGTGAGGTCTGTACTAACAAGGCAGGTACCTGAACAAGGTACCTCGAGTGGTGGGCAGTGACGTGTGCGGGGTGGCGGCGGCTGGCTGGTGGCTAGTGGCTGGTGTCGCAAGGCTGGTGGCGGTGCGATTCGCTCTGCCGCGAGCTTGACCTCATCACTTGTCAAGCCATCCTCTCTGCCGCAACCTCGACTCAGCTCGACAATTCCCTTGACCAGAAAAAAAAAATTAGGTCCGTCATGTCTTCATTAGTCCAGACATGGTACAGGTGGAAGATGCTGCGTCTCCCGTGGCGCAAGCAATTCCTCATCGGTACGTTTCCATGCTCCGTCCACATGCTGCGTCCCACACCCACCTGCCAACGCCCCCAACCAAAGTTTGTCTCCTGACCCCGTCCAGGCCGCGACCTCAAGGGCAACACCTTTTGGGAGTTTCGCGAACAACGCGGCGACGGCCCCGGCCGCTTCCGCCGCATCGTCAAGCCCCCGCGCTCGACCCACTACTCCGAAGTCAACGTCTCGCCCCTCTGGCACCAGTGGCTGCGCTACACCCGCGAGCACCCGCCGTCCATCGAGGAGCAGTCCAACGACGAGTTCCGCCAGGAGAGGATGAAGACGCTCGCCGCCCAGGCCGACGCGCGCTGGGAGGCGAAGCCCAGGGTCATGGACGCTCCCGGCCGCGACATGGGCCAGCCCGTGCCGGCGCTCGACACGGCCAAGACGCAGCCGATTGCGCCCGAGCGCGTCGCGGTCAATGACGCGAGGGAGGATGCCGCGAGGGCGCCGACGGGAACAACGCAGGCTGCTGCGGCGGCGGCACCGGAGGAGAAGAAGCCCGAGCAGGACCCTTGGAAGAAGGCGAGAGGAGCCGGAGAAGGGTGGCAGCCAGAGGCGTGGACGCCAGGGTCTACGCGGAAGAGGTGAATTCTGCCGACATCATCATCAACACGATTGTACCACAACACATGTGTACAAACCGCACAAGTGTATAACATGTACAACACGTACAACATGTACAACATCTTAGAGAAGCATATCCCGCTCTTCATACCCGCCTTTTTGTCCAGAAAGGCCCTTTGAGCGTAAACATAATGAACATGGGGACTTGAACGCCCAGAACGCCCCCGCCATGCAATCCTCCCTTCCGCCAGCTTCTTTTCACCTTGGCTCTCAATCCCTCTTGGCCTCGGGCTCCCTCTTGACGTCATCGTCCAGCGCAGTGCGCAGCCTGTCCTCCTGCCGCCTCCAGTGGCTCCCTTCCTCGTAGTCCTTGCTGATCTTGAGCGCGTTGCGCAGCCTCTCGCTCTCCTTGATCTTGGCATCCGCCATCTCGTGCACCTGGTGGCTCTTGAACCCCTTGCGGATCGGCCCGCCGCCGCCACCGCCGCGGCCATTCTTCTTGCTCTCCATCTCGGCGAGCAGTTTCTGCCTCAGCGCGTCGCATCGCTTGTCAATCTCTTCTTCGTCGACCCTGTTGTCTCTGCTGTCAGCGGGCCCATCTCAACAACAAGTCGCCGTGAGGCCATTTGGGGGCCTACTCTTCTTCCTCGAGCTGATCGCGCAGGTCGAACACTTTGACCTCGACCTCGCGCTTGCGGTCGTGCTCGAGAATCTCCTTGTCGGGCTGGCGCTGCCGGTGGCGGAGCGAGTCGAGGTCCTTGGGGTAGGGCGCCGCGTTGTCGCGCGGGCGCACGTGCGCGAGGTTGCGCTGGACGTAGCCGGAGGTGCCGCTGCCTCGGGGCGTCGAGAGGCCCACGTTGTCGGACATGATGCGTGATGGGCTGTGCTTTGAGCGGTCGTGGTCCGTAGAATGGAGAAACGGCGACGTTGGCCGTCATGGGTGGTTGAGGACCGACAATGCAGACCGATAAGATAACGGATGCGTACGGTAGGCGGTCAGCGTGTTTGCCAGGGGGGCGAACGTGGGCGGCCGCGGCAGAAAAGTGACGGGTGGCGGGGCATCTGCAGATGCACCAGTGACTCTGAGATTCCTCGACATCTTTCTTGTGAGTCAGTGAAGGATCAATTGCTGACGACTTGCCCTGATTAAAAGTCGAGGTTCTCCGGAGAGAGAATTGAGGGTCCAGAGCATTTTAGTCTCCTATCTGAATTTTTTTTATTCTATTTTTGCTTTTTGACTTCTTGAGATACCCCTACCATGCCGTCTCTCGAAGCAGTCGCCGCGGGGCTCTCGGAGTCGCATGCAAACCCCAATGCGACAGCATCCGATGTCCCAGAAATCGCCTTTCCGCCCCTGACGAGGGATCACATCCTGAACTGCTCTTATGATAGCTGGTTCCCCAGATACCGGACATCTGCTCTCAAGTCACGGATCATCAAGCTCACCCCCGACTTTGTCAAGTACATTGGCGAAGACGGCATTATCCTCGCCGACGACGATGAGACGCAGCAAGACGACAGGCCAGACGAAGAAGAATGGGCTTCGAGCGGTGCTTCCACCCGCCAAGCACCAGACTCCGACTCCGACTCCGACGACGATGAGCCAGAGGCCGACACGCGCCCACCAAACGAACGCTTCCCCGAGATCCACCAAGAGATCAAGGACAAGATCCGCGAACTCGGCGGCGCCGTCGTGCCCAAGCTGAACTGGTCATCCCCCAAAGACGCCGCCTGGATCTCACCACACCAAAACACCCTCAAGTCGACGTCACCCAACGACATTTACCTCCTCCTCAAGAGCTCGAGCTTCGTCAGCCACGACCTCGAGCACGCCTTTGACGACACGGTCGACACATCCCCCTCGACCTCGTCCCAGTCGCGTCCCTTCCAGCCCGTCCTCGTCCTGCGCCCCTTCTTCAGCCCGCACCCGGCCCTCGAGTTCCGCTGCTTCGTCAAGCACCGCATCCTCATCGGCCTCTGCTCGCGCGACCAGAACCACTACCCCTTTCTCGAGGCGCTGCGGCCCGCCCTCGTCAGCAAGGTGCGCAGCTTCTTCGACGACAAGCTCCAGCTCACCTTCCCCGACGGCTGCTTCGTCTTTGACGTCTACGTGCCCGAGGACAGCGACGCGCGCGACGGCCTCGGCCGCGTGCGCCTCATCGACGTCAACCCCTGGGCCGCCCGCACCGACAGCCTGCTGTTCGACTGGGGCGAGCTGCTGACGTTTGACGTGCCGCGGCCCATTCTCGGCTCCGTCGTCAGCCCGCACGAGTTTCGCGAGGACGTGGGCGCCGGCGCCGACGACGAGGACGCCACGACAGAGGACGAGGACGAGGCCGACGAGCTCGTGCCGGAGCTGCGGCTCATGGAGCGGGATAACCCATCGTCGGCCAACTTTAGCTCGGCGCAGTACTCGGCGCACAAGCTGCCGAAGGAGGTTGTCGACGCGAGCACGGCCGGCGAGGGGGGCCTGCGGGAGTTTATGCAGCGGTGGAGGGACATGACGGCGTCGGAAGGAGGGGGCGACGTGTGGGAGTCTCCGCAGCAGTAGAGCCTGCAGGTTCAATGACGCACATGATCGAAAAGAGAGGCTCAAGCACGGGATAGGTTCTGCATGAGTAGACGCGAGGTGCACGATCCGTACAATGAAGAGATCACTAATGCTATGTAAGGAACCTCACTAGCCTCGGACCCGAAATCGGCAAACGCATTTGTCTTATCATAGTACACAGGGAAGAACGTTGTTCACGCCCACGACTCCGTCTGGCCTAGTGATAGTGACATCCAGTATCGCGCGGCGCTGGGCAACCGGCGGGACTATAGACCAGACGGATGGGAAGGGTTCCTCAGGCTGAAGCGTTGCTCTGAAACAATTTATCAGGGCCAGGATTACCTTTCTAGCTGACTGATATTTGGTGAGTCTCCTTTTGAATGTGTTCATGGTGTTCATACCCAATGATGCCTCCTGAAGCCATATTTTCCTTGTCGGCTCCCGTGATCTGAAACGGAACTATGCTGCTTCCAAATGCAGAGAAAAGCGTGCAGTATTCTCTCGAGACTCTAGACAGCAAGGTTACAGTCGTCTTTGGTACAATGACTGCATAAATGGGTGTTTGTCAAGGCAAATGATCATCCCGATGCCGACTGGAGAGCAGCCAAATCAGTCAAAGATTTGGCACAAATACTGGGATGATAACAGCACCATCAGTGCACGTTCATTCTTCGGGTCGAGTCTGGCGTGCACCGCGCCAATGACAAGCTTGTTGTTGGCCTGTCACTGATGCCGTGTACAACTGTCATGACCATGGCTTCACACAAGTGTCGAGGTCTGCTGCTATATTCGATCAGCTCTGAGACTTCCGCGCGTACACCCGGCTGGCTCATGACAGAGCTTGCCTGTCAATTTTCGAAATGATCACACGTTTCCTCACCATTTTGTTCAGATGAATTTGAAGATAAGGAACGGAGACAGAGGAGAGGAGGTGGCCAACTTGTACATGCCCTCAGACGAAGCGGCACTGCCAACGACGCTAACCGCATTTGGCCACCAGTCGTGGGTGGTGGGAAATCCCCGACGCCTTCGCACACACTGGCGCTCCTCTCCCTCAATTCAAGCCTGTTCACCCACCAGCTGTTATCAGCTGCTCAGCATCGCCAAACATCACGTCTCATCCGTGTCGTCGCGAAAGCATCCCGCCCGACCTAGAGAACCCTTCCATGTCCGGTAGAGGCGGTGCCATCGGACGACCGCGCGGTCGCCCGAACAAGGTCACCAAGCCTCCCATTGCCGGCGGTCGCGGACGAGGCCATCGCCAGTCCTCCGTCACGGCCGACCACATAGACGCCCAGCTTCGTGACGATGATGAGGAAGACCGTCACTCCGTCATTGCCAAAACTGAACACCTCCCAGACCAAGACGAAGACGGCGAGCACGACGACGTCGTAGACGAGGATCACCACGGTCATCCGAACCACCACCACCCAGGCGCTCCTTCCCAGCAGCAGCAGCAACACCAACACGAACACCAACCACACTTTGACCTCTCCTCCGCCGCCCACGGCCTTCTCCCCAACGGCCCAAGCCAAGCCGCCCAACAACAAGCAGAAGCCATACACTCCGCCCTCCAAGGCCTCGTTCCCGGGCCCGGAGCCCATCAGCAGCAGCAGCAGCAACAGCAGCCGCCGCACTCCCAGCATCAGCAACAACAACACCACCAGGCCCCGCCGCCGCCTCCGCAAAATTTCGCCATGGAAGCCCCCATGGACGCCGGCCCACCACGGACCGCCATCGACCTCTCCAAGGAGAGCGGCTATCCGGCCCTCCTCATAGACAGCGCCCTGGCCAAGCGTCTCGCCGACAACACGGGCGTTCGCCTCGCCGTCCAGCGCCGCCAGGACCAGGGCCTCAACCTCAAGCGCCGCAGCAACGTCGAGGCCCTGCTCGCCCACGTCTCGGGCCAGGAGGCGCACAGCCAGTGCAAGAGCTGCCACAAGGGCTACGGCCCCTGGAACGGCTGCATCGTCGTCAGCGGCCAGATGTGCGGCAGCTGCGCCAACTGCTGGTTCAACGCCAGCGGCTCGCGTTGTTCCTTCCACGGTACGTTGCTCCTCCTGTTCTTCTTGTTGCACGTTTTCACATGATGCTTCACTTTTCCAGAGACCACAAGTCTTCCATGCTCCCGCCCCCCAAACCTTCTTCGTTGCTGACCGGGCACGCGGCACAGAAACAAACCTCCCCCAACAGCACCAGCACATTCCCGCCATCCAGCTCCAGCACTCCGTCCCCGTCTTCACAGGCCTCGCCGGCCCTGTGCCTCCAGGCCTGCCCGCGCCGCCGCCGCCGCCGCCCCAGCACCTCCAGCAGCAGCAGCAACAACAACAGCAGCAGCTCGGCCCCAACTTTGCTCCCGGCGGCCTGGACCAGTACGTCCGCAGCATCCTCGACCGGCACGTCCTCGAGGCCCGCGCCGACGACCCCCACGTGCGCTACCAGTTCCGCATCGACGCCGCGGCGCGGCAGCTCGCGCTCGCGACGGCCGAGTACAGCGACTTCCTGCAGGCGCAGCAGGCCCACGAGCAGCAGCAGCAGCAACAGCAGCATGAGCAGGGTCCCGAGGGCGACCACGGGCAGGGCATGCGGGAGGTGGAGGAGGGGGAGTAAGCTTCTCGCGTCTCCTCGCAGACACGAAAAAAAGGGAAGAACGGGCCGGGGAAGAGGGGGACGGTAGACGTTGCGTCTGTGGTAGTTTTTGTTTCACCTGGAAAATTGTTCAATGCATGCCCCCACAGCCAGGGCTGGTGTTCTGCCGGATGTCGACTCGAGCGGTTCATGCATCTCGCCGTGATTTTCTGCGTGTCAGTCCACCAGCGGCCGTGGGACCAGCACGAACGAGGAGCGAAAAGTGTTTATGTATCAGTGAACCTTCAAGTCGTACATCCTACACGTCGTTGCTCTACTAGTGTTCCGTTGCGCCTCCCAGGCTATTTACATCCAGAACTGGCGACCATTTTACGAGGCACGCGTCCAACTCTTATCGAGCATGTTCCCGACGTCGCTAACAACGCGACTCGGGTGACATCAAGTCAGCCGGGCATGTGGCGAGCATATGTCCGCCCGATCGGACCGGTCTTCTTGGGTGTAGATGGCAAGTCACACGAGCGCGGCGTGGATGTTAGGAAATTGGACTTTCATAATTAAACAGAAATATTGAACCACCCTCCGTCCCACCGCGTCACTCCTCTCGGACATGCGTTCAGGGTCATCGATTCCTCCGCTCCCTAGTTCACCATCTGCTATCCATCCATCAATCGCTTAGAATTCCAGCCTGCTTTCTCCACCCTGTTCCTCCCCTTCCTCTCGCCTTGTCGCTCGTTGGGGTCGTTGCCCCTTGTTCTTTTTGATACAGACCACCACACGAATACCGCCTTCGAAATCTTCTGTCAAGATATTCGATGCAAGACACCCCGAAGCCTGACATACTGCCCACGCCAAAGCAATGCAGTGGAGGTAATGGGTTGGGGGCGTGACGGCGAAGGCTGTGGGCGTCTGAGGAGGCTGGTGTGGGCGACAGGAAAAACGCGACATGGCGTACGTGAAAAAATAAAAAGGGAATCCTAGAAAACCGTCGGGTTGCCGTGTGCGTCGTCGGGAGCGGGTTGAATTCATGAGCCAACTCCCGCGACAATGTCTAGCCGGAGCCATGCCATTACGAAGTAAAGGGTATTTGCTGAGAAGTAAAAAAAAACATTGCACTCAAATCAGGCCGCAAAGACGGAGGTTCTCCTGGATGATGATATCTGCGCGGATAGAGTTAGCTTCTGTAGTGTTGCATCAAGCCCAAGCTGGCTGGGACTCACCATTGACGGCCGCCATGACGAAGCGGATTTGCGTCGTGTCCGTCGCGCAGGTGAAGTGCGTGTAGATCTGCTTGGTCTCATGCTGGTTCAGGCTGACGAAACGGTTGAGAATGTAGTCGCACGCCGCGGCGTAGTCGTCGCCACCCTCGTAGTCGGGGAAATAGTTCTTCATGGGGCTGACGGGCAACTTCTCCTTGAAACGATCGATCTTGTTCAGGAAGAGGATGATAGACGTCTTGATGAACCACCTTGAGTTGCAAATCGAGTCAAACAGCGTCAACGCCTCTTGCATACGGTTGACCGTCTCATCTTCGAAAAGCAGCTGGTCGTATTCGGAAATGGCGACGAGGAAGAGGATTGTGGTGACGTTCTCGAAGCAGTGAATCCACTTCTTTCGCTCTGATCGCTGGCCACCGACATCGAACATCCTGTAGGTCAGATCGCCAATGATGAACGTGGTCTCCGTAATACCAGTCGTCTTGACACGCGATCGCAGGACATCTTGGTCGTTGGGCATGTAATCAGGGGCGGCGATCCGGGCAATGTTATCGAAGTAGCTGGCGTCTGTTAGCAACGGATGCACTTTCGAGCCGTGCGCAGATAACTCACTATCTCGCCGAATCGTTGAGCTGGTACTCCCTGGAGCGCTTGAAGCACTCCTGGACACCGCGGTCCTTCCACAGCGCCTCGATGGCGCTGCCGACCTCGGGGGGCAGGACATCGCCCTCAATCTGAGCCGGCTGCATGAAGATGGTCTGGACGTGGTACTCCATGCGCTGGTCCTCAAGCGGAAGCTCGAGCGACTCCATGGCCTCGAGGATGACACGCATCGACTGGACCGTGTTGCTGAAGATGATTTCCTTGAACGACTCGCGCTCGTCGCGCGAGTAGCCTCCCTCATGGATGAGCTTCATCTGCTTGAGGATCGTGGACTTTCCAGATTCACCAGCACCTGTAGACGCGTTAGTTTGAATGCCGAGAGATGACAGCCATCGCGTTGCTGAACATACCTAGAAGAAGCATCTTGATCTCGTTGCGCTGCATCATCTTATCCCTCTTGAGTTGGTTCTCAATCTCCTCGTTCCGGGCCTTGCCCTCCTTCTCCTCCGTACTCATTCCACAACCCATGGTGCCGGAGTTTCCTGGTGCTGACTATGTGGTGTATTATAATGGGACAGTTCGAAGGTTGGTGTGACTGCTGATTGGCGAGACTTGGGTACAAATGTTGACCTGCTGATGAAGAATGTTTGATTAGCCCACGCTTCTTCGCGAGCAAAATAGATTGCTATGCCAAGGCGCGCCTCGTGATGTGTCGTGCACCTTCGGCCCGTGTTGTTCATCGACCAGTGTATGACTTCCCATCCGACGTGGCGTGTTGGCCCGAGAGTCGTGACGAGTTCGGTAGATCATGAGGGTAGGCGGGTGTCGAGGGTCGTGTCGAGTTCGAGGTTGGTGGCTCGGGAGGCCAGACGAGGAGACGGCCAAGGAGACAGCCGCCGGGAAATGGATCACGACAAGAATTGCACGGGAACAGCGCGGCACAGGGCAGAACTCACCAATCCTACAGTCGTTGTGCACCAGTCAGTTGACGATGGCAATGGGAGTGAAGCAAAAAAGGAACGAGAGACGGCAACAAAACCGATCGTCGGCGTGGTGAGAGATGGATGGTTGCGACGGGTCTTCGAGATTGGGGGAGAAGGGGGAAAAGAGGAAGGGGCTTTGGTTTGGTTTGGCTCGGGAGGTGCGTTTAATGCGGGTGGAGAGGGACAAGGTCTGGCGGCCAGGGGGGGGGGGGAGGGACATGGACGGGGATGGGATGAGATGGGATGGGCCTGGGAGACGAGAGAAGGCCGTGGCCGGGGGTGTGTGGGTGACAATAAGCCAGACGCCAGTGCGGTTTCGGGTGGTACGGGGCTGCAGGTACACAGTATGGGAGCGGATCTGTGGGCATCGTTCGAATGCCAGAGTAGGGGACAGACTCAAGGGACCATCAGCGACAAGGGCGCCCCGACCACTCCACTACATGCTGGAAGGCATCAGCAAGGCATCAGGTGTGGGTGGCCCACAGAGCACCCAGTGGTTGCTGGGAGTAACAGTGCGAAGATGCTAAACAAGTGACACTGGACCTGTCGCTCCCCCGGCGGGGCGCCCACCCCGAATGCACTGGTGTCGCAGGTGGGGACACTGCGCCGTCCAGTCACAGGGCGCAGACGGGCTAGGTCGACGATGTCTTTGAAGTGAGGAAGGAACTACCCAAGCTACCTCTTGCTTGCCTCGCCTCGCCTCGCCGCCCCGGTCGTCCCTGCCCGCCGCCCTGACTAATGTAAAATTTCCTCGCGCCATCCAGATCACGGACCCCAGCCATCGTCGTCCGTGGTCTGTGGGTGGTGGTTTTGTGATGGAGTCCTGAGTACCTTACCATGTACACTCCTGATGGATCTTCGCCCAAAAATGCTCCAGGTGAGAACCCGCGACCTCGGAACGGCAATCACCTCTTCGCTGACGCTGACTGAATCTCTGGGTGCAGTGTGCGGACAGATACCTGCCGGCATATGTACAGGACAAAGTCCCAGGTCCTGCAAGGGGATGCACCAAGGCACCCAGCGGGTATCCCCTGCAATGACCTGCAGAAGTACCTCTTCCAGCCATCGCCGACACCAGTGACGGACGTCAGCCATCTTGGGAACAAGTGTACGGGCTCGTCAGGTGCCCATTTGACGAGTAGCTCTGTGTAAGGCCTGGCGCCAGGCGACGTATTAATCTACGGTGCGCGTCGGCGGCTTCTGGTGGTGTCGTGGGGGGCCTCGGCAACCGCCAGCAACAGCGTAGTAGCAGAAGCAGAACCATCGCCCCAGTGGACGGGCGCCGTCCGGTACCTTGTCGAGCTTGCTTTTAGAGCACGCCAGTCAATCCAGGCACTCACATGCGCTACCGAGCGCGGCTTCGCCGGCGCCATCTTCCAACCCCTCTTGCGCAGCTTGCAGCTTGCCACCCGCTGGAGCTGAAGCCTGCACGGCCGTGATTGACAAAAATACTGGATCAACGCGCGGGTGAGCTGGGGGCGTGTCCCGTTAATAACCTCGTCCGCTCGCGCAACCATCCAGGCAACACATCTCCTGCGGATCAGCGGCCTCTCATTTAATCTGTAAGGGGGGCTGATCGCTGATGACGGACAGCCAGCTTTATAGCCACGCTGCGGTGTATCCGCCAAAGAAGGCATTGAGGACCTGGCCTGGTTCTGAATACCTGGGTATGCTGCGGATGCCCGTTGGGCATCACAATCCCTTTCTTCCACTGGTTGCATGCTGTTGACATGCGGTTGCTTGCTTGACTCGTCGCCTCGATAACCGGTTCCGTTTGCCCTTGTCACTTTTCTTTGTCTGGTCACTGTGCAGCTGCAGTATGCCGCTGGACTGGACTATAATGTTGCCAGTCTGCATCAGCTCTCGTTGAAAAGCATCAATATGTAGGGCGATGTCTCTCAGCGGCTCGAAGGTGCCGGGCCATTTGGAATAGACGGACAGCGTGCCGACAAAACAAGGGCGTGCCCATGGAACGACAAAGAATCGTTCTTCTGGAAAAGCATCAACCGACAGTCTGGAAAGACGCTTCTGCACCTTCAACTGCCAGAACTTGCTTTTCTGGGAATCGATATATGACCGAGTCCGCACGGCTTACCAAGGGCGCATAAGCTGGGCTTTTCGTCTGTAGGAACCAGGGCCAGACCAAACATGAGAGACAGCCTTCAATGTCTGTCTTGCTGTCCGCGAGATGATTGGGCGCCACGGAGCCTCTCTCCCTGCATTCGGAGCCTGCTGGATGCTGTATGGTGTCAAAAGGGGGCCTAAGGCCTGCCAAGACCCACGATGCACCGACATCAACTTGGTCAAACATTTGGCATCAAAGGCGACAAGCAAGTCGGTTACAGAAGCCGGCGTTGAGTAACGGGAGCTATGAAGAGGTTTCTCCAGGTCTCAAGCCTTGTGATCATGGCGCCGGGCCGGCGGCGCCACACTTGTACAGTTTTGACTGTCTGAGGGTGGCCAACCTCTGGTTGCCCGTCAATCGAATGATCGAAGCAGTGCTGCGTCGCTTGTGTCTGGGGTTTCTACTCTACAGCAGCAACTGAATAAGCGTGCTGGCGATCGTGTGGCCGGGAACCCGAGCTTCTGTCGCCGCTCAACAGCAAGCAGCACTAGGACTGATCATCCCGTCGTTTCCACTGATGGCTTTCAAGAACAAGAACAAGAACAGCCACCAGCCGCCCCTACGTTGAAACGACTACCAACAATGCCTCATGCTTGCGTGGTTTGGATACCTTACGGGTTCTGTGTGACGACCTGGCCTGGCGTTTCAGAATGAACAGTTGAATTCACACTTTGGCTCACCTCTTATCCCGGGGTGGGAAAAACTGCGTTCTGCCGACACCGAACACTTCGTGAAAGAAGTGTCATGGTTGCTCCTGAGAGCGAGGGCAGAATTGATGGGCATTGTCAGTGCCCTATGATACACTTAGAGCCCGTCGAGCGAGTTTGTGAGCGGCTTGGCGGCCATGGCGGGCGCATGCTCCCCCAGATCTCCAAAAGACGCCCCTGTCGTTACAACGTCCATTGTCAGAGACATGCAACAACCTAGGCATCCCGGAACGGCACAAATCTCTTCACCCTCAATCGTTTGGCATCATCTCTGCTGGGCAAGCAGTTCATGTAATGCAGCTAACAGAGGGCAACGGTTTGGTCTACAAAGCGATCCAGCGCACGTCCTCACATTCCAGAAGCAGCGAGTCAGGTGTACCCTCTGAAGCCAAATTTCGTCTTGGAAATAAGGGCAATTTCGCTCGCATCTCTGCCCTCTGCCGGGCTTGGGCCGGAGACTATTGCCAGAAAACCAAGGAACTAGCAGGCTCCCCCCCCTGGCGCAGTGCTGGCTGCAGTCACAGTACTTCGCGCAGGAGGCAATTCCGAGGCCAGGGGAGCCACATGGCCATTCCCACATTTCGCCCCTTCACGATCCACGGCGAGATGAGCTGCCCCTGGATTCTGGTGTGCTTGTTACCGCAAGGGGAGAGCATGTGTGGAGTACAAGATCGTTCCGCGCCCGCATTACGAGCAAGCCTCTATTCCTAGTCCATCGAACGATGATTGCCTGCTTTGAGGGCATGAGAGGCGTCCTACCGCGGGCTGGCGGTTCGTCTCTTTAATTATTGATTCCCGTCCGTCGAGTGTCGTCAGCACCTTCCGGCGGGGTTGTGATAAAGCCTTCATTCGAAACGGAAATGGGCGGATTGCCTCTGCCATGGCCACCCTGCATTGCATCCTTACATCTATATCATGACTAGTATTCTTCGCCGCCCGCCGCCCGAAACGTCACATCTGATGTGTTCTTGGGACGAGAGCCAGAAAAAGACCAAGGACGGGTGGACAAGCGTTTCATTTGCCAGCAGTCAGTTGGCTCGCGCACGGTATTGGTTGCATCGGTCTTCCCCGTCGCTCCTGTTCCGAAGGATTTCCGGGGGTTCTAGAAGCAATGGAGAGCGACAGCGTGCTTGGCCACCTGAGTTTCATGTTTGCTCCAACGCGGGCGATTCGTCTATTGAGTCAAGAAAGCCGTTGCAGATCCTTTTCTGCAGTAGGCACACACCCAGTCGCACACACAGCCCCTGACCGTCCCATGATCAGCGTGGTCGATTCAATGGTACTGTCAGCCCCCGTATTGTCTGTCTCGCTGGTGGATGAACGCAGGCGAATCGGCGTCGCTGGGCTGACCCAGGGTTGCTGGCCTTCACTTCATCAGCCGAGGGCCGTTTTGGGGCATGGGGTGACATTAAGCCAGCGACAAGAGGCATTGGCGGGGCTGTTCATGAGTCGGTTTGGGCGAGTCTTACAACAGTTTGTTCAGCTCGACCAGCATTGAGACCACGAAGAATCATCACCTGCTCAGCCGAATAGCAATGGGAACCAAGTCGAAAAGGCGGTGGGCGAGGTCTTCAGTGAGATGACCATTGGCTGGTCGACCTACCGGCCGGTGATCAGGGGCACTGCCGAAAGTCATTAACCACTTTTGGTAGAGGTACTGTGCCTTGGAAGGCCGCGTTCAGCCACAGCTTTACGAGCTTGCGACGACTCTCAGATTACCTAGGTAGATTCAAATCGCTGTCTGGCAGCAGGAACCTTCGGCGTCGACCATTGAGACCCCTCAATTGGCAACATCCGATTGAAGCATTCGGTCTACTTGCTCCAGCCAACATGTCTATCCCCATGAACCGTCTCGGCGGCCGCGGTACGCGTCAAAGCCCAACACCCTTCTGCTTGGCAAGATGATGTCACCATCACAACATACCATTTCTCAATACCAACGAACGCGACGCTAACTCGACCACGCTTCCTCTTCTAGCCTTCGCCCACACGGACAACGACGATGACGAGACGGAGCGCGAGTACGACCGCCTCCGCGATCTGGCCCGGGCCGAGGCCGAGAAGCGGGGGTCTTGCTTCGATCGCTCCAAGGAGGCCTACCGCAACGGCGACGGCGCCGCCGCCAAGGAGCTCTCCAACCAGGGCAAGCACCACGACGCCCAGGTAGACGCTTACAACCAGCAGGCGTCCGACTTTATCTTCCGCGCCAACAATGCCCCTGGTCGCATCGACGAGGACGAGATTGACCTTCACGGCCAGTTCGTCGAGGAGGCCGAGCGTATCCTCGAGATGCGCATGCGCGCCGACCGCGACCGTGGCCAGTCGCACGTTTATGCCATTGTCGGCAAGGGTCACCACAGCGAGCGCGGCATCCAGAAGCTCAAGCCCGCTGTCGAGAAGCTCTGTCGCGAGATGGGGCTCAACTATGCGACGGATGAGCATAACACGGGTCGTATCCTGATCAACCTCCAGGGCGGCGAGGCGGTCCTCCCGCCGCAAGGTGGCAAGCACCATGGCCAGCAGCAGCAAGGTCATCACCAGCAGCAGCAGCAGCATGGTGGCTACTCGGGCCACGGCCAGCAGCAGCACGGAGGACAGCAGCAGCAGCAGCACCACCAGCAAGGTTACAACCAAGGACAGCAGCAGCACCAGGGCCAGCAGCAGGCCCAGCAGCAGCAGGACGAGGGTGCGGATCTTCTTGTCAAGCTTATGCGCAAGATGGAGAAGCACTGCTGTATGATTATGTAAATATGGGCGGACTTGAGCGCTGGGTAGTAAGACTGGCTTTTTGGATGGAACGTTTGGTTGGGAGACGTGTGACCCTATTCCAGTAGGGCTTGATACCATTGGGGAGGAGGACTGAATTGATTCTGGAGATACGGTTTGAGTTGCGAGTTAATCATGAGAGGCATGTTGCAAATTTGGTTAAGCTTGTGCCGGCCAGGGCTCTCTGGAAGCTACCTCTAGTAGTGGCCGCATCTCAAACCACGCGCCAGACTTTTTATAACCAGCATGCGCCTCTACATGATAGCGTGTCCTCAGCGGAATCCATCTCGGACGAGACGTTCTGAAAAGGCGATGCCTTGGGCCAACCAGTCATGAGGTTGTTCCCCAGTCACCTGGTGGCTTATCGCCCAATCTTATCCTTATCGCTACTTTTCCCGAATGAGCTAAGTGCGCTCCAATTGGCCATTCCAACCTCCAAGGACCCTCCTGACAAGCCGCGATAGCAACCTCGCAGCCAGACAGCTTTACATCCCAAAGAAATTTCATCATCGCGACAATCCATCTTCCCTACCACGACCATCACGAAACTCCAATCACCCACCCGAAAGTCCCCCAACCACACACACACACATCACAATGGAAGGGTACGCCTCAGCCTCCGCCGCACTACCCGCCTCCCAGCGCCCCTGTCGGACTACCGAATCGCTAACGAACCTCCTTCCCATAGCTTGACAAGGACCGAGGAGGCCATGCTCCAGCAGCGTCTCCAGAAGCGCCAGGTCAAGGAGTTCATGAACGTAAGCAACCCCGCCAGCAACCCACACTGCATGAGGAGGAGACATAGACGCCGTATGCCAACTTCACGAAACCTCGGCCGATTCTCCCGATCCGCCGCCGCGGCCCCTTTGGGGGGAAAAACGAAATCGAAGGAAAGGAAAAGCTGACCGCGAGCGAAACGTCACAGATCTTCGGCAACGTCGTTGACCACTGCTTCAACGCCTGCATCGACGACTTCACGTCCAAGACGCTTTCGTCGCGCGAGAACGGCTGCATCACCCGCTGCGTCCAGAAGCAGATGTTCTCTCAGCAGCGTCTCAGCGAGCGCTTCCAGGAGCACAACGCCGAGATGACGGCCAAGATGCAGCAGCAATAGACTCCCTGCACGCATGCTTGCACCGCGTGAGGCCTCACTCAGAGAGGGAGGGAGAGAGGGACACGCATGGTCTCAGAGCAAAACAATCACACACACCTGTATAACAACCATTATTGTATGCCCCCGTTCGTGGGATGGGTATGGGGAGCCCCTGCTTGGATCGGGCCGGTCGAAGAAGGGAAAGCGGGTTCACTCGAACGTGTACATCACAAAGAGGGTGGGAAAGGGGCGGCGCGGGCATAGACAGCAGGCGGTGGATAATGAAACCCCCATTGCCGCGGTTGCTTTCGAAATAACATATCAAAATCTCACTCCATCATTCTACCTTTTTTGACAGTGCACACTGACTCTGGCTCACTTCATTAGGGTCATCGATGTTGAAAGGCCAATCTGAGGTATCATGGCTACCGTACTAAAATTTCGTACTATCTAATGTCACATGGCCCGCAACGACGTTTTGTCTCGCGACTGCCAGTCCCCTCCGCAAAGAGTACATACATCCAACGCCCATAACCCCATTTTCGTCTCCCCAAGATGCTTCCTTCCATCCTGAGAGAGTGGCGGCCTGATATCAAAAGTTGCCATAGACATAACTACTCCAAATCCTCCATGAGCACGTCTCGAACGGCCTCCATCTGCGCGACGACCTTGGCCTCGAGCACATTGTCCGGTTTCCTCTCATCCCCGGCAGCGTCGATAGCTGCGCCTCTCCATTCGACCTCGCGCTGACCCAGGGGCAGCAGCCGCTCCTTAAGAAGTTTGCGTGTTGAGAGCCAGAAGTCGATGTTTTCTAGAAGTGATGCTGCGTCCCAATCAACTGCAGGAATGTCGCGGTTGTTGTTCACGCGGAGAGCGCCGATGACCTTGGTCAATAGAGCTAGCGAGTGAACCTCGGAAACAGCAAGGAGCGTGACGTAGTGCGGTGCATCGCGCGAGGCCGTACGACTAGCGCCAGGCGCTTCAAACCTCTCCACGCTGGATTTGAGAAGGTGGGGGAACTGGTTCAGAACATAGGCGACCTCGGGCGCCACTGTCCCGCCGAGAGCAGTGAGGAGGTTGAGGAGGAGAGGTAGGACACCCTTCGCCCAAATGCTGTAACACCTCTGAGCGCCGACAACGTCGGAAAATGGCGAGATAATGCCTTTACGCATGTAATTTGTAATGTTAGCCGAAGTGAGGTGGCTCAGCAAGCCATCGGCCGCCATCTGTTCCGCGAGAGTGGGCAGTGTAGAAAGCTCCAAAAGGAAGAGCAGACTCAGCTCTCCGTAAATCGGGTCGCTGTTGGTCGAGAGTTTGTCTGACCAAGAAAACAGAGATGTCGCTGCGTGCATGGCGTCGTATGACGCCATGATGTTAAGGATTTGAGTCTGGCACTGGTCCATCGCAGGCATACTCAGACAAGCCTGAAGAATCGCGGTTAGGAGGGCAAAATCTTCCGGCGCGACCGCCGCATTCGAGTCGTGCACAAGACTAATCAGTGATCTGAAGCCCTTGGCCACAACGGTATCAAGGAGGTTGAGAAAAGTCTGTGTCAAGGTTGTTGACGAGCCTTTGGGACCAGATGTTGAAGCTTTGAGGCTTTCCTTGTCCGCGGAGCCGTAAAGACGTAGTGTGACATAGACTGTCTTCAGAATGGTCCGGTGGTATTCGATGGACTCGGGTCCGAATGGGTCTTGGACGGCGTTGATCACACTGAACAGGCTGCCCAAGATCTGCTTGATGTCTTGAGATGTAGGAGATGTACCGACGAGCCGACGAAGCAACATCAAGGCCAAGTTGGCTCGATCCTCGACGATGCGCACGAAGATATTCTCGGGACCTTGAGTTGACTGGTTGGCGTTGAGACACTGCTGAGCTACTTGTAGCATTTGCTTCTGGACATTAGGGTTCTCTGGCAATGAACTGCTCAATTCAAGGAGCAAGAACTCCCACGCGTGGAACAGAGACTGGGAGATTATTAGCAATTGGCCAGACTTCGCTCTGGACAGGCCAGACTTACAATTTGGGCATCGACCAGAGACAAGTTGGCGTTCGCGATGCCCATCTCATTCCTGAATCCATCATCTCGTCGACCGTGCCAGCCGGGATCGAAGTCCAGCATCGTGTTTGCACGATCCAGGGCGTAGTAGTACCACTTTCCAAGCTCGCGAGGCTCCAACGCCGTTCGCTTGAGGCTGTCCAGGGACACTCCAGGGTATTTGGACGCAAAATTCTTCGTAAAGTTGTTGTGCAGTGAGTTGTTGTAGCTTGCCACCTCGACACCATCACGGAGAAAATAGTCGAGATCCGCCACAAGGCTTTTCGCCAGCTCCTCAGCACCGCCCATCTGTCGCTGATGGTACAGCTGCATAGCAAAGATCTCAGCGATGTAGGCCGCCATCTTAGCCTCGACCGCTGCCTTCGTGGCATCTGTCCTCGCGGTCGTGCTTGAGGTCTGTAGCTCTCGCACGAAACGGCGAAGGGACTCGAAGTAGGATGAATCCCTCTGCATTGTGAAGATTGTCCACGGCCAGTGATTCTGCGCTGAAGCAACAAAGTCGAGAACCTTCAGCGCCTCCTCCCTCTCCAGGTCGTTGATGGCCTTCAGCTTAGCGAATGCAGTGCTTAGAACAGAGGTGGTCGCTGATTCAGTGGTTTTATCGTCACCCCTGCTCAGCGCGTCGCGAGGTGTTCTGCCTGTGAGCAGGCAGTTTGACATCCACTGCTGTCGGTTCTGTACTATGATAGAAAAGAAGTGCCATGTGGCACAAACTTCAGAAGATTGAAGGAATGGCTTTCCGAGGCCTGACAGTAGTTGTAGGAACGATCTGGACAGGAGCGGACCGAGATATCCAAGCAGAGATGGGGGGTCGTCGTGAGCTTTAGAAGCATTGACAACCAGTGCCCCAAGGAGCGCCATCACGGGTTGCTTGAATTCTTCATCAACAGCGCTCAGTCGAGCAAAAACAGAGGTTGCTTTGAAGAGATACTCTTCAAACGCGGTAGAAGGCCGCTCCAGGAGAGATGCCACACGCAGCAATGAGGTTGCGAACCCGATCGTCGAGACTACCTGCCTCCTGATGGCAGACAGCTTGCCGAGGTATAGAGTGGAATCCGGGATGCGCAATGCAGTGATCCAAGTCCCAAGAAGAGCCTGAAACCTCAACGAGCCATTGGAGCCAGAGAGGAAAGACTCAATGATGTAGTCAGATGCTGGCTGCAAGCAGATGGACAGTGATTCGGGGCTTCTGGGGTCGCCGATGGAATATGTGTCAGTCACAAGCCTCTCCATGATGGGGATCAGATCTTGAATCAGTATTGTCTGATGGATTTCCGATGGGAACCGCCAGGTAGAGGAGCTCTCGAAGACATCAACGGCACTTTGGGCAATAGCAAGGCTGACTCTTGCAAGCACCTTGTCCGCAACTCCGAGCCAGACATTGTTTGAGACTTTCTGGCGGCCGACAATCTTGTTACCAGACTTCCGCTGGATAGCGCTATGCATTACGCTGTCGACAAGGCTTGAGAACAACCTGATAACGGAAAGCAGGAAATCAAAGCGATCGGGTGATAGGTCAAGTTGGCCGACCAATCTAGTCAACTTTCCGGCACGTGAGTCCGAGTTGAGAAGATCGCATCGGGCCATGTAGGACCAGACGCGGGTTGGGCAAAGTGGCAAGGTTGCGTGGAGGAATTGGACACACGAGGTCAAGACAAGGATACCAGGGCCATCGGCAGTCGCTTGGTCGTCTTGTGTATAGACGTCGAGCAGGCTGCAAACGATGGAGATGATATCCTTGTTGCCCGAAAGATGCTTGCTTGTCTCTTCCAAGATTTCAAGACCAGCCTTGAGCACAAGCTCGCCTTTAAGTCCTTTTTTCTTGCTCTTGATTGATTCAGATTGAAGAAGCGTTGAGAGCAGTGCAACAACTTCTGCAACGTCCTCCGTTCGCAAACCCTCCAGCTCACTGTTGAAGGTTTCTGATGCAAGATGCACTTCTAGTTGTTTGCCTAGAAGAGCGAGTGCTGAATGTTGATACTCCATTAGTACAACACGGCCAGTATCGGTGATGAAACGTCCGTAGGTGCCAGCGGGTATTATAAGCGCATCATCCTCGCGGGATCTTCTGCTCCAGGAAGACGATGTGTTGAATAGGGAGATATCGGCCAATAGGCGGAATGTGTTCGTGTTCTCCTCTTCCTGCGCCAACTCGTACTCCTGGAAGTTATCGGGTAAAGAAAAGGTGAGGGAAGGAGTCTTGCGAAGCAGGTTGATAATCGCATCTGCGCTTTCGTCCGTGGCAGATGCACTGGTGAGAGAACGGCAGAGGTTTAGGAATGGCAAGAACTCGTAAGGATAGCGGCTGAATGCTTGGTCGAAGTAGAATTCCAGGGCTCGAGGGTCCTGCAGCGTTTGAGCGGCGATGTCTTGCGCTGGATCCAAATCATGAGATAAATCCCAGTAGCTCTTTCCGGCGGAAAGGACCGAGAGCAAGGCTGTGACGGGATCTGACTGGTAGCCAACCAGAGGGTAAGTGGCTTTCAAAAAGTCGATGAATGTAGTTCGAATGCGGGTGCCCAACGCAGGGGCAAAGCTTCCTTCGTTTGATGCAGAGGCAGCAAAAACCATCTGTGTCACAATATCATAAACCCTGCCCTGGGAAGTGACAGCGATGGCCAGCTGTTCGATTGCTTGCGTGTCATCCTTGAGACCAGAAACAGCAAGGAATCCGTCGAACGGCAAGCCATCGAGAGAGACGATGCTGCCCGCGGACAGTCGGCGTCCGGTGCTGGGTCGAATCAAGGCCTGGGGTTCATTCGAATCGTTAGATTCGAAGACGTCTTGCGACCTCTGGTTCTGGATCGTGTCTCTTTTCTCCGAGCGCTCGGTGTGCGAGATGGTCATGCGGTGGGTGATGACGGTCCAAACAAACATGACAGGACTCTGGCTTTCGCAGCCGGCATCAGCAGCTGTGAGGATGGCATCGTGGATCTTTGACAAGACGTCTGATGAGGCAAGATAAGGGTTGTTCTCATCGGGGTGGAGGTCAATGTCTTGTGACAGGAAAGCCATTGCCCTTGTGGGATTCAAAAGCTTCAATGAGATCACGCAGACTAATGTGTGAATGGGGAGCACAACGGAGGCGATGCTCTCATGAACCTATTTTTCTCGTTAGTGGGACAATCTCTCCATCGCCCAATTCAAGGAAGGCATACCGCAGACAGGCCTTCGAAGAAGACGCAAGACTCCATTAGTGTGAACCATTCAAGGACAAACGAGGGGGCCGCAAAAAGGTCACCATGGCTGTCCAGGGCCTGAAAAACAGTGGCCAAGGCGTGTGCAATTTCGGTCAGCAAGGTTCGTTGCCATTCAACCTCGATCTCGTCGATCAAGATGCTCTTATTGTCAGTCTCTCGTTCAAAGCCGTTGCCAAGGCTCTCGACTGTCCGAGCTATCCACTTGAGGTTGGTTGAAATAAGATTCTCCGCCAGCTTGGTCAGATCCTCGGCGGGTAGGACAGGGTAAGTCGCTTCGATAGCCTCTTCAGTGCCTGTGGTAGCTTTGGGCTGATGGCGCAAAGTCTCACCATGCGTCAAGTCCGCAGCCATGGCCAGAAAACGACGCTCTGAGAGGTAGGTCTGGAAAATGCGTAGGCGCTTTGCTTCCTCCTTGTCAAACGCGGCCCATATGGCGTCGGCATCCATCGTCGCGCCAGATATGGGGACGAGGCTCGATGACTGAGAGTTGCTGACGCCAGCAGCTTCTTGAAGGTTGACGGCATCTTGTGTTGATAGTGGCCCTGCGAGATGAGCGGCAGGTCGAGCCTGAAATTCGAGAACGACGATTCGAAGCGCTGCAATGAGGTTGACATTGCCAGCTTTGCTTAGCCATGTAGCATCCCCCTTTATGGTGCCAATGTCATATTTGCCGTTCGGTGTCGGGGTCACGTTGATGGCAGTCGTCGTTGTCTCGAACTGCTTCTTCGTCGCATCGTTGGATGGGCTGAATGCAGTTGCTGGGTCTCGAAGGAGTGATCGAACATGTTCGTCTTTTAGAAATTTGGACAGGGTTTCTGTGCTTCGACGTTCGCCGGTGGGCTCAGCTAAAGCTTTGGCGACGAGCCTCCAGGAGCTGGTGGCACAGATGTGAGCAATGGCAATCAACAAGGCAGCGCAAACAACAGCAGGGAGCTGCGTGGGAGGCACATACAGAACGCTGGTCTCGCCCTTGAGGCAGTCCTCCAGCGGAGGAAAATAGATCTGATCTGTCAGTGGCGCCATTGCCGCAGTGCTCGAGTGTGTGATGCAACCAAGGCTACATGAGACACCACTGCTGGCGAAAGTTGCGAATCAAGGCAGACGAACGCGGTCCGTCGCGATGCACCTTTGGAGCAGTGGTGTTGAGCTTTGGCGGTACTTTGGTACCTGCCTTACCTACCTACTTCCTGCCCTGTCGTTTTTTTGTAGAAGCTCGGACGTTGCGCGCCTGCAAGCTTGTCAGCCACAGTCGAGAAGCCGGGGCTTTTCCGGATTACCAAGAATTGTGGCTCGGCGGCTCATTCGACTGGCCTGCCCGAATGCGGAGCTCTAGGAAGGCATCTTCCGAGAGATAAACTCAGGGTCCAATGAATGTAATCGCACTGTGGTCCTCGCCTTGGGAGAGCCATGGACCACCGTGCCAAACGGACAAAACACAGTATTGAGGGTTCCATCACACGTATTTCGCCCGCAACTCAAAAGGCTGGTTTGAGTTGACTCACCGAGGCCACGTCAACTCTCAACAACAGAATCCCCAAGGGCCGCGCCAGGAGGTTTCGATTGAATTATATCGCTTTGCAAAAGTGGCTGTCTGACAAGATGCCGTCGCTCGACATCATCGATCACTCTCCCCACCATCCGGACCCCTCGCCACCAATTCCCACGGCGTCAAACCTCATCCTCATCGACAATTATGATTCTTTCACCTGGAACGTTTACCAGTACCTGATTCTCGAGGGCGCCAATGTCACGGTCTACCGGAATGACAAGATTACTCTGGAGGAGCTGGCCAGCAAGAATCCTACGCAACTGATCATTAGTCCCGGTCCCGGCCATCCCTCGACCGACTCTGGTGTCAGTCGCGATGCCATTCGACATTTCGCCGGGAAAATCCCCATTTTTGGCGTCTGCATGGGTCAGCAATGCATATTTGACGTCTATGGTGGCGAGGTCAGCTCGGCTGGAGAATGGTTACATGGCAAGACCTCGCCTCTGACCCACGATGGCAAGGGTGTGTATGCTGGATTACCCCAAGAGCTCCCCGTCACCCGTTATCATTCTTTGGCCGGCACGCAGGTCACTCTTCCTAGCTGCCTCGAGGTGACCTCGTGGGTAGCAAAAAGTGACGGTTCGCCCGGTGTCATTCAGGGTGTCCGTCACCGAGAGTACACCATCGAGGGTGTCCAGTTCCACCCAGAGAGCATCCTGACGGCTGAAGGTCGTACCATGCTGAAGAACTTCCTTCTGCTTCAAGGAGGCACTTGGGCAGAGAACTCTCGTCTGCAAAAGGCTTCTGCCAGCAATGGTGCCGCCAGCACTGACACTCCGGCACAGCCCGCGCCGCCCGCTGCCGGTAAGAAGAACAATATCCTGCAGCAAATCTACGACCGCCGGAGGAAGTCAGTCGCCGCTCAGAAAGAGATCCCTTCGCAGAGACCTGCGGATCTGCAAGCGACGTATGACCTAAACGGAGCGCCGCCGCAAATTCCATTTGTTGCTCGACTTCGTCAGACGCCATTCGATGTGGCTCTCATGGCGGAAATCAAGCGAGCCTCACCCTCGAAGGGAATCTTCGACCTGAGCATCAGCGCCCCAACCCAAGCCCGGAAGTATGCTCTCGCGGGTGCCAGCGTCATCTCTGTTCTCACAGAGCCCGATTGGTTCAGGGGCAGCATCGAAGATCTGCGAGCGGTGAGGCAAGTTCTGGATGGCATGCCCAACCGACCTGCGATTCTTCGGAAAGAATTCATCTTTGAAGACTACCAAATCTTGGAGGCCAGGCTCGCTGGTGCTGATACCGTCTTGCTCATTGTCAAGATGCTGACAGTCGAGGAGCTGGAAAGGCTCTACAAGTATTCCGTCTCGCTAGGGATGGAGCCCCTAGTAGAGGTACAGAACACGGAGGAGATGACAATCGCGTTGAACCTCGGGGCCAAGGCCATCGGTGTCAACAACAGGAATCTTGAAAGCTTCGAGGTTGACATGGGCACGACGAGCCGACTGAGGAGCATGGTGCCTGAGAACACCATCATCTGCGCGCTGAGTGGCATCAACACATATGATGATGTCCTGTTGTGCAAGAAGGATGGCGTGAATGCCGTTCTGGTTGGTGAGGCTATCATGAGGGCTTCAGATACGAGCAAGTTCATCAAACAATTGTGTTCGGGCTCTGACGCTGAGCCGGAGAAGCCCGCGCCAGAGCCGCTCTTCGCAAAGATTTGCGGCACACGGACCCCTGAGGCAGCGGAGGAGGCTGTTAGGTCAGGTGCAGATTTCATCGGCATCTGTTTAGTGACTGGGGCTAAGCGTTGCATTTCTGATGACACTGCCCTAGCCATCTCGCAAGTCGTTCATTCCTCTTCGGCGGCCCGTTTCCTGCCACCTATGGGATCATCGGCAGCAGGCAAGGCCGCGACAGACTTTTTCAGCTCGGCAAAGACGCGGTTGTCTGGTTCAAGAACACTCCTGGCCGGTATCTTTCAGAATCAGCCCCTTGATGAGGTGCTCCACAAGCAAAAGCTCTTCAACCTCGACATCGTGCAGCTTCACGGCGATGAGCCTATCGAGTGGGCGAGCCTCATTCCAGTGCCTGTCATCCGCGCCTTCAAGCCTGGCCAGGTCGGAATCGGCCGCCGTGGCTATCACACAGTTCCTCTTCTCGACTCAGGCGCCGGCTCTGGCAAGCTCCTTGACTTTTCGAGTGTGACTGCCACGCTAGCTCAGGACCCTGAGCTGCGGATCATGTTGGCTGGCGGCCTCAACCCTGACAATGTGGTTGACGCTGTACGGGCCCTGGGAAAGTATGCCAGCCAGGTCATTGGCGTTGATGTGAGCAGTGGCGTCGAACAGGATGGCAAGCAGAGCTTGGAAAAAATCAGAGCGTTCATCAAGGCTGCCAAAAGTTGTCATGTAGTTGCGTAGATATGATAGATTGCACCCAACCCATGTCTAGGAAAACAAGAGCCTGTCGAATTAGTGGCGGTCAACGCATGTGACTAGAATTTCACGGATTACCTAGATGTGGTCCTCTGGAGGCCTTTGCATCATTGTCTGCTGGGAAGTGCTGCCAAGCAAGCGTACGCTCTTCTGCTGTCGTTCCTTCAGGATTAGTCAATACGAACTTTGAACAGAGCCTATTAGCACCTTGTTACTTCGGTCAGGAGCCATGGTTCTGTTTCGTTTCGGACATTTTACTGAAAGCAGGAGCAGGTCTTGAACCCTGGCTCTCACAACCTCTTCCGTGAAGGACTAGGAAGTTCAATCGCAGGGATGGATCAGAATTTCTTCTTGGAGATATAAGTTTCAGCAAAGGTTCTTCACCTACAGCTAGCTCAAACCTCGGGAGAAGCCATCCACTTGCGCGCAAACTCACATTTCATACAATATATCTAGCATTCATCTAAATACGGACAAGGTGAACAGATATTCTCCCAGCAGTTCCTTATGCTGGAATTGTTTCATACAGTTGGTCTTTCTAATTGCGTCGTTTCCTTAAGATTTACTAAGCTATCTAATGCGAGCATCAGGCACTGCAATACCTGCCTGTTGAGGACCTTTCTTACCATTAGCAGCCATGGCGCCTGCGATCTTCAAGAACATGGTGCTGGCAACAGCAGGGCCCCTACCCGGCCAATTCACAGAGGAGAATCTAGCTACGTGGATCAAGCAACGCAAGGGTCAGTTCGTAAAGGACATGGATCAATCTATCACTCATCTACTTTGCACAGATGAGCAATACAAGGCACGAAAGAAGATCAAGAGAAGTGTGTTTAACTCGGCCTCAGCCAGATATTTCCTCTCAAACTATGCCGTCTCGAGGCCAATTTCAAGGCAGACTTTGATGCTGACTTCTGTCACAATAGTTAAAGAGGCCCAGCAAAAAGGCAGTCGTATCCGCGTCGTGCATTACGACTGGTTCGAATTCTCGTGCAACCGTAACAAGAAGCTTCCGGAGAAGGAGTACTACTTTGACAACCTACTTGCAGAGGAGAGAGCTAAGCGCAGAAAGCAACTCGCCAAAGCCAAGTCTCAGCGAAACCTGGCGATCGGTGAGCACTGGATCAATCCAGGTAAGTTATTCACAGAGGGGTTGAGCAACGAAGGCACGGCGGCGAGCGCCAGGTTGACAGATGCATCAGATTTATATCGAGTCTTTGCGGATGTTTGTCCCTTTGAGTATCAGGTTGAGCTCTTCCGCATCTTCACAGACAATTTTGGCACGTGCGAGGAGAAATACGTTCTCTATGTAAGTCCCAATTCACTGCCTAACTGAGCAACGCGACGCGTCTTCGACGGACGGTGTTTCCTTCGATCTCACAATAGTCGCGACGAAAACGCGGGAGATTTTCGACTGACAATACCACTAGCTCTTCCAATCTTTTGCCAAACCCACTCTATACTGGTTTGGTGTCAAGTACTACAAGAAGGACGACGGAAAGAGGTGGATGTTGAAGGCCATCAACCGACCGTCGCCCTGTTCCCGCCCCTTTCACACTGAATTCGACAAGTTCAAAGACTTCTTCAGGCTCAAGACCGGTATTGCCTGGCACGAGCGTATCACCAAGGCAGGCACGACCGAAAGTACCTTTTTCCAGTACACACCACCCGTAAGTCATGACATATCGATTCTTCACCGACATTCATCACATTTTATCAGTGGCTAATAGCAGTGATAGACGGGAGGCAAGCCCGTTGGCAAAGGATTGACCAGAGGAAGAACACATGAAGATTGCCTTGAGTTGAATCGTCAACTACGACGAATGCACAACGATTTATTTGGTGACACGCAGACAAACAGCGAGAAGAACCCGTCAATGATTGAGGGCCCAAAGACTCAAGATCCTGCTCAAGAGTGTGACCAGAATAGCCACCAAAGCGCCAGCGACGCAACGGATGTGGGAACCATGAATCAAGACACGGCCGAACAAGAGTTGCTTGAGCTGCTCAAAGACAAAGGCATCGAAGACGCCCTGGACCGAACTCTTTATTCTGTGGCTCAACACCATCAGAGCACATACAGCGGTTACCATAATGAAGCCCGTTCGCCAGACAAGACGAAGCTTGAGATACCTCAACCCAGAGATGCTCCTCTATTCAAGCCCGATCAACTCTTGTCTGACAAAAACTCAGCCACTCATAGCTCCTTCAGTACGGTTGAGAGTTTCAGGAGCCCCAGTGTGCCCACTTTCGACGAGGCTGTTATCGGGACGGACGCTGCCCAGGCACAATTGATCCAAGAGTCTATCGACCAGGCCGCCAAAGATGCCAACGGTGAAGAAGGCCAGTCAGTTTCTGAAAGAAGTCAAAAAGATGGCGGAGTCGACCTTGACGATTATCCCTCTGGCAGACAACAGGCTGCCTCTGACAAGAGCAAATCAATTGATGTGCTGCTCAAGGCTGCCAATGCTAGCCAAGCGGTTCGGGATATCTTGAGCAAGACCGAGTTTGCTCGTGTCATGGGCGAACTTGATGACTTGCCCATCGAACAGGTCAAGGCTCGTGACTTCTCTCAGGACCGGGAGCCGGTGAAAAGCCACACGATCGTTGAGCCAGACTATCTCGAGATTCCTAGCGATGACGTTGAGGAGAACCCTCTGAGCCGAGTGAAGTTGCAGCCCTGCGACAGAGCCAGAATCAGAGAAGCTTTCGAGCACATGACCTGGTCGCAGAAGCGCAAGAGAGACACCGGCAAGGACATGGCTGCCTTTCGCACTCCTGAGAGTGCTGGCACCTTCATGGGCGCAAGCGAGGTCAGGGTGGTCACCAAGCGGGTCAAGAAGGCCGCGAAACACAAGTCTGAGGCTCGCCATATCACGAAGGCGATGCGAGAAACCGCAGGTGCTGAGATTATGCAGGAGGGCACCTTACGGCCTCTGAGTGAAGAACAAGTCGCCCATATCTTCAGCCAGCCCATCCCACAGCCTGGAGGCAAAATCCCCAGCAGCAGGACTATCAGCATGGAATTGAGCCTGGATGACGTGTCAGGTATGGTTGATGAGATGTTTGGCGTCAGCAAGTTCGACGACGGTAGCGACCTCATGACTGAAATGCACGGCGAGCGCCCTTGGCCTGCTGGCCATAACCCTGCCAGCCCCGAGGATGACCCTGCCCACACGAACGAACCCGTCGAGGACTTCGACACTCGAGCCCCGAGCTTCAAGGATATGTCCGCCAAAACTGCGGCTCGTGGCAGCAGCGGTATCGAAGTGCACTGCTTCATGGACCAAGAGACCGGCGAACACCGCAGTGGTACCAGCATGGCTCTTTCGAACAATGAGTCTTCGGCAGATGACGACTACGTGCTCTCCCAAGGACTGAACACTGCCATGCAGACAGACATATCTCCTGCCGACGAAGCCAGCAACTTGATTCAGTATCGACAGAGCGCGCCCCGGACTGAAGCGTGCTTTGCACCATTCGCTGAAGAGGAGTTGATGTTTCAATCATCAGATCTGCACCCCGACGTCTCGGCACACTTCAAGCCGAAGACGAACTGAATTTGTGCTACGAGAGGTACGATTTGACTTCGCCTGCAAATATCGAGGCAAGCGCTGCCACGATTTGCATGTTTCGCTCGGTAGCCGTTGCATATAATTCAGGTTGCTTCGCATGAGTGCGTCTAGCAACGCTACCGATGGGTCACGAGATAACCAGGGGGGGAATGGTTGCTCTTATGGATAGCAAGGCATGGCATCCGGGTTTGCAAGGGTAATCAGGATGACGATTCAAGGCGTTCGTAAAAAAGATACCCAGAAACAAATGTTTCTCTTGCTTCTGGGTTGGCTAAGTTTAATAGCTTGGCGAGCGTTTCTCGCTGATAGGATCGTGAATACCTTAGGACATGAATTCTTCCACCATTTGAGGTGTTTCCCAGATTGCGCCTTACTCGTTACCATCCCATGTTTACTAACTCATTAATCAGAAGCGCAGCTTCGGCATAACGAACACCAGTAGCACCAACGCAACCATGAGCCCATACACCCAGGCATAGAGAATCATTCTGCCGTACCACCCCTTTCCCTCCGTCATGCGCTTCAGTGCGCCCATGCGTCGGCTCGCGGCATCCATGCCCTTTTCCGTCCGGTCCATGCCCTCTCCTGCGCGGCTCAGCAAGGCCTTGTCCTCTTCGAGCGTCGTAGAGAACCGTTGTGATGACGCCTTGAGCGCACTGGCCATCTTCAAAATGGAGCCGGACAGAGCGTCTTGCTCGGCACGCTGGTGGTCGAGGATGGCTTCGGCGGTGGCTGTCGAGGAGCCCGTCTTCGCAGACAGGCCGGTAGTGGTGCGCCGGTTGGCAAAGAGGGCTGCGCGCGCCGTCGTGGCTGCAGTATCTTGTGCTGACGACGACTGGGGCCCCCTCGCACGGAGCGTCTGGGTTGTCGTTGTTGCGGGTGCCGACAGGGTTTCTGGAGACACATGATCCGGATCTCGCGTCGTGCCTGTGGACTGTTCTGCGCTGCCTGGTGGATGGATCGTCTGTGAAGCAACTGAAGGGGGCAGATCTGGTATCTCGGGTTCTGGATCTGATGCCTCGGCATCCTCTGTCCCCTCGGTCGGTATGTCTGTCGACTGCGAGTCCATGCTCTCGCTTGGTGTGGGTATTATTTCGCTGAGGTAGTCTTCTCCTTCAGAACTGTCGCCATCGTCGTCATGTAACTGTCGAAAGCATCAGCCGGGGCCTTGATCGCGGGTTCAGACTGCGGGCGCACCTGTCCCAGATCGTGCATACGATCCACAAGCTTCTCCAAAAGCTCCCGCTTGACGTTCAGGTCGGTCTGTAGCTCCGCTTTCCGTGCCTGAAACTTCAGTCCCATCGTTTCCTGCTCCAGTCTCGTGAGGAGACTCCTCGCGTAGTCCAGGTTCTACGATGACCAGGTTAGACGACTTGTCAGATCGACGCATGGCTGCGAAGTGTAGACTTCTCACCGAGTTGATGCGCGCTCTCTCAAACTCGCTCGACCGCAGTCTTCGCTCGCGCGCTTGGTCTGCGCGGAGGATCGTGTGTTCGAGTCGGGAGAGGAGCTGGGCTAGTTCGGCAGTGCCTCGTTCGGGCGTTGCCGCTGGCGTGACGCCCAGTGCGTGGGAGAGTCGAGCCATTCTGGAAGCACCTGGAAGCACCTCAGAAGTATGTACAAATATGTGCAGTCTCGTCGTCGATCTGGTAGGGTTGTCGTGGTCGCGAGGAGGGGTGTCGTGGGCTTCATACGGCACTTGGTCAGGATGATGTCGTCGCTCGAGCCACCGTGGCTGAAGCTACCCCTGCGAGACATACTAGAGCACAAGCCAGGTGGCACTTGACTGGGCTTTTGGGTCGAAGCCCCGCTCTCCGCCAAACTCTGGCCCATGTGCCCATGGCCAACCCAGTGTTGCTTATCGAACATGGCTCTCTGTCATGTATCACAGCTCAAGGTAGGTGCTTCTTCTGATGATTTATGACACATCCTATGGTTGCCACGTTGCATGGGGCTTGGTTCGACGCGTTTTCCACAAACAAGCCACTTGGAAGTGCTTACAGTACCTAAAGTAGGGAGCGAATCTCATCATGACACCTTCCAGCCATTCGATGCCGATACCGAAACATGCACACCACCAAATGGAGCAGCGACCAGCACCAATGGTTACTGTAGCATAGGCGGCGCGCGTGAGATCGCTAGAGAAGTTGGTCACGACCTAAGCGAGTAAAACAGACGAAAGCAGTGCCACGCGAAAAGGCCCTGCATTTCAATGAATGTGCGTGCGGTAGTTGCCATGTTGAGTCTCTCGTCAGTCCGGAAATTGGCCCGAACCCGCGCGACAGAAGCCAGAGCATGCACTTTGTCCGCCTTGATTCGATAAGAAGCAACTCGTGATCGAGCTTTTCATGGAGCTTTCAGAGTTGAACAGGCGACTGCTTCCAATGAGATGGCATCCGGACATCCACGACGAGATGCCGTATACGTACACAGTTTCGGCTCATTGGTAGGCACTCCTGTTTGAAGCTCACCCCCCGAATGCTTTTTTTGGGGATGCAAAGTCACCAAGGAGGGGCGCCACAGTGAATGGGCTTGACATCAGACCAATCAACCGTACACAAGCAGAGTGACCCTAAGCATGACTGGCCACCGAGGATTGTGTGCTGTGATGCTGTCTTGAAGGCTAGCTCGTCGTCTCTAGCCCGAGGGCGACATCTTCCACATCCTTGCAGGTCGAAAAAAAACAGAGCTCTGTCGGAATGCTGCCGGCTCCAATGCGGAGTCAGTGATGTCAATAGGACCAGCTCCAATGGGTAAGGCGGCATATTTTGAGGCTCTCTCCTTTCCGCAGAGTGTAGATCACGTCTAGCTTCAGGTCCGCAGATGGGGCGCGGCCCCCTCCATGCAGAAGACTGCGCTCTACGTTGGGTCTCGGTCTTCATCACCTGAAATGACGAGCCGAGCGTGGAAGAACGACCTGGACCGCGAATCCCCCGCCGACCGCATGGAAATGAGGGTTACATGCGCGCGAAAGCCGTGACGACGTCATCGTGTTTGGAAAGGCTGGGGTTCCAGGGCCGACAAGATCTGTCACATCGCTCCACTCGCATCCGAAGCGCTTGTGACGACAGATCATGCCCGCAAGATCTGATGCCTGAGCGAATATATCCCTGGCGAGCAGGTCGTAGGAGGTAGCAGCCCGCTCCCAGCAGATACTGGTCCGGGCGGGTCCTCCTCCAGCCAAGAGTTTATTTTTTCTTGTTGTTGTCTCTCCCGGTTGCAGCCCGACAGAGAGATAGACAGACCGTGAGGTGGGCGCGCTGCCTTCAGCTGGTACCGAATGCAGGCAGATAAGGGCCAACACGCCCAACTCGTGATGGGCCGAGCTTGACAGGGCAGAGGCGGCGAGAGCTATACGACGAGCAGCAGACACGCCCTTCGAGGCGACGTGGTAGCACGGTATGGCTCTGTGGCACCAGGTCAATAGTGCAGGTTCTGGCGCTCGGTGCATGCACAACGAGGTGCGATGCAGCGGCACGGCGGGAAGCTTATATTTAGCACACCAGATCACGTCCAGCTCGTTCGTCGCTTGCGCTATATACCACTGTCGCGAGTCGAATGGGACCAAGGATTTTCGGCTGACGCTCCTCGTTCGAGGATGGACCGAGTCGTACTGATGCAGATGCAGGCAGTCGGAAAAATGGCAGGAAATGAAAAGTCCCGGGCCAGGCGTGCGTCTCGTGTTACCACACAAACCAACATCAAAGCAGGCCGAGCTCGTCAGCCGAGCTTGTTATTCGACTCTGGGAGAGGCCGGCCGGTTGGCAGCCAGGCAGCCAGGCGGCCAGAACTTGGTGATGATACGAGTTTGACGGTGGCCATTGCCAGTGCCATGGATGTGGAGGACCTCGGCTCCGACCAGGAATTCAGGCTCATCTCATCTCGTCTCAACTCATCACCAGTGAGAGACCAAAAGTCCAAAGAAAGGTGGGAGTGGCTGCACCTTGGCTCTTTATTTCGGTGTGCCTGCTACGAGTTGTGCTGGAGGCATTTCAGCCCCCACTGCATTAGCCACACCCACGTCGGTACCACACGCACACCGCAAGCACCCAAAGTACTGCTTGCTGACGGCGGCACTGCGCGCGCTGGGGGTTTCCACATAGATTGGTACCTCAGATCAGGCACTGGTGTGCTGGAGGGCACTAAGCAGGCACTCCAATGCTTCGGGCCTGGCAAAACCGCCATGTCTGATATGGATGGATTCCCTCTTCTGCACCCACCTTTGTTGTGCATGTTCCTTTTGCAACACGGCCATCTCCATCTCCATTGCGACTGTGGATTCCTTCCCAGTTTCGTTCCATGAGTCTTTGCCACTGCCCAATAGAGGAATCTCGGGTCCGTTCAGGTGTCTCCTCAAAGTATCATCTGGTGTCCGTCATTGTTGATGGTGCCCCCCTCCCTTCAATCCCCCCCTGCGAGCAGCATCTCTCAGTTTCGTCATATCCACCAGCGACAGGCCTGACCCCAGCTACGTCGCTGCATCGCACCGCTGACGACGGCTAGCTTGACTCGACGGACGACTTGGGTTGCTGTCCTGAGGCGGCACTGCGGAGCCCCCCCCCTGGTTCTTGGACGTTGGACGCTGAGCGCGGGTGCTTGGACACAGAGGCCTGGAACATCACCCCCATCCACCACAACTGGTTTCTCGATCCAGGGCTCCCCGCGAAGGATGGAGTAATCGAAATTGCACCCTGCGCCGCCAATATCAACAACAAAGCCAGCAAACCAGCAGGCAGGCAGCAGGCAGGCCGTCCGTCAATACCAAGCGAACAGCACAGGTGGCTGCACAGCACACCTGCCGCCTGTGTGTCGCTTGTCATCCACCAAGAATTATCTTTCCCCCCCTCCTTCCCCATCCCATGTTGGGTCTGATTTCCTCGTTCCCATTTTGGTCTAACCGATCCAAGGCGTGACCACGAGCGAAACGAAACGATACGGCGCGATCCTGCATTGGGTATTCGTTCCAAGAGCCGCCCTGTCAGCCCAGTCAAAGCCCAGCCACGGCCTGCCTTACCTCCCAACTCACAGAGCCGCTGATCGCGCTGTGCGCTGTGCTGCCCCTCTCTCGCTCTCCCTCTCTCGCTGTTCACTCTCCTCCGCATCCACCCCTGCCTACCTAGCGCCGGCTCGTGGCTCGTTCCCACTTGGTTCCCATCCCATCCCACAGCTCCTCCGAATTCGACCTGACGAGACAGGCCTGACTGACTGCATCACCCACTCGCTCACCTTCTGGCCCGCTGGCCGCCTCCGGACCTGGCAACAATCCCTTCACCCTTTCCATCATTGTTTCGCCGACAACCTGAACCACCCAGCTCGACACAACGCCGTCAGAGACACACACGCAGATACGCAGACCAACTGTCCTGCTTCTCCCTGATAAGCCATCCATTTGCTCGACAGAGGAAGCCAACCGCGCCACTGCAGCAAGCCTCGCGACCAAACCCTGGCCGTGTCGCACCTTTGCGCATTGGCACCCGACACTGCATATCCTCCTCCTCCTCCTGCCTTGCCCCCCCTTTCGACACATGCGACGGGCCCTAATCTCACGATCCCACTACATCCTCACCACCCCCCGACAATAACATCGGCCGGCTCGACTTATCCAGCAACCTCCGTTGCTCACCTTTTCGCACCTCTATCGCGCCGCGACTCGAACGACCGACTCTGGCGCGACTCGCGAATTGAGCTTCGACGCCCCTCGCGCCGTCGCTGCCATGTCAGCCGCGTCTGGCTCCCACCCTGGGGCCGCGAATGCGACCTCGCCCCCGAGCAAACGAGATCTGCGATCTTGGTGGAAAGGCTTCAAGCTGCCGTCGAAGCACCAGGAATCTCAGGGTACGATTCACTCCAGTCGCGCATCCCAAGTTCCACACAGAACACAGCAGCCAGTCTTCAGTGAAGACGTCCAAGGCCGAGTCGACACCGCCCTGCACCCGCTAGCTCATGTTTTGCAGATGCAGGATGCCCATGGCACGGCGAAAGCCTCTGTTGTTTCTAGTGAAACGACAGCTGTTGGCCATATGGATCCTGCACCTGCCGACAAAGTCTCCGACCCCTCCCCGTTCTTCTTTCACCGTCGTCTACACGCTGCACCCCCAGCCCACGCAATTCCAACAGCCAAGACCAAGACTAAAGAAGCTTCTGCAGATACCCGATCCCCCGGCATCTTTGGCGTGCCCCTCCGACAGAGTATCACCTACGCAAATGTCGCCATTTCCCTGATCGACGAGAATGGACAAAGCTACATTTACGGCTATGTTCCCATTGTAGTAGCCAAGTGTGGTGTATACCTGAAGGAAAAGGGTGAGTTGGGCTCTAGAAGCTGTTCACCGTTCGTCTTGGTGCTGACTCTGGCCTCCAGCAACCGGCATCGAGGGCATCTTTCGTCTCAGCGGCTCGGAGAAGCGCATCAAGGAGCTGAAGACCATATTCGACTCACCAGATCGATACGGCAAGGGCTTGGACTGGGACGGCTACACCGTGCACGATGCTGCAAACGTCCTGCGGCGATACCTCAACGACCTGCCCGAGCCTGTTGTGCCTCTAGATCTCTACGAAAAGTTCCGGGAACCCTTGAAAGGCGCTACGAAACAAGCTGTCGGCGACGCAGAGGGACCACAGCTCATCGATAATTTCGACGAGCAAGGTGCCATCATTAAATACCAGCAACTCATCACCGAGCTACCTCCGTTGAATCGTCAGCTACTGCTGTACATTCTAGATTTGCTCGCCGTCTTTGCTGCCAAGTCAGACGAGAATAGGATGAACTCCCAGAATCTCGCCGCCATTTTCCAACCTGGCATGCTGTCTCATCCTGACCACGCTATGGCCCCTGAGGAATACCGACTTAATCAATGTGTCATTATCTTCCTGATTGAGAACCAGGATCATTTCTTGATCGGCATGCAAGGAACCGCGACGGATGAGAAGACGAAGCAGGAGATTGAAAAAGGCACACCGCCGATTAGTGGCCCGACGACGCCTACGCCCAACAGACGATCGACCCTCGGCCGTTCTGCGTCGAACGCAAGCGCTGGCGCCGATAGCGTTCGAAGAGACGGAAAGCTCCGGCGTCATCAGTCTACATCCTCGCGCCATTCACGGCACGATGGAGCCGTCACGCCTAACAGTCCTGGCTTGGTTGCTACTCCTTCGAGCGGTCTTGGTAGAAGCAACACCGTGCCATCGAAAAAGTCACCGCACCTGCCCGCTGGCAGATTCCGCAAAGACAACATTTCGCCCCTCACATCACCCACAGGCCCAGCCTTGACAGAACACATAACGCCAGCAACGCCAAATGAGCAGCCAAGCCCGTCCAGGTCGACTGCCCCATCCAGTCTTGCACCACCAATGGGTGCGGCCACCCTCGCACCTGGGTCTGTGAGCGGCGCAGGCAGAAGTCAAGAAAGGCTCCTCGAACTGCCTCAAGAAGGAACTCCCACTAGGGAAAGAAACTTGCAGAGCATCTTCCAAAGGTCGCCCTCGGGCGAGACCGAGCGCAGGCAACCGAACAAGCTGAAGAAGAAGAGGATACCAGGCAGTGTGAACCCTAGTGCGGCAAGCTCTACCACCTCTCTCCAGGGAGCGCACTCGGCGGCCCCGTCACCGAGCGTCGAGGCCAGCAATCCCATGGACAATGCTCCATTCACCATCCCCGAGAATAGCCCACCACCTGCCCCGGCGCCGGTGGCCGCTGAAGCCCAAGCATCGGAATTGACAGCTCGTGGTTCCCACGCCCCGCACCACACTTCGCATTACCCCGAAACTAATCTCAAAGCAAGCAAATCGCCGCCAGCCTCTCTTCACTCCTCCTTCAACGAAGGCTCGGACATGGATCAACTGGATGAACCTGCGAGCATTTCAACGGCAGAGGCAGCCGATAGCATCAAGGAGAAGAAACGGCGATGGAGGCTGTCCCGGAGCAGGAAAGATGATTCCGGACCTTCGCCTCCAGGAGTGACCTCGCCGCGGCTAGGCTTGGGCTCTAATGACCGTGCCGAGAGGAGCGCGACGTCCATCGGCAGCTCCAGCAACAGACCACGAAAGAGCTTCACGGCAGAGGGCACCGACGTCTCGTCTGGTCCAGAAGTCTTCAGCCTGGATTCACTCAACCAGGAGAGGGACGCGCAAGACAGTGGGCGAGACGAGCCCAAGGGGCCGATTGGCTGGATTCGAAACAAGTATCGGGAGGCCAAGGAGAACGCTGAACAAAGGAGGAATAAGTCCCCTCCCGCGGATACGCGGCAACCCGGTGGACTGAGTGCCGCCATACTACCGAGTCGAGGGAAGAGTCTGGATATCCGAAGAGAAGAGCCGCGATCTACACCAAGCCAGTCGGTTCCACAAGCTCCTCTGCAGCCCGCAACGACACCACAATCGACGACCCAGTCTCAGCCGCAGCCGGTAACTCAACAAGCGACTTTTCCACAGTCAATGTCCCAGCACCCGGTAGCTCAACAAGCGACTCTTCCACAGTCGATGTCCCAGCACCCGGCTCCTCAGCCGCCTGTCACTCAGCAGCCAGCGTCAGCTCCGTCGCAGCCGCCGGTCGACCAGCAGCAACCGATGCCAGTCCAACAGCCGGCCCAACAGCCGGCCCAACAACCAGTGCAACAACCAGTGCAACCACCCGCGGAACAGCCAACAGAGCCGGCCCAGCCGCAAGCACAGCCGCAGCCCCCGGTCCAGCAACAGCCGTCAATTTCCACAACTCCGTTCCCTGTGACTTTGCCAACAACGGTCGAAGAGCCTGAGGAGGGCACCAAGTAGAGTGGTATACTGTTATGGGATATCATGGCATTGATCGTTCTTTGCCTGAAAGGCGCCCACCAGTTGCAGGTGATCAGCGCTGCCGGGCGCGGGAGATCTGCACCATGACAGCCAAGGAGAATACACTACCCACCTTTTCCCCCTCCCCCTTCCCACCCTTTAATACGATTTTGTTCTTCTTGTTCTACTCCTTCCCTTTTCCTCTGCTCCTTCTTGACCTCATCCAGCCGGGTCGAGGCAGATCTCGAAGCTGATTTCATGAAAACCACGGGACTTGATGTAGGCTTCTTGTGTGTTTTTTTGTCACTCCCCTTCCGTTTTCCTCCTTACGTAGCGACGGTGGAGGGGAAAGGGGGATAAGGGAAACGGACTACTTATAATGTGCGGAGTTGTCTCTTCGTTATTCTTTGCCGTTCAAATGATTTCCGCTCTTGACGTGGACCGGAGTTGCTCTTGCCCCTTGCGTGCTCTCGGACGTCGGGTTTCTGCTCTGGGACTGCTGTCGTTCTCCTTTGGAGGCTGATGAACCCTATTTGCCTTCCTTTGATACCATGTATGTACTTTTTTGGGGGAGTGGGGGGTGGGGCGGGGGTTGAGTCTGGCCTGTTCTCCTCCCTGTCTGTCTGCCCCCGTCGTGGATTGGAGGTAGGATGCGCCGTCGGCAGGGCGAAGATGATGTGATATGGAGAACATCTCTATCTGAATATAGCGGGGATGATACGATGTCTTTGCCTGTCTCCTGCCTTGTGTGTGATGGTTCGTCTCGTAACATGGGAGTGCATGCATTTGAACTGATGATTGAATGCTGAACGCAGTCTTCGTGGTTAAATTTCGCTGCAATATCGTACATGGTATAAATGGCGTGTGAAGTATCACACAGACAAGTAGCTATGTATACATCCCACTCATCCTATCACGTCTCCTTGACGGGCGGAGGGGCCCTCTTCACGGGCCTCGTCTGCCAGACCACCAGACGCCCAGCACGCCGCCAGTCCTCGCTGAAGAGACCGTTCCAGGCCGACCAGACGCGACGCGGGTGGACGTCGAGGTGCTGGTTGGCGGCGAAGAACTCAGTGATCCAAGGTTCTATGCCCTCGAAGCCGATGATGTAGCGCGGGACGGGTGATGCCTCGCCCTCTGTGGGCCATAGCTCGCGGCCGAGGAAGCCGATGGGATCGTCGTAGAAGCGATCAGCCTCGTCGCGGTAGGACAGGCGCTCGGGGGAGTCGGGCGCCGTATGCAGAGGCGGCTCGCACGTCAAGGCGCGGGCGCGAAGGGCGGGGTGGACGAGATGGACGCGCCACGGGGTCGAATGGCACGGCGTGAGGAAGAGCGCGTACAGCGGGTCTGCCTCTGCCTCGACAGGAAGGACTTCTGGGAAAGGTGGCAGGAGGGAGGCTGGACCGGGGTGGACGCGCTCGAAATCGGCACGCAACAGATCGAGGACCTGCAGCGGAGCGGGCTGGTGAAAGATGGAAAGGTAGCCTGCGAGTGTGGCGTTGAGCAGGAGGGCTATGTACACGAGGGGCCTGCGGGCGAGAGTCGGGCGAGGAAGCGGTTTTTCCCTTGTCGGGGCGGGGGCGGGGTTCGTGAAGAAGGAGGATACGAGAGGCGCGGCAAGGACGTGCAACATTGGTAGTAAAGGATAGATGAAGCGGACCTCCTTGTGGGAGATGAGGGAGAGGGTGGCGATCATGGCATAGACAGAGGCGGCAAGCGTGCGGAGAGTGAGATCTGTGACACGGATGCCTGTAGAGGGGGTCTTGTAGAGGGCGACAAGGGCGAAGGGGAGGAAGGTTGTCGTTAGGAGAGGGATGCCCTGAGACAGGTAGTAATGCCAGTCGTTGCGGCCATAGAAGACGGCAAGGGACTGTGAGATGTTGAAATAAAGCCACTTGTAGGCAGGCAGTGTCCACTCGCCAAACCAGAGGCGATCCGAGACGAGAGACAAGCCAAGAACAAGCGCACCGCAAAGAATAATTTCGCGAATAAGGACAGCATAAATGCTCGACGTGACGACGGATTTGGGGTTAAACAGAGTTGTAGCGAATGTGGTGATAATGACGGTGAGCCAGATGATGATATTGGTGGGACGCAGCGTCACGGCGATGGCGGCGAGAACGAGCGAGAGGCGGAGACCATTGACACTCTTGAGGATGGTCGAAGGACCCTTGGGGTTCTCTTTGACCGACTCATGCTCAGCAAACAATTCCCAGGGCCAGTAGTTGAGGGCCGCAACGGTGAGCGTTGTCTCAAGAGAGTTGGAAAAGGTGCGTGTCGAGCAGTACCAATGGAAGGGGTTGCACATGCTCATGAATAGCTACATCTGTCAGCTTGGTCCATCTCAAAATTCCATGAGACACCTCATTGTATGAGAGACAAGAACCTACGGCAAACCAGGAGGCACTCGTGTCGGGTCCGAACAAACGGACGGCCAGCTGCCATGTGCACCAGTCGCCGGCGGCGGCAAAGGCAGCCTGGGCAGCCTTCGGAGCGGCGGCCAGAAGAATGGGGCGGGCGTCGAGCCAGACGGGCAGAAGACGGGCGCCTTGATCGGCCAGCCAGTAGACGGCGGCGAAGAGGGCGGGATGCAGCGAGGAGCGAAGCTGGTGCTGCCACTCCCAGGTCAGCCAGGCGCCGGCGCCTGGGCCGAAGGCCATCTGCCAGGCAGGCTCGAGGGCCTGGAAGTACTCATCAGGCTGAAAGAAGGTGGTGACCCAGTAAGCGTTGAAGGCGCGGATGACGAGGAGGCGGAGAAGAACGGCGGTCCTGTTCTGCTCGTTTCGAGCTTCCATTAGGAGTTGGGGGTCGGAATCGGAGTCGGGATCGGACGCGGCGTGGCCGGCCTGGGCCTGTTCCTGTTTCTGTTTTTCCTGCTTTTCCTGTCTCCTCTGCGTCTGCCTCTCCTTGTGCGAGGGCGTGCGCCGGGAGCTGACGGAAGCCATGGCCGACCTGCGCGTCTCGTCAGAATGGGCGAGACTGTGATGCTTGGCCTGTGGTGTTGTGATTTCTGAAATGTGTCTTGACCATCGGTCAGAATGGAATTGAGAGGAAGGAGCTCCTTTCCCCCTGGAGCCCCCAGATCTGCCCCCTGAGCGACGGCGGCCTCGCCTGCTAAAACTGTCCTCGCCACAGGCCGTCGAAGGGGGCTCAGGGCTCTCGGTGTAGCGCTTGTAGCCGCTGAGTCTCAAGGGGGGGCCCTGCTCCACCTTCCGCCATTGGACCACCCAGTCGGCTTAAGACACAATCAACTGGCCTCCCATTGGCTCTCGCCGGCCCTCCATCGCTCCTCCCCAATCCGGACGATCTGGCCGACAATGGAGCCAAGAGCCCTTCTCGTACCTCCTGCTAGCATCTTCACCCTATCGTCGTCGTTGGAACTATCAGCTGCGACCGTCTCCCGCTTTCCCTCGGCCGCCCCGCCCCATGCCCCCTCCAACACGTCCGCCAATGCCCACCGCCCATGTGACCAGCCCGCCGGTACCTCTGTGTCATGCCCGCCCGCTCCTCCGCGTAAACCTGCGCATAGGGGTATCACGGTGGAGCGTCCTGCCAAATCGTCCGTTCCAAGGCGCAACAATGATCTGGTCATGTTTGGGTTTTTTTCTTGCCCTCTTGCGCGCCTTAGAAAACGTTCCAAGAGGTTCCAGTCTGTTTTCATTCATAGTGCCGGCCCCGTAGACCCGTGGCTCATTGCTTCTCGAGAAAAAGAGGGTATATCTAGGCCACCCCTCCCTTCTAGAAGGACCACCCCGCGATTTGGCCCCTCCTTTCTTGTCCTCTACTCTCAACACCTCTCTCTCTCTTGCTTTGGATATCCCTGTGCATTTGCGTTCCTCAACCTCACATGATACCTTGCTCTAACGAGCAACAAACAAGCCTGCGACCCTGACGATCATCACTGCATTTGTCTGATTGACATCACACCTCCCACAATTTTTGCATTCCCATCTACATCTTCTCCCTCTCACACAATGGCCCCCCACGCCGACAGCCCTTCCGGCACCTCTGCCGCCACCCCCTCCAAGTACCACGCTGCCTCTACCGACGGCGCCATCAAGACGGAGGAGGAGTACGCCGCGCACAACTATCACCCTCTGCCTGTCGTCTTTGCGCGTGGTAGCGGCGTGCACGTCTGGGACCCCGAGGGCCGCCAGTACCTCGACTTCCTCTCTGCCTACTCCGCCGTCAACCAGGGCCACTGCCACCCCGAGCTCGTCAAGGCCCTTGCTGACCAGGCCGGCCGCCTGACCCTCTCGTCGCGTGCCTTCTACAACGATGTCTTCCCCCGCTGGGCTGAGAAGGTCCGTGACGTCTTCGGCTACGACATGGTCCTGCCCATGAACACGGGCGCCGAGGCCGTCGAGACGGCCATCAAGATTGCCCGCAAGTGGGCCTACAAGGTCAAGGGCGTCGAGAAGGACAAGGCGCTCGTCTTCTCCGTCGAGGACAACTTCCACGGCCGCACCATGACTGCCATCTCCCTGTCCACCGACCCCGAGTCCCGCGACAACTACGGCCCCTACGTCCCCGGCATCGGAGCCTTCAGCCCCTCCACCGGCAAGCCCATCCGCTACAACAACATTGCCGACCTGGAGGAGGTTCTCGAGGCCCACGGCAAGGAGACGGCCGCCTTCATCGTTGAGCCCATCCAGGGCGAGGCCGGTGTCGTCGTTCCCGATGAGGGTTACCTCGCCGCCGTGTCCGCGCTCTGCAAGAAGCACAATGTCCTCTTCATTTGCGACGAGATCCAGACCGGTATCGGCCGCACCGGCCGCATGCTCTGCTCGCAGTGGGCCGAGATCAAGCCCGACATGGTCACCCTCGGCAAGGCCATCTCCGGCGGCATGTATCCCGTGTCGGCCGTCCTGTCCAGCCGCGAGGTCATGCTCGTTGTCGAGCCTGGCACCCACGGCTCCACCTACGGCGGCAACCCCCTCGGCTGCGCCGTCTCCATGCGCGCCCTTGAGATCATGGAGGAGGAGGACCTCACGGCCAAGGCCGAGAAGCTGGGCCACATCTTCCGCGATGGCATCACCGCCTTCGGTTCGCCCATCATCAAGATCGTCCGCGGCAAGGGTCTGCTGAACGCTGTCGTCATTGACGAGTCGGCCGCCAACGGCCGCACGGCGTGGGACCTGTGCATCCTACTCAAGGAGAAGGGCCTGCTTGTAAGTTGTCCTGATGAGGGAAGCTATTTTTGCTGAATGCACACTAACACACGAGTCCAGGCCAAGCCCACGCACGGCAACATCATCCGTTTTGCGCCTCCCCTCGTCATCTCCGAGACTGACCTGCGCAAGGCCATCGACACCATCGGCGAGGCACTCAAGGAGCTGCCAAACGTCAAGAAGGCCGCCGGCCATTAAAAGTGAAGCACGCACATGCTACGGCCTATGTAGCCAGTCGCATGTCGGGGGTCGTCCCGGTCGGGTGCCTTGACATCCGCGCATCGTCTCCCGACGACAAGCGAGCGCCAGAAGGGGTGTCGGGGCTGCACCTCTGTGTGGCCGGCCCCGGAGCCTTTGAGACGAGCCACTCGGAGGGTGTGACAGGGTGGGAAAAGAGGCGGGAAAGGAATGGGAAAATGGGGGTGTTCGGGTAGCTGGTTTTCCTGATCAGCCAACGCCGGCTTTGCTTGCTGTCGGCCGGATCTGAGGCGACTTCCGGGAACCTGATGAGGCCTCCCCTCCTTTGGGGGCAGCAATAAAGAGGAGGAAAGAGAGAAAGATTGGTCCTATCGCCTCTGGTGTAGGCTGGTGGTTCGCGGGGTAGGAGGGAGGGGCAAGATATCATCCTCCTCCGTCAAAGACGGAAATTGGGCAGCCTCCCCCTCCTATCTGGCTGCGCAACCCCGTGTTGTATAGCGAACAGCGAGATAACACGATAGATGAACGTTATGAAAGAGGTCAGACACCTCCTTATTTGAATGCACGTCGGATTGAGTACCACCCACCAGCGATCGACCACAGAAAGAGCATATGTATGCATACCCCACGGTCACAGAACCAATGATCATGTCTCGCGCGCCACGCTGTCTACGTTGGAGAGGACGCCGACCAGGCCAAGCAGGGCGACTCGGTCATCACAAAAACAGCCGCGGGCATTCGAGAGGGCTTGCATATGCACCTACCGACTGTACCGTACAGCCTGCTGGAGAAGGGGTTCTGCTCGCCTGTCACACGCATTTATTTTGATCACAAAATTCGTGGCGCGCGTCGAGACGGCAACCTTAACGCGCAAGGGGGGCGAGGAGGAAGGACGGTCGCATCCGACCTACATGTAGTAGCAGCGGCAGCAGTTCGCTCGCCGGCCTACCTGGTCCAAGGGGGAAGAGGGCTGCGGGGGCGTGGCCGCTGTTGGTGGTGGGCGGGACGGCCGGGTGTGCCTCAAGGGAGGGTCGCACGGCAGATGCGCGCGCTCTCCTCTGCTTGCCACCCTTCTGCCTCCCCACCCCCCTCCTCCCCTGGGGCCTCGGGGTGGAGATCTGACAAGGCAGTGGTAGCGTGGGACAGATGGGTTGACTGATCGCGCTTGCGAGGCAGGTGTGTGTGTGTGTGTGGTGGTGTGTCGTGTGTACATGTATGCATGTGTGTGAGTGAGTGCAGTTGGCTCGGCTTGGGGAGATTGTTTCGTTGTCGTGGGTGTTGGTTGGTGTGTGGTTGAAGCCTCAGAGGCAGCAACCAGCTGGTGAGCGGCTCGGTCACTCTTCTGGGATGCGGTTTGGCATGGGCACCTGTGAATGGCGAAGGGCCTAGGCAGCCAGCCAGTTAGCCAGTCTTGACGACCTGGAGTGACAGCTCTGGGGGTGGCTGGGATTCCGAGAGGTGAGGTAAGACAAGCAGGGAGGCAGACGAAGCTTGGATCATTTGGCCTCATCCGGTCGCCGCGGTTGAGACATGTGTTGTTTGGACGGGTGACGACTGGTGACGATGAGGGGCCCCGGGGAGATGGTGCATGAGGCTTGCATGGTGATGTCAAGGACGTCCAGGAACCAGGTTGCGTCAAGGACTTTCTGGTTTGTTACATGGCAGCGCTTCGTGGGCTGTACGGATGTCCATGTCCCACGCATTGCGTAAAAAGTCCTTGAGAGTTGACCGCATTGATGCGGAAGCCAAATGAACAGAGGAGCTTTCGCGATGGTAAGTCGTCTCCCCCAGAAAGGAAAAGGACTCCCAATACCAGCGGTGAAGCGCGAAAGCTATCGAGGCAGACAGCCGGCTGCCGTACAAGGCTCGATGCAGACAAGGATAAATAGAAACAGGGGAACGACGGCAAGCCGATCAGCGCTGGAGACTCATGTTTCGGGCAGGCAGACAAGGCAACAGCTGTGGGCATTCTCGGCACTGATGTTCCATTCAAGGCGCGTCGCTGCAGGGCGCCCTTGTTGCCTGAACGCGTTGCAGAAAGTGATCAAAGTTCGAATGCCCCGAGATCGTCGACTTGACTCGACCTCTTCGGGGGACTGGAGACAAAAAAAAAAGGCTCTGACGAGCAATTCGACTCAGCGGCACAAAGTGTTGGCCAAACCGTACCGAGTGATTGCGCCATGTCTCGCAATATCAGCTCATGGGGATTCATTGATTCAGGTGCCTGCCATAAATGGCAAAGAGGAAATACGGCTGGCGCACCGAAGTGGCGCACGAGAGGCGAGAGAGGCCAAAAGCGATTTATCAGATGTTCTGGCGTAATCTAGAAGGATGAGTAGTGCATCACTGGGTGCCTTCCGAGCACCTAATACGGCACTCGCCATCTGGCGCCATCGGTCGCGTAGCTCGCTTATGTGCTCTCGTGTGGTAGGCGGTCGGGGTGTCAGGGAGACGTCATGCGTCACCAGGACAGGCCACTGATACTGCCGGCTGTCGAGTTGTTGGCGACAGCGGTACAGCGCGTTCAGACTGCTTAAGGTTTTGGTCTCCCAGGACGACGAACCCTCCTCCCATGACGCTTCACCAGGGTGTTTCGGTGAAAAAAGTAAGCTACGTTGGAGGGAAGCAAAGCCGTGATCCGTCTATGTAAACCTAAATAAGGAACACAGTGATGGAACACAAAGGGTCCACGCCCAGCCCAACCTGCCCTGCCATGGCCTGGAAATGGATGGTACCGACATAAAGTGATGGATGGATGGAGCATGTTGGGCCGTGGTGTTGGAAGGGGTGGGTACCTCCTACACAGCGGCAGAGTGACTCGTCTTGCTATCGCACGCATCCAGTTCAGCTTATCGCGCAATGATAACGTCCAGGAGAGCGCGCGCACCACCCGATAACGCCAACCCGAAGAGGGGTGTCCGGTGTCTTGGAGCGTGACTGCCTGGTTCCCCGCTTGTACCAGACAAGTCTCCCCACAGCCCGATCTAGGCGCCTGTTCGAGGTGACCCAGCTGCTTCCAGACGCCTCTTGGACCCTGGCAGAGACCTGGAAGGTACGTGCGGGGCGAAGTCGATGCACCTGCATTGGTCGCCCGGAAGTGCTGGCAGCAAGCAGCAACAGTAGCAGGAGCCACCAGCTGCGCAGGTGCACATTGCATGCCGCCGATAGCATGGGGCTCCAAGGCCTGTCACCGCATCACGAGCCCACCCCCAGGTCCCAAGGGCCCCAATGTCCTACCTAGACCTCTAGGTCACGACCATCATCAGTTCCCCCCTTCCCCTTCTTTCAGGGAAGAGTCACCAGCGGACTGTTTGGTTGTGCTCCATATTCAGATCAAAAACAGTCCCGTCCAGCCATCTCGACCGACCCTGGACGCCTGCGCTGAACCGAACCACCAGAGACAAGCCTCAACGCCAGTCATCCGTCACCGTGACACCACATCACACATCGAGTCACCACCACTACGACGACGCCGCCCTTCCCCCCCCACGGGCTGTCCCCCTTCCCCAACGTCAGGCATCGTGCAACACGGCATCTTCCCACCAGGTACCATCCTCTCCACCCTCTTCCTACCAACCTCCACTTGCGTTTGCGCCCATGCCTGCGCATTTGTCCACATACACGTTCATGCCCCCCTGCTGCCACCTCCACCTGCGCGTCTCTTGCCTCTCGTCTGTCATCGCTCGTCTTGGTCGCCCTCCTATCATCCAACGCTCCTCGGTCCTGGCCTCTCGTCCTCCGACCCTCCTCTCGCCCTCTTTTCTCTCCTTTCACCTCCCGCCCTACGTCCTGTTGCACCTCTGCGTCTTGGACCTCGTATCTACGATAACGTACCTTTCCCCAATACACCTCTTCACTGCACGTTCCGTCCATCAAGGTTCAACAACGCTTCTGGCCTTCGAAGTTCCGAGTCATTAGGTTGGCCTCGGATCTCTTTCTCGCCTGTTGCACTTTGCACTTTGTCCCTCAAGGTAGCCAGTCTATCACAACCTCTCCTCGTCTCCCACATCCCACTGCCTTATGCCGACCCTCGGTAGACCCCGTCAGACCGTTGAGGCATGCGCTTACACCACTCTCGCCTCCCACGCGATTCGATCCCGTTTGGCCTCCAAGCTAACCTTCTATCTTCCATAGCATTAGTCACTACACCCAACGTTCACTACCTCGACTCTGCCGTTCTCTTCCAACACGCCTACATTTGGCCGCCGACAACTATTCTGTTCCGATCCACATCCGAACCACTTCTGTCTTACATCGACATCGCCAACAGCACCACCGTCGACATCTCACCTGCAGCGACCCTCCTTGATTCGACTCGACGGTTACCCACCGTCTTGTACACCTTCACGCGTCCACCAGCTCGGTTCACCGACACGATTCGTCAACAGTCATCGTTGACACCACGATCTTGTGCCACAGCTGCCGTTCTCCTTTTGCTTTAAACCTCTCCACACCCGCCGCTGAATCCTTCCAAGACAACCCATGTACATGACGACATATTCAACCGCCCATCGCCACCGGACTATATAAGCCCTCTGGGCTCCTTCGTCACCTTTTGCACGCCATCCAATCTGCCACCAAGAAGCAAGCAAGCCACTCACTGCAGCCGACATGGCAGACCGTCTCCCCACGTCGTCGTCAGGGCGGAAGCGCCGCGGCGAAGGCGATTCGGTGGGGGACTTCTGGATCGATGCCGAGATCGGCAAGGGTAGCTTTGCTACTGTGTATAGAGGCTACCACAAGGTTTGACATCCGGGAAACCTGCTACAAGTTGCCATGTTCTGACCCCTCGACTTGTAGACCTCGAAAGCATTGGTTGCCATTAAGTCCGTCGAGCTCAGCCGCTTGAACGCCAAGCTCAGGGAGAACTTATATGGCGAGATTCAAATCCTCAAAACACTGAGGCACCCTCACATTGTTGCCCTCCACGACTGCATCGAGTCGTCGACACACATCAACCTCGCCATGGAGTACTGCGAGCTTGGCGACCTATCAATATTCATAAAAAAACGCGATAAGCTGGGCACAAATCCTGCGACCCACGACATGGCACGGAAGTACCCTTCCACGCCGAACTCGGGTCTTCACGAAGTCGTGACTCGACATTTTCTTCAGCAGCTGGGCAGTGCCCTCAAATTCTTGCGAGAGAAGAACTATGTTCATCGGGACGTGAAGCCCCAGAACCTGCTTCTTCTCCCATCACCACAGTACCGGGACACGGTTCCAAAGCACATTTTATCCGCGAGCCGAGATTCCATGATTCCTAACGCAGGGCTGGCATCGCTGCCGATGCTGAAACTCGCAGACTTCGGTTTCGCCCGTGTCCTCCCGTCGACATCCCTCGCTGACACCCTCTGCGGCTCACCGTTGTATATGGCGCCTGAAATTCTCCGCTATGAGCGCTACGATGCCAAGGCCGATCTCTGGTCGGTCGGAACGGTGCTCTACGAGATGATCACTGGCCGGCCCCCGTTCCGCGCCAGGAATCACGTCGAACTACTGAGGAAGATCGAGGCCGCTGAAGACAAGATCAAATACCCGAAGGATGCCAACGTGAGCAGAGATCTTGTGAAGCTCATCAGTAAGCTGCTCACTCGTAACCCCGTCGAGCGAATCAGGTTCGAAGATTTCTTCGCCGACCCTATCGTGGCCGGTGCCATTCCCGGCGTTGTTGAAGATGATATTCCGAAACCGCCTCAGGAGCAAAGGAATTCTATCGAAGCCCGTGCGAGCACCAAGCCTGAGAGCATGCCCCTGTCACGACAAGCATCCCTAAGGCGCCATGCTGAGGAGACTGGTCTGTCCCGCTCACCCCGTGCAGGTCTCTCAGGGTCTCCGCAAACCGAGGGCTCGGGGTTGCCACGGGGATCCCGCCCGTCCGGCGAGCGCCTCAGCAGCTCGCCCGGCCAAGACAGTGGTCAAGGTCTCGGTATCCGCCGGCCACCTCCACCGCAGCCATCAACCTCCGCACCGGCCAGGCCTCACAGGCCATCAAATGCATCTTACACCCGCCCATCAGCTCGCGGCACCCCGTCGCCCACATCGTCATCCTTCGACAACGCTCATCGAGGCAAACTTCGACCTGTGACTGAGCGCAGCATGACGGAATCGGACAGAGCGGCGCAGGATGTCGCCTTTGAGCGTGACTATGTCTTGGTGGAAAAGAAACATGTTGAGGTGAATGCTTTCGCAGACGAAATGGCAGCCAACCCTCGACTCAACTTCTCGCCAAAATCTGGCCAGCAGATGGTCCGCCGCGCTACCCAGCAGGGCGCACCCACATCAACGACGGGCGCCGTTCGGGCGCAGACATCGCAAGCGGTCCAGATCGCGCAGGGCCGGGAGTTTCCCACTCATGAACGCCGTGGCTCCTACGAAAAGAGTTTTTCTGGTAGCCCCGGGTCTGCTACGCCAAGCTTTATCACGAAGGCCATCCAGGATGCCAGTGTGCGCCTATTTGGTTTCAAAGTGCCACATCACGTTCTGGGCAAGGGGCAGTCGCCACCACAAATCTACAGCGCATTTCCTGCCTACCCTACCACTCACGGTCCCGCTGGCCTTCTCGAGGATGGAAAGCAGAGATTGCCTACAGATGAGGACGCCCGAGCCGTTAAGTACATCCAAGACTTGGCTCACCGCAGCGATTGCGTCTTTGGTTTTGGCGAAGTCAAATACAAACAACTCCTCCCTATCGCTCCGTCGACGGACACTGGGCTAGGTGGCCTCTCTGCTGATGAGGCTTCCGAGGACAACGGTCTGACGCTGGAGGCTGTCGTCGTGCTCTCCGAGGAGGCCTTGGTGCTCTACGTCAAGGCTTTGACGCTTTTGGCCAAGGCTATGGATGTGGCAAACGCATGGTGGGTACAGAAAACGCGTTCGGAGTCGACCGTTGCTCTGGATCCTGCGAAGGAGAATCTTATTCTGCGAATGAACTCGACAGTTCAATGGGTTCGCGGGCGGTTCAATGAGGTTCTCGAAAAGACCGAAATTGTTCGTCTGAAGCTCATCGAGGCCCAGAAGCAGCTGCCCGAGGACCACCCCAGCCATCCTAGGAACCAGGGCGAGAGTTGCTCTTTGTCTACTTCGGCGGGTACCGAGCAAGTCTACTTGACGCCTGGTATTAGTGCTGAGAAGCTCATGTACGATCGCGCTCTGGAGATGAGTAAGCGTGCTGCCATTGACGAAATTGCAAACGTTGATCTCGAGGGTTGCGTAATCTCTTACGTTACGGCTATTTACATGCTTGAGGCTGTGCTGGACAACGACGGTGAGACGAATAAGGGACGGTCTCCCAGCACCAGTAAGAACACTGTGTCCCAGGACGACGTCACCAGCGATCTGGATAGCGACGACCAGCAAGTGGTCAAGAAGAGTAAGCCAACCCATAGCAGGCTGGGCTCGTATTTGTACTGACCCTGTTTGCAGTGATTCACATGATATCTTCCCGCTTGGCCATGGTCAGGAAGAAGATGGCGGCTATCGCTGAGGCCTCGAGGTCTGAGCAGAGCCAGCAGCAGGCTTCAGGACGCAAGCGAAGTGGCGATGTCACCCCGCGAAGTGTTCCAACACATGCCTCCTAAGCGACGGAGGTTGGCGTTTTCTGTTATTTTTTCTCAAGATGATGTGACGACGAACAAATCGAAAAGCCTACGAACGACTTTCATATCCATTTCTTCCATCCCTGGATGATTCCTAGCATGGGCTCAGTGGAGGCCTCTTCAGCAAGCGAGGTTTGCTCAGGGTAACAGGTCATTTTCACCGGCGTTTTGGGCAAGAAAGCATCGCCCCGGATCTCTTTTCTTGCATTCTTGTGTTTTTATATTTGGGTATTGCCAGAGATTGGGCTGGCGTTGAACTGCATATTTGTTGCGTCGCTGAGTACGTAAGATGCTTCAGCTCAGGGTTCATAGCTGCCCACGTAGCGAGGTATTAGCGTACGTTGACGTACTTGCATTCTTGAAACTAGGGTACACAGCACCCGTGGTTGGACGGTAGGCTTGGCTCTGCGATGGATGGCCTCGCGACTTTGTTGCGTCTGAGCAGCGCTGTCATGAGCTCGGCATTCATGGGTCGCAGACTGAGGAGAGGTCAATGATGGATATATGTTTGGTTTACGGAGGACAATCTGGAAGGGGTTCGTGGTATGGTCCTTCGTGACGGTGTCGTAGAGAAGAAGGGGTCTCCGACGTAGATTGCCAATGAGAACTTTGTCTCTGGGACATTTGCTTCGCGTGACCCGGGGCTGCCTGTGGCAGGTCTTTGTTCGCAGACAACGAACGAACCGGGCTGATACAGCACACGACACCTATGCCTCTGTGAGTACTTACACGTACCTACCTGATACAAGAAGAACAAAGCATCTCTGCAGGTCACAGCACGTTTCTTCGGGAATCGTCCGGATGGATCATGGCAGACGTTGATTGAGGGGACAGGCATGATTACGACAATCACTCCTGCTTGTCATCGTCCAAGGTTCAAGTCTATATAACTCGTTGAACCAAGTTCTTTTGCGGTAGAATCCCCACCACAGCTACAGGTTGAAGCAAAATACACTGGCATATTCCGTGTTCACGACTAACCAACGCAGAAAAGACCCCATTGCGTACGCAGCGACGAGACGTGGGGCAGAGCCATACTTCATCATGTCATCGCAGGCTGAGGAGCCCGTTCCGAGCCACGAGCCAGTGCACAGGGGCTCTGGCACACCGGGTCTCATGCATCGCGTACCTGCGGGCGAGAATGGCACAGATGGCAGGCGTGTCGTGAGACGCACGAGTACAGAGGCAACCCCGACGACCGAAAAGGGGACACGCCCCCTCGCGGCTTTGGGGCGCCGTCCTGGCGATGACCTGGCTCGTTCGACTGCCCGCTGGACGGGCGAAACACGTCAACCCCGCAAACCAGCAAGCTCGATCCAGGATGCGTCGTCGGCCAATCTTGTGGAAGATCCGGTCTTGAGAGTTCCCGCCTATGGAACCATGACGATCATGACAAGCACGGGCAACATGATCACGACGCCACGGATCCCGGGGTTCGGCTGCAGCCGGAACAGGACGGGCATGAGCATGGTCGAGCGCATCCTGCAGCAGCGAGCAACCAAGGCAGCGCAGGAGAAGGCACGGCAAAAGATAGCCGAGGAGGCCCATTTGCGGGAGGAGAGGCGGCGACGGGCAGAGGAGAAGAAGAGGCAGGCCGAGGAGAAGAAGGAGCGCGCGCGTCGGAGGAGGGAGCGCGAGGCGCGCGAGGCGCGGGGCCGGGTGTGGTACGGCGCCATGTTCGCGGAGATGGGAGCTCTGCTGGAGGACATCGACTGGGCGATCGTACTGAGGACAAGCAGGGCGTGGGTTGGCACGTCGAGAGGGCCGGGCCAAAGGTTGCGGGAGAAGCCGCCTCCTGAGGACCTGTACTGGGCGCGGTGTGCGATGGACATGGACAGGGCGACAATTGAGTCCATGGGCGACTATGGAGTCAGGCTGGTGGACGTGGTGAGGCGGGTCGACAGACCGGACTGGCTGAAGGAGGAGACGGTGCGGCGCAACAGACTGAAGCTGACGGCATTGCAGGAAAAGGGGGCCCAGGTCTGTGAGACGGTCGGCGAGGGGAGGCAGGCTGCTGACGAGGCGCATTGGAAGCTCCAGGCGCTCGACGCGCTGGCTCAACCGCTGGCAGAGGGTCTCTGGGATGCAGCAACAAAGAGGATGCAAGAGACTGGGCGCGTGCAGTACGTTGACGGACTTCCTGTGGACCTAGAACCGACCAGGTGGATGGTCATGCCGACTTCACGGAAAGGCAGACGGAGCTTGACGCAGAAAGGCGTACCTTGCGCCCAGTGCGAGGCTGCGAAAATGACGGAATGCAGCCAAGATCGTTTCCTCCCCGGCAGTTCCAAGCTGGAACCCTGCTTGCGTTGTCAACGGATGGGCGAAATATGCATCCAAATAGACCCTGGTTTGCGGGACGCTGATCGCGAGGGTTTGCCTAGGTGGACCAAATACGTGGCATCTGGCCACGGCATTAGCAAAAAAGAAGCCCAGGCGAAAGCCGAAGAGCTGCTTGAGCCTCGGGGTAGGGTTTTCGTCAATGTTTGTGGTCTCATGGTTGATGCGGTCGATGTCAAGAATTTCGCTCCAGCCATGGTATCAACTTTGCAGGTTGAGAGCCTCAAGGCCAGGCGCAATCACTCCATGGCTGGAACCTCGAGGCTCGACTCGCCCAGGCCACTGTCACCAAGCGAATAATCGAAAGCCGAGGGATTTCGTGCCAGAATGGCCAAGATCCGTTAAGATGAATATTGGGCTGAGAAGGCAGAGGCTGCGGGAGCGGGCGTAGCAGACTGGGGTGGCGGGACGCGGGGAGCAAGATGACGAGGACCGGTTCGTCTCACGAGTGGGAGAGTTGGGTTGCTGTCCGAGACTAATGCAAAACCTGGCCCAGAGCGTCAAGCGGTTATCGTTGAAAGGATTGGTCCGGATGAGACCTCACGAGGAAGCAGACTTGATGAAGCATGATGTCGCATCTCGGCGAGGGACCATTGGTTCGATCAGCTTAGCTAATCAAACTCTGGAATGACTTCATGTCCAATATCAACCTCCCTCGCACATGAACGTCGCAATTCAGAGGTAGGCTTTATGGTACAATATTGTCTGGAGTCATTTGGGTGCATTTCTGGCTATCAATACGACTTTCGCAACGTTCTGAGACTAACAGCTGCGATAAAGCACTATTATCAAGCTCGCGCCGAGCTAGATATCCCGCGATCCCCTCATTGCGAGACAGGTAGAGGAAAGGCGCACTAAGACATCCCGGAAGAAACACTTTCCGCTCTGAAGGACTGACATTTCAAACTCGACATCAAACGGCATCATTTGAATCTTCTGCAACGACAGCACCATGCCTCCCCCGCCAGATCTCACGTCGTACATCCTGTCAACCCAGACCTCGGACGACATCTTCAAGTCCCAGATCCTTCCAGCCGAGTTCCCCTCGTTGGTACCAGCACCACAAACGCAGGCCGGACAACGACCCCTCGCAGTACTGATAGTAGGCCAAACCGGCGCCGGCAAAACCCGCCTTGCCCCCGCCGTTCTCAAAGCCCAGACCGCCCTCCGCGGCAGCCCCGCCCACATCATCGCAGACACCTACAAAACGTACCATCCCTCGTACGCGACCCTGACCGCCTCGCCAGCGACTGCACCTCTCGCCTCGCCGGCCACAGGTCCTGACGCCCGCCGCTGGCTGCGCCTGGCCGCGGCCCACGCTGCCGACCAACGCCTCGACCTCCTCATCGAGTCGGCGTGCCGCCACCCGGATGACTTCACAGCGCTCGCTGCCGCGCTCCATGACGCAGGCTACCGCGTCGAGGTCGTCGTGTTGGCTGTGCCGAGGCCGCTCAGCAGGCTGGGGATCCTAACGCGCTTCCACGAGAAGCTGCCCGAGGCGGGGAGCCGCGGGCTGCCGGTTCGCCTGACACCCATCAAGGTCCACGACGACTCGTACAGCGGACTTTTGAACGCTGCGCAGTGGATCGATGCACATCCCGAGACGGTGGATCAGGTTCTTGTCGTGAGGAGGGGCAACCTCGTCGCCTTCTCCGATGCCAAGGAGCGTCCTGACGGGAAGTTGAAGGGCCAGGCGGCGGCGGCGATCGTCAGGGAAAGGGAGCGACCCTTGACAGACGTGGAGAAGAACACTGCCGCAGAGGATCTCGCCAAGCTGGAAAAGAGGGACACGGCACTGGCTCAGGAGCTGAGGAGCATGCTTGCACCCCTCCTGGCCGAAATCGATCCGTCAAGCCTACAGCAACTACTGCCCCTGGAGTTTCCCACCGAGAGATGTAGGCGGGATGCCACCCTTTGGCTGGGCAATAGTTGATGTCGAACTGATAACTGGCAAGCGTGAGCTTCGGAGATGTCTTCATCATGTTTAAGATACAATTGACGTCCTCGTCGACAGTGAGAACCACCTCGCACCCGTACCGCATCATAACCTCGCCAAGTATCTGGGCATCGCTAAGATTCAGGTTGCAGTAGTATGCCACAGGCAGGTTTGCGTACAAATTGTCCCCGCTTACATGATACGTTGCGCCAGTTCTCTCATTGCTTCGTCTTTTGTACTCATCTTGACCGTTTTTGCAATTTGGACTGTCGCTGGACAGCATTGGCCGATGAGGACTGCTGCCGTCCCAGTTTCCTCGCAAGCGGGACGACCGCCAAATGACGTCTGTCCACTGCTGAATGCTGGTTATGGCCCATAATATTGGACTTCTGGTACCCCGCCTCATCAGCTTTGCCTTGACTATCAGTAATGATGATACTTGGTTTCAGTTGAGTCGGCTTCTCACGGCGCGGCACAGCTTCGTCGTTCTTCTGGCGAGGAAACCCAGTCTCAGCATGTAACTTCAAAGGCCTAGCGAAAAACTGTGAGACAGTCTTCAAAGGTCTAGAAACGTCTCGCACGATTCTGGGGCCTTGAAGTCGCGAGCTAGAATTGGCTGGCGTTGGCTGTTGACTGCTCGGTAATATAGAGTCAATTGCCTCAGCTTGTGCTCCTTCGTGGAGATTCGTATTCCTCTTGGAATCCGATTCTACCAATACTTTGGGGCCAAGATCGGGAATCTCCTCGGGACATGGAAAGACCTTCTTATCCCCGTTCCAAGATTGCTCGACGCAGAGCTTCAGGTCGTCGAGTCGTTTCTCGTGTTGCTCCATCGTGAACCAAGGGTGCTGGAGAGCCTGCGCCGAAGTCATTCTCTCCGAGGGGTCAACCACCAGGCATCGTTGGAGAAACCTGACGCCGATTGTGCTCAAAGTTGTCTGCCTGTCATCAACAATGCATTTGATGCAATTGATGACCTGGTCCTGACTATATCGGTAAAGGCCTCCAATGTCTTCTGTCGCTTGACTGCTCAAGACAAATAGCATGATGACACCCATAGCCCATATATCTACCGGACAAGCATGGCTAGTGACTTGATTAATTACCTCTGGGGCTATGTATCGCTCGGTGCCGACTCGCGACATCAACCTAGTCGGCCCTTCGAAAGCAGAGTTGCCAAGGTCGCTGAGCGCAATGCGGTAGTCCGGGCTCGGGCGAGTCATGAGAAGAATATTTTCTGGTTTCAGGTCCCGATGAACGATCCCGGCTTTGTGTAGGCAATGCACGCCATCCACGATTTGCTTCATGATCAATTTGACATCCCCCTCCCGAAATGGTGGCCCATGCAGCTCTCGCCGCTGTACAAGGGAGAATAGATCACCACCTGTGGCCAGTTCAGTGAAGAAATACCTGAACTCTGTCAATCTTCGTAATTCTATCGAAGGAATCTCGACTGACAGTGTATGAGGCGAGTATATGGCATGGACGTAAGAGATAACGTTTGGATGGTGTAGTTGCTTGACTATGTCAATTTCTTGCTTCCACCGACGCAAGGTCGTGGCACCGTCGACGCGCATGCGAAGTCGGTCAACATTCATGATCTTGCAAACCATTTGCCTTTTGGTGGCCACCTCAATGGCTAAGAGAACCCGCGCATGGGCGCCATTGCCGAGAGCACGATCTGTGACGTTAAATCGGGCAGCGAAGAAGTCCATCTCCCGTTGTTGAATAGGGCTTGGGACATAAAGCGGAACATAATCCTGCTTGAAGTGGAATGTCATACAAGGAATAAACTCGGAAACATTGGCGTCACGAGATGGCTGACCAGGAACAGTAATGACATCGCCATCGAGCAGGCAGTGGCCCGGTGTGATCCTCTTGGGGTCACCGACATGCTGTCCGTTGACGCGTATTCCGTTTCGAGACCTGCGATCGCGCACGTAGCATAGCGACGGATGGTACTCATCGAATGTGATGACGTAAAACTCGAAATGATCTCGAGAGTAGCCCTGATCATGCTGCTGACGGATGCGACTGTCAGGGTCAGAAACAAAGTCTATTTCGACGGCGCGACAATACCTACTCGCCGCGTCCATACTTCAGAAGTGATTCGGGATATATGGGTACGGTTTCTGAGTGTCATATGAGTTGGCTCCCAGCGCGTGACGCCAGCTCTAGCCATGCTTACCCGTGTCATCCTGGCAACGGCGGCCAAGCTCCAGCTCTGCAATTCGGCCATCGCGTTCACATGACATTGACTCGGTGTCTTGGGCCATGATGCGAAGTTTTGATAGGAAACAAGGCCTTGCGAGAGAAAACAAGATTGCAGACGAGTTCTTCGGGGAACTCTAGCATTCCGAGTTCGACAAGAATCACTGCACACTTAGGTGATGGACATGGCAGTCGGGCTCTTTGCACCTGCAGAGATACACATGGGTCTCACTTCTCGCAATCGCAATAAGTGCAAGAACCTTCCTACCTATCCGAGGCAACACAGCAGCACCGTTGCTCTCTGGGGCAGGCGCCATACATCGTGACCCCCCTGAGTACTGATCTATGGAGTTTCAAAGGCAGGTGCGGGTTGTCGCACAGTGCCACACTGTAGAGCGTCACTGCGGGGTCGTGGTGGACGTTCAGACGCACACGTGACGCTACAGGGCACCTGCCCTTCTCCCAATGGCATCTTAAGCTCCCGCAGAAGTTACGAGCTTCAGATATTCCTGATTCCTCACCAACAACTCTCGCCTCGGTCAACATGTAAGTGCCAAATCCCGCCACCCGTTTAGCTCCGCGCTGCACCGGCAACAGCTTGTACTTTGTCGGGGTAATTGGGTCTTCGCCACCGCGCCAATGTCCCCGACGACGTCTCTGTTGCTGCGATGCGCGCGCTTGTGCTCACCGGCGCATCAATTACATCACCCGTGACAAGTCGGCTAACATGCCCCTCCTCAGTCCAAGATGAGAGCCAAGTGGAGAAAGAAGCGAGTTCGTCGCCTCAAGCGCAAGAGAAGAAAGATGCGAGCCCGATCGTAAGTCAACACTCGTAGCGACATTGTCGCTGCCTCGACAAATGTTCAGTCACTAACTTGTCGTCAGCAAATAAACACCTCGCACATCACCTCGACCATGACCCCTCCTTCGAGATGACCACAAAAACGTCATGATCAGCGCTTGGAGCTGTGTGCGCCACATTACACCAAACCTCTACCACGACCCCGGTCTGCCGCCTTTACGGGATGGCAATTCATTCGCATTCTCTTCATCCAGGATTCGGACGATGGGCCGACGGCCAGGCATAGGCAAGGGTGGCCTGCAGGACTCTAGTTGGTTGGGACGGGTTATCAGACACGGAGCGGAGACTACGACAATATTGGAAGGTCGAGTGAGGTAAACGAATAAGTCGACAACGACGAAACGAAGTGTTTATGGGTCATGAAGCATGCTGCTGGACGACCCTTAAGAGGGATCTTGGACCAGAACGGCAATGACAATGAAAAAAGCAGTTTGCTTCAAATCAATCCTGCTCATCATGACAATCGTGTGACCGCGACATGTATGGCGTTGGCGTATCTTGGGTTCCAATCTGGGGAGTTTTGTGAGGAAACCCCGCCCTACCCTTTGTCGCAGCACGGAGCGACCTCATCAAGCTCCCACGTACCCCGCGTTCCACCGAGGTCATCTGTTTGAGACGAGTCATGCCTTGATAGCTGCGAGCGTCATAACGACGTCAACAGATGGGGAGATGAATGCCCGGCAGCTGCCTTTGCCAAGCTGCAAGTTGTCCACTCGAACGTTGATTTGGATTTGGGCTGGCTCGATCGCGTGCATCGAACGAACCTTGTGTCCCTCTTCCGGCTGCCGCACGTGCCTCTCGAACCTAGCTTTGGCAGGTGAAATCTTCACAGCACACCGCAGTGGCCACACAGCGTTCGATACGAAAAATGATGTCGATTCGAGGCAGCTTGTGCCCACAGCTAGACTAAAACGCCTGATCCAACCCAGCCCCGTCCCCAAAGCCATATGCAATACAATCGCGCCAGTGACCCAGACCCCGCGCCCACACCAGCTCATGCTCGGCCCTCTTCCCAAATCGCGAGCTTACCTGCAGTGCCTCAAGCCTTCGGCTTGGCGGCCCTCAGCTTCCAGTTCTCCTTGAACGCTCCCGCCTGTGCCTCCAAGTCCTGCTGCGTGACGCGGTCCTCGATGCTCTCCATGACGCTCGTGATGGTCGAGATGTGGTTAGCCTCGGACTTGTCGTCGCGGAACCGCAGGATGCGCCAGCGGCCCTCTTCGTCCTTGTGGCACTCGACAATGCGGTCGACGAGCGGGTCGCCGAGCCCCTTGAGCGTCTCCCACTCGTCCTCGCGAATGTGCACGTCGGCAAAGTACTCGTAGTTGCCGCCGTCGCGTCCGCTGCCGAGGAAGCTCCACAGCTCCGCCTTGGGCACGCTGTCGTAGTCGACGAAGGGCTCGTCGCTGCCGCCCTCAAACATGTCGACATCTTCTGGCTGCACGGTGGGGAAGTGCAGGCGCAGCCGGCAGTCGACCGTGTTCTCCTCGGGCGGCTTCCACTTGAGAATGTGGTTGTCGGTGCCGTGCTGGTACTTTGTGTGGACGCAGGTGAAGATGAGGCCGTCGTTGCCGTGCTTCAGGGTCGGCAGGACGACGTTAAAGATCTTGGGGATGCCATAGCTGAACTCCATCTGCTTCATGACGACATCGAAGGGCTGGAAGGCGCGTTCTTGGGGATAGTTGTCGAACAGCTTCGTGTAGGGGCGGATGATGCCGTCCTTGACGTAGGCAATGCGCTTGTCGTAGCTGCGCTGCATCAGGTTCTGGCCGTCTAGCACGAGGCAGTCGAATATGAGGAAGCGAGGAACCTGCTTGCCGTCCTCAAAATCGAGGACCAGCTCGCCATCGATGATTGTGCGCGTGTGCCATCCTTGCACATCGTCCTTCATTGGGAAGTGAAGGTTGTGGTTTTCGACGCGCCAGTAATCATTCTTGCGGTCGATAAGGTACACCGTCTCGGCGCCGGCCTCTTCGGTCAGATAGAGGAGGTATCGAATGCCATCGGACTTTTCGCAGACAAAGTAACTGAGTGGAAGGTGGATGTTAGCTTAGTCTTCTCCGAGGGAATGTACTCTAGGGACGAGAAATGAAGCTTACTCTTGTCTGCGGAGCTCAGCGAGGTGCTTGCGGGCAAAGCTGACAGGTTGTGCGCCAGGGAAGCCAATCTGATTTCGCTGCAACAACTCTGCGACGTCTCTTCGAAGCTGCAAGGCAAAATCGCGCGGTGCTTTGATGCCGGGCTCCGCGATGGCCTTTATGGGCCCATCGACCGGCGGCGTGTGTTCGTTCGGCGCAGGGCCGTCCATGTTGTTCAGTGCGACACCTATGTGACACAAAGGAGGGAAAAGTAGCTGCTGTCGCGACGAGGGACGAAGACAGATGCGCGTCTGTCTTATCGATAAGACAAGGTTGAGTAAGGCAAAGTGGGGAGAGATGCGGCCCTTGAAGTTAGGTAGGTAAGGTACCTGTAAAATCATCATTTAGTCATTTGTCCTGTGCAAAGTTCAGTGATCGCAAGGTACCCTTTGAGTTCATGGTTCGCCCTCTCTAGCACGAATGGCCCATCCGCCGTGCCATCCGATCCAGCCCCTTTCCAAAGGCCCTCGCAGCAACAGAACGACGATCGCCAGTCCCATGAAGCCGATTTTCGCACCTCCAGCCCGTGTCCACCCACCTTCAGCATAGAGCCTGTTTCCTATAGCTGCTCCTGACATTTGCCCGAGAAATCCACAGACTACGAAAGCAGAATTGACGCGGTTCATCGCTGTAGAGTCAATGCCAAAGGCGGCAACCCTGTTGGCCGTCTGAGACGTCTGCGTTCCCATATCGATAGCGATCGCTTCAATGATGGGACCCGCGATTGTTAGATTTCCAGCGAAGGTGCTGATGATGACACCCACTAATGCAAACGTCTCACCTACTAAGGCAGAGAACCAGGGCATAAACCTGTCCATGCAGATTCTGCCGTAGAATGGCCCAAGAACTATCGCAACAATGCCGATGAGCCCGAATAGTCCGATTTGAAGAGATTGGTACTCATAAGGCGGAGAAGCCAGGTGGAAGGTTAAAGTCGCCCAAAAACCAGAAAAGACGGCACTGGCGCAGTACGATTGGATACAAACTTGGAGCAGCAATGGTTCCGTGAATGTCATGTAGACCGTGCTGTAGAGCATGTGGAAATAAGTTTCGCCCTCAGGAGCCCTTGATGGGTAGTCTGGCATGAAGAAGTACAAGAAGACAAGGAGGAGATATTGGACGCCGAGCGCGACCCAGTATATGGTTCTCCAGTGGCCGTAGTTGGCCGAGATTCCGGAGAGCAACCTACCCAGTAGGGACCCGAGAAGGATCCCAGAGGCGCCGATTTGTACTGCACTTGCACGTCGGTTGGGCGGGACTTGGCCGCCGATGATGGGTATGACAAGCTGCGGGGTAATTGTAGTCATACCACAGATCATGCTGAGCGCCTGAAAGATTGGAAACGAAGAGGTCACGCAGAGGCCAATCCACTGAGCAACGATCAGCCTCACGCCGGAGAAGCTTTGGCGGTTAACCTTACCACGGTAGCGGTGACACCCACCATGACCAGTATCAGTGGGCGAGGCCGAAGCCAGTCACCGATGGGACAGATGAAGAACAGACCGACAGCGTAGCCAGACTGCATCAGCGTCGCCACGGTTGATGCCGTTTCGAAGTCGACATTGAAGTCTCCTGCAATCTTGTCCAAAACAGGCTGGTTGTAGTACAAGTTGGCCACGGTGAACAAGGCAGTCTATGGATTCATCAGTCACAGTTCCAGATCGCCTTAACGAGTTGTCTTAGTGGAACCTACTGAAGAGAACAGCAAGTTGAGCCGTAGTGTGAATGACGGGTCATGCTCAGAATCATAGCGACAGCGATGACCTCTCCTCTGCAGGAATTTGGCAGCTTCGTAAAAAGATGTGCAAACTCTCATTTTGACTCTTAACCTTGGAGTAGATGTGCCTGATGACTTATCAGACTGATCATGAAAGAGAATTACGCTTGTAAGGATGTGTTTCCTATGATGAACTTCTGTCAAGCCTGAATGTGTCAATGAAAGGATGAGGACGCCTTACTTTGCCTAATCTACTATCCTTTTATACTCGCAGATTTCAGGTCCACAATATTCGTCGCAATGGGGCAAGGCCTCTGTTATAACCAAGGTGCTTACATGTTGTGATTCCTTTCACACTGATGAAGCGTCAAGCTGCCTGTTGGCAGGATTGAACCACACGCCTACGCCTTAGGTTTACCAACAAGCACAATCAAACCTCGTCCGCGTTCGTCCCTGTTCATAAAGTCTTTGTTTAACCATTGTCACTGACAGTGCTCGTTTTACTCATCAAGGACTGCATTCGGTGTCCCCTTTTCTGGTTTCATCCTGCTTTGGTGTCGACTTGTTTCACAGTCTAGATCAAAACACAAAGCACTTGTTGGACAAGCCGGTGTTGTCATCCTGAGACCAGAGACGTGATGTCAGAAAGTCAAGGAACCGCGATTGCAACGTGTAAGGTCTTGCAAAGTCTAGGTGTAGTAGGAGGTCATTTCCCTGGCGTAAGCTTGATACCGATCATCTGCGTGGGGGACGCATCGGCGCGCGTATGGTCGCTTGCTTAGGTAGAAAATGGTCGATGGCTCGTCAGCGCTCTCATGCTGGAAGTCGCCGAAATTTGTCGAGCCCTGGGTTTGGTCCATCCAATTTGACTGGCAGCATATCCTAGAGAAGGTTCAGGAATAAGGGTCCTGCGCTCGGCTCCTGCATTTGTTCCGCGAGTTAGAAAACGCGATCGCGTACACCAAGACCAACAAGATGTCAAAGAACTCGAGCGTCTACTGCTTGCGCAACATGCTTGATGTTGGCCAATCAACCCTACCAAGATAGGCCACTTTCAGGAACTGCTGGATTCCGTCGGACGGAAAAATACTGCAATTATGCTCGGGAGAAAAATGGCCGAGCAACAAGCTCCGTTCCCCATACCCCGCATATCGGGCTCCGGCTTGGCGATCAACGGGTTTCCCCCGCAATGCCATAACCAGAAAGGGCCGTATCGAAGGACCACGATCCAGAGCTGAATTCCGGACGAAAGGGTCTTTCCGTTTCCACGGGAAATTATAGCGATTTTCAGATGATTGTAATGAGCATACGGTCAAGGGGCCACCCGTCTCGTCGACTTTCTGTGCCTCTCCGACCTTAGTACGACTCGGTAGTTTGAGATGCCTTCAGTCCTTGCTTGTATTTTGAGCATTTTGCTAGCAACGCAGCACGGGGTCCTGGGTCAAACGGTCCCAGCATCGCCGCATCTGCTAGCTGAGCTTGACTATGGCTCGTTTCAAGGCGCGTACTCGGAGGAGTTCAATATCTCTTACTGGCAAAAGATTCCATTCGCCGCGCCACCTACTGGCGTAAATCGCTTCCGAGGACCTCAACCTCCGGCTCCTGTGACAGAGAAGCCGTACAACTCAAGCCAATTCTTCGAGATGTGCCCTCAGAGAACAGTATGACTTGTCAGCGTGCCGGGGATGTCTTCTCCAAACAGTCAAGGCTGACTCTTGCGAACAGGTCAACGGCTCAGAAGACTGTCTATATCTAGGTCTTTACTCGCGCCCCTGGACGAAGGACCAACCACTTAAGCCAGTGATCGTCACCTTCTATGGCGGTGGATTTGCTCAGGGTTCTGCGTTTTTCAGGCTGCCACCTCCGGGGTTCCCTTACAAGACCAATGCGCCTCCGCCGTCAGACATGATCTTTGCTTATCCCACTTTGAATGTCTCTTCCGCCTCGGACATGATCATTGTCTACCCGAATTATCGCACCAACGCTTTTGGTTTCCTACCCGGAAAACGGATAGCCGACGACCCTCTCTCTGATCTGAACCCTGGACTCCTGGACCAGGAGGCGGCCCTCAAGTGGACCAAGGCGAATATTGCCAAGTTCGGTGGTAACCCTGATGATATCACCATATGGGGTCAGTCAGCTGGTGGCGGCAGTGTGCTCGCGCAGACAATCGGGCGCAGCGGCAAGCAGAAACTGTTCCACCGGGCCATGGCCAATAGCCCGTTCTGGCCAAAAGTCTACCAGTACGACAGTCCCGAGGCCGAGACGCTCTATGAGGAGCTCGCGAACCGCACAGGCTGTGCGGGAGTAGACAGCCTAGCCTGTCTGAAGCGAGTGGATGTGCAGACGATCCGTGATGCGAGCCTGAAGATTTCGGGCCTGCTCAAATACACAACGTCTGCATTCAATTGGGCCCCAGTCATTGACGACGAGTTTCTAACAGAGTCATTGTCGGAAGCCACGTCTTCGACTACCGTTGAGAGAGCCTTTGCGATGCACAATACACACGAAGGCGAAAGCTTCATCCCTCCGAGCCTCCAGGGTGCGGCGAATGAGACGGCCTTTGATCAGTGGCTTCGCGGATTTCTGCCTCACTTCAGCGACTGCGAGATCGCCGCCGTGAAGAGGCATTACCCAGCTGAAGGAACTGCAGAGGCCATTAACTACGACAGCACCTGGGTGCGTGCGGGACTAGTATACAGAGATAATGTGTTGTCATGTCCCGCCTTCTGGTTCACAAACGCGGCTGCACGGGGCTACCTGGGCGAGTATTCGCTAACACCCTCGCTTCACGCAAGTGACACCTTCTGGGTGCGCCATCTATGAGCTCCAATTAAGGACCATACTGACACGAAATAGTGGAATCGAATTAATGCCACGCAACTCCAGAAGCCCTCTTATTATCGAGGCTATGCCGGTCAGTCAAGCAAAGTTTAGGCTACGGAGCGCAATGCTGACCATGATACAGGCGCCATCGCGTCCTTCCTGATGAAAGGGGACCCAAATGCTCTGAAGCTCACTCCGGACGACGTAGCCGGCGTGCCGATCATTCAAGATGGTCGCGAATGGGTCATTACTCAAAACGGCTTTGGGACAGCCGACTCGAAGCGTCTGGCAAGCCGCTGTGCCTTCTGGCGAAAAACTTCAAGACGGATACCAGTTTGAAAAAGGTTATTGCATACTTAGGGCCCAATGCTTGCTGGCATCCGGGCGAGCCGCTCGCAGAATCGAGATACGGCCCTAGAAGCAATATGTAGAGCTCACTCAACATCAAAATCAGTCCTGATCATGGGTGAGCATAGGCCGAAAGCTATCGTTTCCGCACATAACGATTCATACTGAGTGTTCAAATCCTCCCCTGACGATTGCTAGCTTGCCACCACGCGTTAAGAGAACGTCGCCTTGTACCATCGCAGAAATGGGAACTGTGTCCCCAGAAAACCAATCGTAGGGAACAAAGAAATGGCGGGTAACATCGGGCGGCGGAAGCTCCTGGTCGTATGTATCTGGCAGTAGTGACCCATCGATGATCGTGGAGCAGACCCAAGAAGCGTGATCAAGATAAATTAGGTTGCCACGCCTATCAAACCCGATGATGTGGGCGATGTTGAACGCTGGACTCAGAATTTTAGGCCTGAGAGGGGGGTCTGACTGTCCAAAAGCTTCAATGCTGAGGCTTTTTGAAACAATGGCCACGACATCCTGGGTTCTGTACCTATTGTCCTCATGTGCGAGCTCTAGTAAGACCAACGAACTCCTATCAAGTCCGCAAGTCATGCCATTGCGGAGCTCTGATGTACTTTCGCCCAGCTGTAACGGAAGGGAATTGACCAGCGATAGGTCTGCCCATCTGTAGATGCCTAGCTCGGTAGCCTCGATACAGATCAAGTGTTGTTGAGATTGCGGGTGGGGCAGCCATTTGCGGGCGCCTGAGATCATCTGATGAGGCCGCACGCTTTCTTGCTTTCCCCCATCCAGAGAGATCAAATGGCTGGCCTCGCGTGTCAATACTAGAAGCTTGTTCGCTGTCTCTCCGATCAGGACATCGACGATAGCCCAGCCACCACTCTGCACGCGAAACTCAAGAATAGGCGTGGCTGGGCCTGTCCAGGTATCACCAGTGGCTTTTGTGAACCTGTGTAACAAGATACAGTTGGCAACATCAACGCTTAGGAGAGCCTCCAACTGATTGCACCATGCTATTAGACGAATGGACGCCTGGTGATCACAAAGCATACACAAAGGCTCTGCTTTCGTCCGGTCATACACCATGACTTCGCCATTGTTCTTGCCTGCGAAGATGATCTCACCCGAGGGGTGGGGGACTAAGGATGTGATTCGACCTTCTATTGCCGAATCAGGACGCTCAACAGATGACAACGTCGTGCCGAGGGCACTGTCGTTCTTTGAAAAGTCTTGCAGCACGGTCGCCGGCTCCCAGATCGTGCACTGCGAGCTTCTGATGTCGGATAAAAGCAGACCATCCCTGGCAAAACTGAGTTGCTTTATGTACGAGTTGTAGCCCTTTAGTCGATACAGTAATTTGAGTGTCTTGAATTCAAACAGGTCGATAATGCCCTGCGTGTCACCGGCTGCCAGGAGGCGTCCATCAGGGCTCGCGGCGAGAGACTGGCAATGCTTACGAATGCATCCCAGCTGTTGCTTTGCAAATGGGTCAATAATGGCAAGTTCGCCATCAAAATAAGAGACGGCAAGCAGTAAAATATCGGGATCTGGGTTGAAGATCATGGCATCGACGGGGCAAGTACTTGTCTCTCCAATCCCATTCGACTTTCCACAGCTGCCAGCATATGCATCCTCGTTCATATCCCACAAAGTGATGGGATGATTAATGTAGGAGGCAGCAATCATCTGATGATTGACCGATAATGCGAGTGCACGTGGAACCTGGCGGGGTGGTGCGCGGTGCAACCCTGGGGTATTGCTCCATGGACTCTGAGTCGGCTCTTCTTGTATGTCATTGTGGCCCAAATCCCAAGATGCCACGTAGTTTCTCTCGCTGGCGACGTAGAGCGTCCCTTCATCCCAGGTCATCTCGACTGGTCGGGGAGGGCATTTGAGACTCTTCACTAGGTTGCCGCTTCTGATATCCCAGACCTTGAGCATTCTCATGCTTAAGGTTATCAGAAAATTGAGTTTTGCCATGAATCCAATGGATTTGAGTGACTCTCCATGGTCTATCGTCTTGTATTCCTGGAAAGAAGTGGCATGGTACATCATGACGTGTCCCGAGTCAAGACCGACTGCCATGTACTCATCCCCATGATACAAAGCGCTCGGATGGCCTTGACTGAAGTCAAGGCCTAGAATCTTATCATCCCAATGTTCATCAGCAGCTCCAAGAACGGAGACCCTCCGAGTCTGCCCGCTGGTCCGAAAGACTCTAGAACTGGTCGGGCAGAACGGGGGTATCAACGAATACACCGCTGATGGGGCAATTGCTAGAGCATTGGCGAACAGAGCGAGAAGTCTATTCAGATCTATGACCCATTGCTGAAGGACGCGTAAATGAGTGTTATCGCCTGTCGTTTCAGCTTTGCCAGCTCTGATGTAGGTTGCGAGGTGTCCGGACGTTTGGGTAAGTTGGGTGAGATTCTTAGCCTCGGCAACAGCCTCTATCCAGCTTAGAACATTAGACTCGAAGAACGTGGATGCTAGATGCAATGGCTCGGGGGCCAGGGCGTCTGCTCCGGAGAGGTGGTGCGAGTACGCGGCGCATGCGTAGAGGGAGAACTCCTGTCGCGACCTCTGAACCTGCGCAAATGTACGTCGCCGGTTGGTCCGGGGGGGCTTCATTTCATCTCCGGCGAGGTATTTCAGGCACATTTGGGCCATACGGGTATGAGCCTTGGTCTTGTCGATGGCAAATTCGGAATCCAGACCGTCGCTCAGAAGGAACTCGCGTGCTGTCTCGTGTACCATTTGCACCCTCTGAAACATATCGACGACCACAAGTTGCCCGCATAATGCGGTGATGCTCTCTTCCAGTCGTGGAAAAGAGTCATTGAGATCCAAAGCAAGTGCGTCGTTGAGTTCGCCAACTGAGAGGGGTCGAACTGCACAGGTGACCCACATGAGTACGGCTTTCGCCAGTGCCCTTCCTCTCGTGAGCTGTGACATGGAGGCCAATGTTCGCTTATACACTGACTCCATTCCTCTCGGTGTGTCTTCAAGTACTTGGTTGACTTCTTGCGTGCTGTGGCAATGTAGCAATTCCTTGAGCACCAAAATCGTCCACAGAAACGACCCTCGTGACTTGTCAAGTATGCTCTCTGCCAAAGCCGTACGATCTTCCGGCTTCACAACCCTCAAGGCCTGAGTGCTGCGCTCAATAAGAAGTATGAAATCTTCGCGCGTCTCTGATATTGTGACTGCCAGTGATGGCAGTGGCTGAAATTCAAGTGAGGACAAACGCTGGTCCACGTCGGCAGTGTCTCGGCTTGTAATAAGGATTCTCAAGGGGACGGTACTCTCAATCTTTGAGAACAGACCCTTGAAAACCGTTGGGTCGCTTGAGCATTCATCAGCCGCATCGATGACCCAGTGATGCCTAGCCATTTTATCATTGAGTACGCCAGGCGAGAAGAGAATCCTCCAAAGATGACCCTCGTCTGCATAATCCAATCGAACACCGTCAGCCTGCATCTCCAAAATAGCGTTGGCGACGGTGTCGTCACAGCAAGCCATCTGGAAAGCCAGCGTACGGAGACATCGGTTCAAGCTGGCTTTTGAAGCATCGCCCTGCTTGAAGAAGAAGTAGCTGCAGTGACGGCCAGACTCTTTCAGACTTTCGATCACATAGCCAGCAAGGATGGACTTGCCAGCGCCCGGGCTGCCTTTGACCCACAGAGTCCTCTCAGCCCCCGAGTCTCCGTCTTGCCATACCACATACTTGGGTTTGGTCGAGATCCATTGACAGGTGTTTTTCAAGCGAGACTCGCAGACACTAAGGAAGTCGTCGTCGATAATATCGGAAATGTCCAGATATGTCTTGAGGTCGCGGATTCTGTTGCGCATCTCTTGTTTCTTCTGCTCAGGAACAACAGTGGCTAGTCGATCTACAGTCATGGCAAGCGCATTTCGCAGGGTAGTGTAGGTGACGTCGATTGACGAGTCGAACTTGCAAATTGATCGATGATCAGCGTTCATGGGCACTTGATGCTCCCCGCTATACCCCAGAACTGCCGATTCCGGATCGACGATCAAACTGTTGAAAAGCCTCATGTTCTGGGTTTCATAGAATGACCAGAGCTCGAGGCCAGACGAGTAGTGTCGAAACTCGTCATTGATGATCTGGATAGCGGACGAGTTTCGCTCCAAGTCTCCGACATAGGCTCGGTCGTAAGCAACCTTGAGGATACTCCTCAGTGTCGTCGCTGAGTCGGCGCCGCGATGCGGCGTCGCGAGAAAGTAAATAGTGCTAAAGCGACTGGCTAGTGATTGCTGCGTTATGTCTTGCTTGGCCAAAAGATATGCTTTCTTGATTACCAGGCCTCCCATACTATGACCGATGGCGACAATGCGTGTGTCGGAATTGGCCAGAAATGGCGATGTACTGATGGCGGCAAGCAGCGATTTGCCAATGTGGTGAACGTTCAGGCAATCTTCTTTGCCTTTGAGATAGTCCGAATCATATCCATAACTATGAACGCGAACATGCTTAAAGGCGGCATCCTTGGACAGCCACTCCTGGGGCCAGTAATGAGATTGGAGGCCTGACTTGCTCCAGGTTTTTCTCGAACCTCCTCCGAGGCCGTGGACAAAGATGAAGTCAACTTTGGGTGCCGAGGGCTCATGAAGGACATTCAAGCCTAGTGGTCCCTTTGTGGCATTCGCGCGAATATGCGATGAGTCAACTGATGCTTGAGAAGAGGCTCTGGAGAAGAAGAAATCCCTTGTCGAGCTTGCAATCAAGCTACGGTGACCCGAAGAGACCGAGATAGGTGCATCGGTGTCTGTATGACGCTGTCGTCGAAAAATCTGTGGCGGCGAACGTGATCAGCATAAGATTTGTCTGGATCGGGAAAGCAAGCTTGGTGTGTTGACTCGTAGGCACACCATCTCAGCACTACGTAGGTACCTAGATAGGGAGGGTGGAGCGACTGGGTACCTGGACCATGATTTTCAGCCTTCACGAGGATGAGGACAAGTCGAACGTTGGCTGGCATGAATCCGCTATGTGTTATTACTACATGTTGTTCTCAGTTCTATCGACGAAGTCAATATTTTAAGAGAGATGAGGGGAACGAAGGTAGTGTTGGTGATGCTGGTCGGTGACTGAGGTAGGGATCACCCCACTTGCATCCCGGCGCCTCTCTACCTACCGTTCTATGTTCAGCAGCGCTTCGTGTCACATTATCTGCAGTAGAGCCAATCAAGATGGAACAGCAAGCGACCTTGTGCGTCAACCTGCAACCCTGCATGCATGAGTCCCAACCGCCATTGTACAAGAGTCAAAAATAGTTTAATGGCGAAGATTGGTGTTAGCCGGGAGGGCCGGCTCCTGATGGCCTCCGCTCGAGTTTTGCGCGTCGTGCTCTACCGAGTTTGACGCCTCAAATGGCTTTTATTCAGTGTTAATGGCTTCGTCTAGGTCAGATCGCTCGCAGTCGCCGCTGCCTCGATCACGACCGCATCATTCATACGCCGCAATTCCGCAGACCCTCTCGATGCAATGGGTGGAGAATCAGAAGCCAAACGGGCAAGAAACAAGGTCTTCAACCCCCTGATGTTGAGTGTAGCAACGCAACGGGCCTCTGGGCTTTTTTCCCATCCTCAAAATCAAAAACGCGCATGTACAGTTGCTCATGAAAACGCTCAACTTTCGTCGATCTTGTCGATCTCGGCCTTGGCCTCCTTCCAGGTCTCCTGGTTCTTCTTCGCCCATTCAATCTGACTCTTCGCGTACGCCAACTGGGAAAACTCGTCAGTATATAGGATAGACAATACGCGTGAGCCCAGGAACTTACCATGTAGCGGCGAAGATCTTCTTCCTTGTCCGCCTGGAACCTCTTGAGGTCCGTCAGGATGCTGAGACTGGCATCCTGCACGTCGTGCTCGGACGCAACCTGTGCCTGCTGCAGCTGCTCAATGCTCTCCCGTGTCTTACCGATAAGGTCGCGACGGGTTCTCTCGGGATCGACGTCCGCGACACCCTGGATGGCGTGGCGGATGGGACCAAAGATCTTGTTGGTGATCGAGTTGTTGCTCTGTACCTTTCTATGGCCAGGGCTTGAGTTGCTTCTCTGCGGGATGCCTTGACTTGCCGAAGGAGCTGGTTCGCCGTGTGTCGGAGGGAAGTCGGAATCAATCGAGGCTGTGTCCTCAGTCTCCCTTGAGTACTGTGGCGAGGTGCCCGTCTCTCTAAGACTGGTCGATCGCTTGGGCGGAGGCGTGTGCACCTGACTGCTGTTAAGGTATTGCTCGATGCGCCTCGACTCAGCTTCGCTCCGCTCAAGCTCCTCCAGCTGCGCCTTCTTTCTGTTCAGCTCATCATTCGTCTGCTCCTGCTGAATACGCTTCAACTGGCGGTACTTGAGTACATTCCGGACAACTCCGGCGAATTGCGCACTCTCGCGCATCGGCTCTGCAAAGCTAGCTCCTAGGGAGCCCGCCAGCTCCTCTGTCGCAATGTAGGAAGAGTCAGCGGCCTGGCCGACCCTCTCGATGGCTGGACCGAGCGTGGCTGACGGCTCTGACAGGGCAAAACCGTTGAAGCGGGAGCCGAGATCGCACAGGTCGGCAGCCAGAGACTGCAGATGGCTGACGGTTCGGCGGTTGACCTTTTCCATCGGACCTGTGAGGAGTGACTCGAGGTCCTTGCTGGAAGCTTCAAATGCATTAAAGTAAGGATCAAGCTGCTCCTCGGTGAGGTTGCTGTTGTCGGGCGGGAAACGGCCATGGGGAGTTCCCTGTCCATAAGACGATGAGGGGTCGGCGTGACCTCCGCCAGCCTTGAGTTTGGCTGAGCTCGAGGGCACAGGGAGATAGCTGTGGGCGGCAGAAGCGTTGGCGGGATCCAGGGGCGGGGCCCTCAGGACCGACTTCGGGATGGACGAGATGGGATGTGAGTTGAGGACCTCGCTCTGTCTGGATGTTAGCTTCAAGATTCAAGCGACCCGTCTATGCACGGAGCAGAAATATACCCAGCTAGCGTTAGGGTCAAGGAACCGCCACCAGACACCGTCTTCTCTGACTTCGTTCATCACGCGGCAGCGGTTTAGGAACACGGCTAGCATGCGCTTTCGCAGGTCGATGATCTGCTGATCCTGCTTCGCGTTGGTGGGGTTGGCCGCATAGTCGGCCATGGTGTGCTTCTCAGGGATGGGGGGGATGATGAGGGTGGGATGAAGCCTAGTGAGCGCGTCGCGAAGGGTCGCGAACTCGGAGTATCGGCGGCGGACCTCGAGGTTCTAGGGCATGTCAGTAGCCTGCCGGGGGCGTCGTTTCGGGAAGGAACGAGACGTACACCTGTGCGGATGGTGTAGACGATGTACTTCCCACCACTCTCTGCGCTCTTGCCCGCATCTGTAATCAGGATAGGCAGGCTCGGGTTCTCGTACAAGATCTGTTCGATTCGACTCTCGTAGCCGCCAGGTTTGCGCCGAGGAGCAGCCTGCTCTGGGGCTTCGACCTCGTCGTCACTGCCAACGTTGCGGTCGAAGGCGGGTTGTTGAGGCGCATCCTCGCTCGTGGACGAAGGGGTGTTCGGAGCGTCAAACCGCTGCTGGTCTAGAAAGTCCCATTCGTCATCAGCATCGTGGACAGGAGAGGGAGAGGTGGAGGCAGGAGGCGGGTTGTCGTGCAAGGGAACGTCCACGAAGGGAAGCTCCTCCTCACGTGCGTCGCCCTGCAGAGGTTGATACTCGGGAGCATCCCAGTACACGGATTGATCCATGATGGGCTGTCGTCTTCCAAGCTGTGAAAGAGGGTATGGTACTGGGGTAGAACTTACGGGAAGTCGGAGAGGCAGGGTTCGCGGAGGAGGAGGTCAAGCTGTCCCGGCGGTCAAAGCTTGTGCCATAGGGATTGTTGTCTTCGTCGTTCCACATGATGGAGGGTCGAACAAGGAAGGCGCAATATGCGGATCTGGGATGAAGGCTTTGGCGGGCGTGCGGACGGGAGGCTCGTCGCGACAACAAGGCGGTGCGCAGTGAGGTATCGCGATGTGCGGGCGGAGGACGAATGGGGGCGGCGGGGGAGGGGTGAGCTGCGAGTTCGCCGGCATGCACGGATGCAATCGTGGCAGGTAGGGTAGAGCTCTGGGAATACCGATGAACGGTCTTCACTGAGAAGAAGGGCGGTCGTCAAATGCCTGTAGACGGGGAAACGTGGCCGCGGTCGGAGATGTTGGTTCAAGGTGACCGGTAAGAACGGACGGACCTGGTCAAGCTCCAAGAATGATGTCGCTCCCGAAAGTGAGTGCCTGGCCTGGACGGTGCTGGGTGCAGGTGCTGGGGTTGGGTTGTCCAAGTGCCAATGACGACGCAGATGCAGGCACGGGCCACAGAGCCTGGTTATGGTCCGTGCGTCTATCACATCCGATAAGAGCTCAGCTCAGGCAGGGTCCAACTGTTCACAGCAGCACACCATCATGGCCATGGCATCAGGTCACGACCTTCAGCATCCTTCAGACACAGTGTTGTGCGGTTTCTTTGAATAGGAGTTTTTTTTTTTTTTTTTTTGTTGGCAGCTCCGTCATTCAATGCCCTCATATTGCCTCCACCAAGCTCTTGAAGCCATGTCATGCCGCCTTGCCAGAATCAACGTTTGAATACCTTCAACATGCCATGAGACTCAATCCTCCAGCTCCATGCCCCTCCATTGTACCGATCATGCAGCCCAAAAGTCGCCAGTCGCCCTTTTCTTCCCGGTGTGTCTAGCATTTACGACTGGATGCGCTCCGACTTGCGATGAAACTTGCTGACCAACCCGTCCCTCCTCATAACGACCACCCCCTTGATGGACAGGCACAGGAGCAACAGGGTCAAGTGCCACATCAGTGGCCGTGCAAGACTGCATCCGGGCTTCCTTTGCCGTGAAAGACCTTGGAAAACCTCTCATCAGCATTTCCTTCCTGAAACTTGAATTGGGATTGTCAAGGGCACCCACCTTCTTTCATGTGTCCTCCTGGACTTCTCTCGGTCTCGCCTCTTGTCTCTCCGCAACTCATCGGGAAGAACCTGCGACTTTCGTTCTTTCACCTGCGTCTTCCACTCACCCGAACGCCTGTCTGTCGGTAAACGAATGCCAACAGCCCCCAGTATCAAAGACATGACCGTGCCAGCTCGGTCATCGGCCTGCCTTCCCAGGCGGTGGTCGTGTGACCGATTTGTCTTTGTGCGTTCAGGTTGTGAACAAGCGCTGGCCACAAATCAATGGCTGCTGAGAATCTCAGCAGTAGGGATGACGAACCGCCTGTGGGTGTGAGCACCTCCATCGGTGAGTTCTGCACCATCGCCATCACGACTATCCCGAGAGATGGAGACCTGGGTGCTCGGCTTTTCACCATGTCCGGAGTCACGACTGACGCTGCGGCGGCTTGAATGGCGACGGTGACCAGGCGAGAGAATAGAGGCAGTACCAGAGCCAGCACGAGTTGGTCTATGCGGGGTAGGCAAGACATAGTCGTCGCTGTACACAGTGGCAGCATTCGACTCGGGAGAAAGGGGTTCGACGGGAACTCGGACTGGATAGGGTGTTTCGTGACCATGCTCCTCGGCATGCATCGCGGAGGGCTGGACATTGTGATTGGATTGACGGACCTGAGCCGGGTTGACGCGCTCCTGAGACTCTTGGCGCGAGCTTGCAATGGTTTCTGCGCGCCCAGTCTGCATTCCGAAGAGTCTCATGAACTTCTGGCCGATGGTAGGAGCACGCGGGTAGAGGCCGCCAGGATATTGCTGACCATTGGTCTGACGATACTGGTAGCTCTGGCGCTTCTTCTTCTTGGTAGTGTGTTCCTTGTTCTTCTCCAGGCCTGCTCGGTCCTGAGACTGTTGCTCGGTACCAGGTACGAGCACCGGTTGGATATTAGGCTGGTAGATCGTGGGAGGACGAGAGATCCCCTCTTTGTGTGGGTGAAATAGCAGAGGGGGGTTCTGGTAAATCGGGCCAGTCGGGGTGGGATACGACATGATCAGCGGGAAAAAGACAGGCGGCTCGGCGGTCGGAGGTCTGACACCGGGGAGTGTTGGTAGCGCGTTATCGGTGTAGCGAGAGACGATGGAAGCGCGGCGGCCATCCTCGGGCGACGGCTGCTGGCGGCATCGGGTACGACGCATGGCGATATTGTCACCGTTACGGGCCCATCCGGCCTCTCTGCGGCTAGCTTTGTAGTAGGTGACAGCAAGAAGCAGGGTGAGTCCAATGACGATGCAGCTGATGACAATGCCAAGCTGCTGGGCACCGTTCAGACAGTTCCAACCCGAGCAAGACGCTCGCTTGTTCTCCGAGGCAGGCACGGTGGGGCTGGAGACCTCGATGGCGACCCGGGGATAGACAAATCTGACGTGGTCGGCAATCTCTTCTGCCGAACCGTTCCAGACATTACTACCTGTGAAGCCGACGCCAGAGATCTGATCGGTGTGGGTAATCACTGGCATAGTGAGCTCTGTGTGCCGGGAGTACGTGATCGAGTAGTGGTGATTATTCAAAGAAGGGTGAATAGAGTAGCGTAACAATGCCAGAATGGTAGCCGACTTTTGAACAGTGGGAGGAGCCGCAAGTGTCTTTTGGATATTATTCACGATCTGACGAGCAGCTAACGCAGTTGGTGGGCTTGGTCTCTCGTGGTTGCCTACGAAGGACAGATGGGGAAAGACTAGACTTCGCTGCCCATTGAATCACATGCGCTACCCAGAGCTGGAAAATCACTGGAGTGAAGTATTGCAGTTTCGAAGGCTCTTGGAGAGGAAGACATACTGGTCTTTTGCAAACGCTTCTCATTGATGCTCTTCTCAACCACGAATGATGGGATATCGAGGCAAAGAACAAAAAGAGTGTGACACAAGAGTGTTATAAATATAGAGTCTGGAACTCGTACTCTATCCTGAAGACAGTGATTCAAACTGATAGCTATGGCTATGAGATGTTGGCACCACTCGATTCACTCCACATCCTGTACGAGTCCTCAAGATCGACTTCGTGTGCAGTAGAGCGTATGCTTGCTACATCTTCCCTGAAGCTATCAACTCTAGTGGCGCTTGGAGCGAATGACCCATCGGGGCCTGCGTCTGAACAAGCGCAAAATGCAGGTTATACGGATGTCCAGTTTCTTCAGCGTCCACGGTACGTGCGCAAATGCCGAATAGACCGTCTCATTCCATCTCCACCGAAAGGGGTACACAACAGTAGCAGCAGCACAAGCTGATTCTCGGCAATCTTGATTTTAAACCAAACAAGACCATGGAGGTTCCATACCATCCGCTTGGGGAAGCACTTCATTTCCAAGCATCATGCATACAGAGCGCTTCATGCCTCCAGCTCTCAGCAGGCGGCGGTACGCATGTCGTTGCCTCACCGAGAAAAGCGGATGGATGGACGGTGTGCTAATGGTGTGGGTTTAGGTGGCTACGGAGGCCCCGCCACTACCACATTGCTCCCCGAGTCGAGACCACTGGAAATGGAAGGCGGCCGATGTGCGTTTTAGGTAAGCGAAAAATTACGCGCTTAGACCTCCCCACTCAGCCCACCACGTCGCCCTGCAGTGGAGGTTTTCTCAAGTCACGTGCAAGGGCAACGGGGTTAGTTGTGCATCCCACAATTCGCCAACAAATTTCGACTTGGATCTTCTCTTACGAAGACAGACCATCAACCATCGACATCAAGGCAACCACCTCGACAAGTTGCCCAACATGTCGCTCGTCTCAGGGGAGAAGAGTATGTCTATTGCTCTCAGCCGGCTGCCATGAATCATCTGCTAACGGATACCTCGCAGCGAACTTCCAGTTCATTCTCCGACTTTTGAGTACGTCTACTCTCGATCGCGCGATCGCGAAACCCCTCGACCGACCACCACCCCGATGCCATCGATTCTAACAACATGTGCAGACACCAACGTTCGCGGTCAGGAGAAGGTCATGTACGCGCTCACCAAGATTTCTGGTGTTGGCCGTCGTTACTCCAACATTGTGTGCAAGAAGGCCGATGGTGCGTAGCTTCTCTCGTCCATTCGCCACCGCAAAGGCAGATGGGGTCTTCGAACACAGCGACGAGTACTAACGAGGACTTGCAGTCGACCTGAACAAGCGCGCCGGTGAGCTCACCTCTGAGGAGCTTGAGCGTATCGTCACCATCATCCAGAACCCCACCCAGTACAAGATTCCCGGCTGGTTCCTCAACAGGCAGCGCGACATTGTCGACGGCAAGGACTCCCAGATCCTCGCCAACGGTGTCCACTCCAAGCTCCGTGACGATCTTGAGCGCCTCAAGAAGATCCGCGCCCACCGTGGTCTCCGTCACTACTGGGGCCTCCGTGTCCGCGGTCAGCACACCAAGACCACTGGTCGCCGTGGCCGTACCGTCGGTGTGTCCAAGAAGAAGGGTGGTTAAGCGTATCGCTGTTGTTGAAGGGAGACGGCAGGGAGGATTCGGTCCGGAGGGCAAAAGGCGTGACACGGCTTGGTTTTCTTCCCACCTTGATTCCTTGCGTTACATCATCACATCCATTGGGGGATTGCTATTTGGGCCATGCGATGACATCCGGATGGTGGTTCTCGAAAATGAGTTCGCCAGACCAAAACAAAAGAATCAAAACTGCGTCTTCCTGTCTTACGTGACCTTGAATGATGACTTGATTGATGACGCCGTCCGAAAGAAGAGAATACTGGCGGCTCAAACCTGTGGTAGACCTCTTCAACCCGATCATGTATGATTCCTGTGAGAAGCACCCCGACTACCAACAGGTGTGACTTGAAGCCTCGGCACAGCACATCGTGTAAGGAACAAGCGATCGACGCTAAAGATGACCCGTCGGAGAGGGTGAGCATGACCACCACGTGCCACTACACTACAGCTGCGCAACAAATCTTCAAAATTGAGTAATGCTTTTCGCCCGCCTAAATGCCACGATCGCTAGTCGCTCGTAAGGCTATGATCATGGTAGAAAGATATGTCTGCAAAACAGGTATCAAGAGTCCCGTGTCTCGTCTAATCCTCGTGTGTGATGGCCATATCGAGCACCTCAACACGACCCTGACCTCTCGTCTCGTTGCCGATGAAGTCGCCCAGCCCCTTGAACGCACCGGGCTCAACGAACCCAGAAACCTCCCACTCGGAACCGACGACGTCCTGGCTCTCCACCTGCTCAAAGTACCCTAGAATCCTATCCTTGACCGTGCCCGGCGCTCCCTTGGCTCCATCCTCCCCAGCGCCCTCTTCCTTGGCAGCCTTGACACCCTGCTTGAGCACGCTCGTCGCGCAAGTCACGCGCAGCCTCATGCGCGCCCTTTGCACGGGGATCGGTTGCGCCGCGATCAGCGCCTTCATGGCCTCGAGCGCCTGGCTCTTCGCCGACTTGGTCGTCGTCACACCCGTCCACACGTGCTGCGCCCGTGGCTTGGCGCCCCCCTCCTCCTCCCCTCCGTTGCCGCTCGGCGTCCCCGTCCCGCTCGCCGTCTTGCTGCCGGTCTGCTGCTGCTGCTGCTGGCCCTCGTGCGCAGCCGAGCTCAGCATATCGAGGGCCTTCTCGATCATGCCCCTCGTGTAGACCCGCTTCGTCCTCGGGTCCACGAGCCGGCTGCACACGATGCCCAGCACCTCGTTCTGCACCCGCTCGAGCTGGGCCGCCCGCTCCTTCTCGCCGACCTGCAGCTCGCCCTTCTTCAGAATCTCCAGCACCACGTCATCCGTGCTTTTTCCCTTGCCAAACGCCTTCTCCAGGTCCTCCTTGGGCGCCGTCTGGCCCTTGGACACGTTGAGGAAAACGGAGGGGATCTGCAGGACGTTGTCGAGGTCCGTCTCGATGCCGGAGCGGTATTCGAGGACCTTGTTCTTGTAGCACGCAATCTCGAATCGCTTCTTGCCCTTCTTCAAGCGCACAAGGGAGACATTTGTGAGCTTGATCTGGTTGGAGGGCTGTTGTATCATGCGGCCAGACATGATGGGCGAAGGTAGGGTTGGTTCTGCGCAGGGGCTCGGTATTGGGGTAGTTTCTTTTTCTCGTGAAGTTCCGCTCAGGGGGTTTGGGTATACAAAATCGGAATCGGAGTGTGAGGGGGTGGCTGTGAAGAAATCCTAAGAAGCCGGTGGTGCGTGGGAAGCAAGCAAAGCGTTGCGATCTTTTCTTGGGCGTTGGCGGGGGAGGGGCAGTCGTACCTTTCCTGGTCTGACGTCGGCAAGTGGCGGTGACTAAGGCGGAGGAGCAAGGGGTGTAAACTCGCACTCGATGCACGTGATGCTATGCCCGCCAACAAGTCATTTGCAGACATTGAGAATTTCTCTTGAGTAAACAAATTCAGTAAGATTTTGCTTTGTGGATTTGATTGAAACTACTGAAGCTGGCAACGAAGCGCAAAGCCGCCTGCGTTTGCAAACATTACGCTGCGTAGATACAAAGCAACGAATGCTATTCGTCCAACTAGCGCAAATCGATGTCATCTGAAACCACAGGTAATAGGTGACCAGTATGAGTAACTTTTTAGTATTATTCGTTTTCTGGAAGTTCTATAGCTGCCAGCAGATCGATGTCTTGTATCAGCGTGCGCCGCGATAAGCAAGCTGAGAACGCCGCCGGTCCAGTATGTCATGACGTCTCGAGGATACGGGAATCATGAACCAAAGGCTCATCGCGCCACGCTTAGGCTGAATCGTTTGATAAACCAGAGCAACGAAGCCATAAATCGTCCTTTAGGAAAGCACGGGCTCTCTGTGTTTGGCATTGCATACCAGTCAAATAAACGCTCTGAGTCTTTTGCATACAGCCGAAAGGTAGACGTCCGGTGTGAGAATCGGGATCAAAGTGGTATACTTCACGTCATTTTGCGACCATTCACCTTAGATATGTATTCAGTCTGAAACTCGCCACTAAGTAGCCAAGTCGAAACTCATCTTGTAAATTGTTTTACTGATTAGGAGAGTCTCGACTGCTTAGTCAAAACTCGGCCTTGATAGTTCTGTTGAGTTCCTGAGAAGTGAGGTAGCAACCCAACCCAGGATGTAGCCGGCCACTACACCGCACGGCCAGGCATATAACTTCAGAACGTTGCAAGAAGAAGGACTTGAGAGTACGAGTAGAATAAGTCAGGTGCTCCATCGTCAGGATGATGAAAAAGCTTCAGCATACAACTCCCAAGGCTAGTGAAGCTGGTTGCATCGTCTACCCAATCATGGTCATAGTACTTCTCAGGGTCTTCGACTGATTCTCAAGACCCCGAGCCTCACAGGTCAAGTCGTCATCGAATTCAGCCCAAGTTTGCCTCTCCAGATGCGCTTTGCTTCCCTATTTACGTACTAGCAAGTGGGCCTCGAATACACCTCTTCTTGATATTGCTGTAGCATCTACCATGCAAACCAAAGGTAGACGAAACATCTCTCACGCGCACGTGGGGACTCGAACCTGCATTGAATTTCACGCTCCTTCTGTCTCTCTCATGGTAGCTAGATTTCCAACTCTCTGCCACTCAAAATCCGCACAACGCGTATTTAACGTGTGCTTGTTTGGAATAATGATTTTCCATTCGAATAGTCACAACTCGTCTTCAGACCGCCAGCCCTCGCGTCAGTTCTGATACGCGGCAGGGTAATCAAACATTTTCCTCTCCTCCAGCAGTAGCACTGGCTACATATAAGAAGATGGCCTCGACGTCCATGCCAAGCTTCAGACTCTTTCCTCCATTGACCCCTACACACTCTGCCTCTAGAATGCATGATAGGGGGCAAACTAGTCCTACCATATCAAGCCACCACAGTCGCCTCAGGAGAACTTCTTTTGGATGTCCTCGCCAACTGCTCTTTCGACCCCTACGCTCCTAGAGACGAAATGGCAGACGAAAGCGGGCTGCAGCTTCCTAGCACAGCAGAATCAGGTGTAGACTGTTAGTGCACATCGTGTGAGGTGACAACGGGATTCGGGCAATTCATATTGATTGATTGTAGACGGAACATCATGCTATGCGACCATCGAACTCTCCATCAAACAGACAGTGCGTTCCCCATATATGTCCATACTATTCGGGCCAACAAACTGCGTCTACTCATACACCTAGCCGTCGATCCATTACCGAACCGCCACGACGGTCAACCTCTCGGAAGACCTTCTTTAGGCGTTCCACTCACCGCTCAACCAGCGGTTGAAAAAGTCCGACGAAGACTCGGGCTGGTCCATGGGAACCATGTGGCCAGCGCCGTAGATCTGCATAAAGGTGAAGTTGCCGCTGGACTTGACCTTGCCGTACTCCTTGCCCTTCTTGTCGTCCGCGACCGTCAGGCTCTTGATATCAGCCTTGTTGAAGCCCTTCTGGCCAGGCCACTCGAGAGCCTCAGTCCAGGCACGGTTGCCGAGCCAGTTGCAGATGTAGTCAGCATCACCGGCGTAGATGAGCACGGGGATCTTCTCGAGCAGACCAGGAACCAGGCGGTGGAAGGGCTGGAACCAGTCACCGGCGAAGAGGAAGTTGCGGTTGATGTCAAAGTTGCAGCTCTCGTAGTTGGAGACCTCGGCACCCAAAGCCTCAATAACATTGTCCTGGTTGAGGTACTCGCTGATCCAGCCGAGGGCGGAGTAGCAGAGGTTGCTGCTGTCCTCGCACTTGCTGCGGACGTCATAGACGTTCTGGCCGGTGCGCTGGTAGGGGCCAATCAGGGCGTTGTTGCAGTAGATGCTGGCAGGCACGCACGACCAAACACTGCCGGACTCGTAGCAGTTGTTGATGAGTTGCTGGCAGCGGGGAAGGGCGTTGTCCATGGCCTGGCACTCACTCTCGCTAACGACAGAGGGGTAACCGCCGTCGCCGCAAGCCATGGGGCGGTACTGGGCATACTGCGTCCAGCCATCGGTCAGACCGTTGCCGATGAGAACGCTCTTGAGGTTGACGTTGCGGTTCTCGTGAGACAGAATCTCGGAGGCGAACACGGGGATGTAGTGGCCAGCGTACGACTCGCCGGCGATGTGGAAGTCCTGCTTGGCGTACTCGGGGAACTGGTGGAAGAAGAGAGTCAGGAGAGCGTAAACATCCTTTCCGGCGGCAACCGTGTTGGAGACGGCAGATCCGGAGTACGAGTAGCCAACGTTCACAGGTTGGTCAAGGAAGATGACCGAAGCGTTATTGTTCCAAGACCACTCGTTGTTGACAATCTCGAGCTTCTTGTTGATGCTGGCGGGGCCGAGCTCCATGAAGAGGCCGGTCAGGGAAGAGCAGCCAGGGCCACCGTTGAGCCAGAGAACGACGGGGTCGTTCTTGGGGTCATTGCGGGACTCGAAGAACCCTGGAGGCGGAGGGGTCAGTCTCGTCTGTCCATGTCGTCACCAGTCGGAGTGGATGCGGAACTTACAGTAGAACAGGTGCTTGTCATTCTCTTCGTCATCGAGGTAGCCGCTATATTGCTTGACCTTGTCGATACCGAGCTTGGAAGGGTCGACCTTCTTGGCGCGGAGGCTGTAGTTCTCGAGGTGGCCGCTGTACTGGCGGTGCTTCTCGCCGGCCTCCTTCTCGACCCATAGGTCGTGGATTTCGGCGCCCTTGACAACATGGTCCCAGGCCGAATCAGGCTTGCGGACATGGGGCTTGGGCTGGGACAGTTTGGCCGTCTTCTTGAAGGCCTCGACGGCCTCGGGGGCGAGAAGAGTGATCTCGTCCCAAACGGCCTTGGCCTCGGAGGTGATGTCGTGGAACTTCTCCTCGAAGACATTCATCCAGGACTCGCCGGCGACCTTGATGGACTCGTAGCTGTCGCCACCGAGGACGTGCTGCTGGTCCAGGCCAGCAACGGCGGTAGCTGCGCCCAAGGCAAGGGCAGAGGTAGACAGTCTCATTGTGAAGATGCGTTTCTACCTCCTGTGTGTGTACAAGATGTGGGAGATGGAGATGATGGTTAGAGTGTTGCGAGGGGAAGGGAGGAAGAGGAAGAGGGAAGGACGGAGGCGTGGATGATGGGGCACGGCAGGGTGGATGAGGAGGGAGGGGGAGCTCTGTTGTGACGACGAGCAGTGCGGGCGTTTGGGACCCGCCAAGGTGCTGGGGGGAACGAGCAGCAAGCGCAGGCTGCAGCTCCGACAGCAAGAACCACGCAAACCACCCGCAAGCTGCCCAGAAAGGTGCAACAAAGTCGCCGCATGCCAGGCACATGACGAAACAAGTGGGTACAGATAGCCGTTTCGGGTTTGGCGCCATCTTCCCCGGTTGCCGCAGTGGCGCCTGGATACCTGGCTGAGCGACGTACCTTACCATGGGGGACGGCCAGCTGTCGGCTGGCCTGTGCGCGGCCTCCTGCCTACCTTAAGGTACCTACCTTAGGTGACCTGACTGGGCTCGGCCGATGATGACTAAGTGCCGACCTACAAAGTTGGTACCTAGGTGAGTTTACAGTCCTCACCTGTACTCGAGCGAGGATGCAAGTGCATGGTGTGAGAGGTACTGGGGGTTGGTTCATGGATTGAGCAGAGTCGAGGAGCCTGGCCCTGACCGATGCGCCGCCTACTTTCCAGTCGGCCGCGTAGATGCCTAGTCTTCTGCTACCCTCCCCAAGAAAAAGTGCCCTTCTGGGACGTGGCTCAAAAGCCTCGCTCATTCAGTCAGTCATACTCGCTGAACTCATATAATGCCTGCCGCCTTCCGCCTTGCCCTTGCTGTGACTGAAGCAAATACCATGCCTGTCAGGTCAAGCTATCGCCATACCCAGCGCCGAAAACCATTGCAACGCCTCTTCTATCCCAGTCATCCCGTATATCGAACCCGCCGGTGAGAGACAGTCGACGCACCGTGGTGAGCGGATAGTCACCTGCCGTGACGCTCTGAAAGTCGTCGACGGCGAGCGCTCGCCAGCCTCGCTCGTCTCGGCACCAGAGGCAACACAGCACCGCATGTCTACCTGTTCTCGGTACCGGCCGGCTGCGCGTCACTAGTGTGGTATAATACATTCCGCGGCGCAAAAAAAGAAGACGAAAAAAAAATCCCCTGTCGTGCTATCGTTTCGTATCTCCTTCGTCACCGACGGAAGAAACTACTGACTCCCGCCGGTTGTGTCGCTCGCCGAGAGTGAAGGGCTTGCGCCCCTGTTGCGCCTAAAAAAGGGAAAGTTGTTCATCCTGAACCGGCTGGTTTTCTTCCTGAGTACCTTGGCCCCTTCGGCTTTGCCAATGCTGCCGTTGGATCCATTCGATTCCTGGGTGTGCAGGAGCGACTCCGCCTTCGAGCCATATGGGTCCTTCGGCTCGGCGATGACGGGGATGCTCATTCGCCGTTCTGCTGATTCTCTGCTGACAATGCTTGTACCCTGGGTGCTCGGCGAGAGTGGCATCTTGCCAGTTGTCGCGCTCGTCGCTTGCGAGGCCCAGTCACCCGAAACATGGCCGGCCGCGCTGCCGTCGGTTGTCTCGCTACATCGTTGCTTGCTGTTTTGCTGCGTGGGGTGGTCCGGCATGCTGCTCAGCTGCTCGCGACTGTGGAACGGATCGCTCGCAGCAAAGTCAGTAACAGACTCAAAGTCCGACACAAAGCCGCCGTTGACTTCCTTGTACTCCTCTGTCGTGTTAGGAATGTGTGCTGGCTTGCTCGTCGGATTCGAGGGCGGCGGTGAGAGTTCTTTTTCGTCCGTCTTCTTCCCGTCAGTGAGTGTCGAGGGCGTAGGAATATCGGCCAATGGTGAGCCTGCCTGGGCAGTAGGTGGTGTTTGCGTGTCTGATTCAACCACGAAGCTCATAGTACGCGGTGAAAAAGTTCCCTCCTTCAGGAGCCTCTTGCGAACAGGATCTTCCTTGGCCTGCTCTTCATGCACCCGCCCCTCAAAAAGAACCTTGTTCCGTTCGAGCTCGTCCACAGTATATTGCATCGTGGGCATGATGTCAGCAACACCCTGGAAGAGAGGAATGGCAAACATGTTCATGAAACCGAGCTGAGCCTTGGCAAGTGAGACGAGGTCTTTCTTGGGAGTTGCCAGGAGCGACGACTGAATCTCGAGCTCATTCTCCATGGAAGACTGTCGTGAGAATTCGTCGGAAAGGATGAACATCCACTGAAGAGCAGCTTCATATTTCCTGGCCTGGATTCAAGTTAGCCTGGGTGGGCACTCGTTCGCAGTTTGCGGAAAGAAAATGTACGTACCACGTTGCTGATGTCCGCGCACTTGATGAGCAGTGAGCAAGCCAATGCCTTTTGCTCCTCCACCATGCGCCCATTCCAGCCATCAGTGGTGCTGTTGACCTCGAGCTTTGCCTGAAGATCACCCAGCTTCTTCATGTAGTCAAAGTGCAGCCCCATATCGGTTGCAAGAATAGAACTGATCATCAAATTCCGCATCTTGGAGTCCTCGAAGACGGCAGGCCAGTACCTCCGCAGAATCTGCGAGTAGGCAGCGCAGTGGAAAGACTCCAACACAGAGCGGTCGTTGTACAGCTGCGCCAGGGGGGCATTGAGTGTGACGAGGAAGCCGTTGTTGACACCGGGGTGACCAACATCGTGACCGATCGCAGTGATGAGCAGGGTCAGGCCGTCAACGGGGCTCAATAGATCCGCGACAGGTGAGGTGGCTGGTGCTTGGGAGTGAAGGTCCAAGGGGTAGGGTGAGATGATGCCAATGTGAACGAGGAAATTGAAGGTAGCCTGGAGGACATCCACGACATGACGGAAGTTGTGATAAGGCACGAAGCTGTTGTAAGCTGCCCGGCATGCGACCAAAAAGTTGATGAGTTGGTCTGGCGTTGTGTCAGCGGACGGGCACAAGCAGAAGGCTTGGATGCATCGGGTCTACTCACCTGCGGGTATCCGCCAACGCTCAAGCTGCGGCATGGAGAGGGCGTGCTTGAACATGACCATGGCCGCCACCAGCAGCTCATCGTCGGAAAAATCATGAGCGCAAAAATGCCAGCTCCCGATGGCCGTAGCAATGGCGGCCTGTCGTTCCGTAGAGACAGCTATGCTGACGTTGGCAATCTTGTCGTCATCGTCAGTTGGAAGCCGGCATATCCCCTTCATAAGGCTGGACACCATGGCCTCCCGAAGGTACGCAAACGGTCTCTCTTCGTTCACACCCACCCACGACCGTTTCCTCCCACGACGAACCTCCAGAATGGCTCGTTGTTCCTTCGCAGCATCCTTTCGTACTCGGTGGGCGTGAATCTCAAGACTCATGACGCACTTTGCGTGCATGGGCCTCAAGATGACATCGGCAGCACCGAGGTCAAGGCACCGCATGACGAGCCGACGGTCGACAGGCCGAACTCCGGCCAAATAACTTCCGGCGTCCTGCGGGGAAGAACCCCTGTTCACGATCGCCTGTCCGATGAGCAATATTGGCACGACCAGCTTTGAGAGGCTGCGGAGATGAGCCTCAGTCATGATTCTTTGCAACAGCCTGAGCCCGTACACCTCCTCATCCGGAGTGTGAATCTCTACTTCTCGGGATTCAGGGCGTGACATGGGTGACGGCGATCTGGACCTCGGCTGAGGCTCCTCGGGGATGTGTTCGTCGTCTGGAGTATCAATAAGAACCAAAGTAGGCCTCAAATCCACGATGGAGCCTTCTTGGATGTCGTACAAGGAAGCCAGACATGCGCTGCCGGTGGAGCAAAGATGAACTATAACATCAAGATCAGTACTTCACTTGCCTGCGCTCAGTAACCCGCGACGCACCTTCGCTAAACGACTCGAGCAGGACCTCGACATCCTGTCGCAAGTCTTCCGATTCCCATTGTAGCTCGGACGAGATATGGTTGGCATCCTGTGCCTCCTTCGAAGGGGCGGCAACTCGTCTGTCCGCGCCAAAGCGGCGGTTTACATAGACAACGTGGAGCTTAGAATGATCCATCGCGTTTCGCGAATAGAGGGGGGTGCAACCGGCCTCGCGACCGGAGCAGCCTCGGAACCGGAAGAGCAGAATTCGAGACTAAGCAAACTGCGCAGCTAAAGCACTGATATGACGGTTCCTCGAAGAATCGGCACAGCCGTGCTGATCGCAACGGCAAGGTAGCGAGCTAAGGCGAGGGCGGTGCCCAAGGCGTCTCTCTCGTCGAGTGCGCGTTTCGATCCCCAGCTCTTTCTTTCCCTGTCGCGAGAGGAGGCGGGAGGCCTAACGCAGTGGCAATGGAGCGCAATATCGCTCTGGAAAGCTGCGCCCAGGTGTTTACAGGCTGTCGATGCGAGGAAGGACAAGGGCGATGGAGAACTTGGGTGACATGGAATGCCTGACTCTTCGTTTCTTCGGAAAGTGGAGCGGGGATTGGCGATGGAAAGCCAAAAAGTGAGAGTTCAAGATCTGTCGGCGTTCGAGATGAAGATTTGGTTGATATCGTGACGCGAGGATAGCGTCTTGTGTCGTGGTGGTCGTCGTGTGGAAGGCGTAGGTGGCTCAATCGTCAAATGGGGTCGTGGAAGAGGAAAGAGACGGAGAGACAGAGAGAGAGGGCGAGTATGGCAGGTAGATGGAGGAGGGTGGTCTCTCGTTGTCGTGCAAGTTGGAGACGCGGAATGTCCGAGGAGCGAGGAACGTGTCTTGGTGCGTCCTTTGGTTCGTGGATCTAGTACAACGGAATTGGGAGGACAGAAGGGCAAGTGACGACAATGTTGGAAGGTTGGTAAGGACGGGAGACACGGTGCTTGCGATGCGCCAGGCAGTGAGGGTGAATTGGCAGGGCAGAGAAGACGGGAAAGAAAAGGCCAAGCGTGAGTCCACAGTGATGGGGTGGTACGCCGTATGGATTACCTGACCTGTACAGGCTGGTGGAGTCCAGAGGAGAGAGGGAGGGGGGAGAGAGATCGAGAGAACAATGGTCGGGTCGAGGACAAATTGTGAAGCAAGGGGTTGGGGGTTCCGGGGGGG